AGCGCGAGTCGTCTCAGAGCCATCATCGCTATGATTCTTGGCCTCCGGGACTGTGAGAGACAATCCAACTGGATAATGCTGCTAAAAATTCTCTGGATATCATCCTTTCGCACATTTGAAGGTACCTGTTGACGTTCATAGTTTTTCATCTCACAGATTGAACACTGTACAGTGAGAGTTCCCGGCTTGGCCACAAACGAGGCAGCACCGTCAAGAACGCAACAGCATTTCGACAATGCATCGAGGATTTGGCATTGATTGGATTCACTGGATTCGGGAAATCGCTTTATGATTGCTCCCTCCAAACCCGATATGTCATCCTCAGGCTCCTTCAGCTCAAGAGCCGCACATAGTACTCGAAGAACGCTTGTCCAAGATTCAGAAGCTTGGTGCCTTAGCTTTGGCTTTTTGGCTGTGTTTGGCTGTCGACAGGATGCATATGGAAATTGCAGTCTCTTGATATACGATTGCAGGCGCGGACTCTGAAAGTTTGAAGGTGAGACATTCTCATCTAAACCTTGAGATGGGCTAAGTGCAATAGCTTTCGTCAAAAGTTGAGAGGCCCTCTAGATCATCGTTAGCATTTATACTCAGTTTCGACCGATATTAAAACACCTACCCAATTATCAGAGTTCACTTCGAAAATTGCTTCACGAGTGAACTCAATGACCAGCTTTGACTCTGCAAATCGGCCGATAGATCTATTCTCAATTGACGCTCGTGCCAAAGCCACGAGAGCCTTACAGAAGCTTAGTCTGGCATTGTCACCAAATTGGTCGACCATAACCAAGTCATTTGGATTCATCACCAGCTCTGAGCAGATGAGGACAAGAAAGACGTGGATTTTGTTTAGTAGAAATGATGCCGACTGCTCATCGTGGTCTATACGATGCATAATCTCGAGCGATAGCTCTAGGAGAGAAATGGTCTTTTTAGGAAAGGCTATGTCCCATCGTTTTTGAACCGTGTGCATGTCTAGGAGAATATCCAGAAGCCATGGACCGTTTTCCGGAAGTGGAGCGATGAATGTAAAGGTTGGGTCATGGGACAAAAAAGGGAATGCCAGAACCCTGAGTAGACTTGAGGTCTGGCGCAGGGCTTGGGAAGTTTTGCTTATTGTATACTGAACACCGTGGGTCGTACGTAACCAGTCCGGGCCCAGCATCTGCTCTAATGTCACATTCGATGGCAGACGGATATCGACTGAGGGGTCTTCGCGGGGCGAGGGTACAGCAAATTTCTGGAGTCGGGAGAGCAATGCTGCAATTGTTAGTCAAGTCGCATCATTTATTGAATTGTTGCCAACGTACTGCTTAAGATTGAGCGAAGATAGGAGCTCATTGAAGATGCTAATTCCCACAATGCTCCAGTTCGTGCCATGACTACAAGCAGATATTGAAGGAAACCTTCGATAGACTCCTCTATCTCCAGACATTGGGAATGGCCAAGCATCTTCAGCAACTGAGGCAAGAGCCAAATCCATAGAGGCTCTTTGCCACGATATATGAATGCAGACCGGCCTGTCCCTTGCTTCAGTACCAATGGGGTTTCCTTTATGGTGAATCTCATGAAGTTTATGGCTTTCAAGACCTCGGTCCGCATGTGGGCACGGTCGAGGAAGGGGTCGTCGAGCTTTATATTTTCGAGAATGATGCGAGAATACACATATATCAGCATGTGATTATGCTCAATCCGTTCGTCTACGGTTATGAGTAGGCTAGGGTCATCTTTGACTTTCTGGATCTCAGCGAAGAGACCTTTAAGTTCGCTATTCTCGTCGGACCGGGATGACTTGGCCGACGGGGAGATGTTTTCGACTAGCTGAGCGGCGAGAGTGGATGGTGGCGGGCCATCGTTGAGACTGGTATTTCCGGCGCCATATGCACCAGTACCAGAGAAGCCGACCTTGCCATAGGACCTGTCCGCCATGGTCGAGGCTGCATTGTAGCTCAAACGCCTGTTTGTTGGTGATAGAGGATGTCGGTGATGACGGTAGACGCGACTTTTTTGAGAGGGGCGATTGGAGTAACGCGAAGTCACGTGATTGGGCGGAACACTCTAGAGGATGCGGCGACCTACTTTAAGGAAAGAGCCGTTTGACAATAACTGTGGCAGAGCTACTAATAACTACTTGTACAGACGCATGAAGAAAGAAAAGAATCATATCCAGGGTTGCTCCAATTTTACTTTCTTTCTTATGTGCCCGATCTTGGACAATCAGGGTTCATATCGCACATTGATCACATCATGAGTGACACCTTCAGCGGTTAGCATGTGAAGAAACTTGGGAAATGGCGCGGGGATTACATACCTCCAAGTTTAACGCTGTAAGTAATCTTGGCTGATCCATAACTACATTCGATCACTCCTTCGATGGTGTAATACCGATGGTAGCCCATCCGAATGATTCGGGCCGTTCGCTTGACGGAACTGGGAATCTTGTTCAGATCCAGTGAGAGTGTGGCAACCACTTGGACAGAGCGGTCTACATGTTTGGATGGGGTGGCCTCATCGCTGCAGAATATCTCAATCTCTGTTTGTGGTTCAAATCCATTCCCACTAACCGGAATATCGCATTGATATTCGATCGTGGAAGGCTTGCCCTCTGGGTATGACTCTCCCTGCAGCCTCGATTCGTCAGTCCCTTGGGCTTGCTTCATCATCAGTGACATAAAGGGCAATATTACCTTTCGAATGAACCATAGCATTTCGGCCACTACCAATTCCTCTTCCTTCTCGGACCAGTACCTACCTCACACGATTAGTAAAGAGGATGAGTTAAGACGGTTGGCCTCTACTTACGCCTCTCTTGGATCATGGCGCATCATGTCATATTTGGCTAAGAGGCATGTCCCATATGATCGCCTAGCGACTCTGGATGCGACCTCAACAGGCGCCATCATAGGTCCATACCGAGATAGCCCATGTATTACGGCACCTTTGACCACAGCCACCCAGCCATCTTCAGGTTGGAGCACTTGCGTCCCTGAACTGGTTGCGTCCCGAACCTTGGACTTCAAGTAGCGACTCTGTCCAAACCCTCCCACTAACACCACTGCGGCAACTTCGCCTCCTGCCATTGAAATCTGCTCTTTGACCAAGCAAATGATATCTTTGATAATCGGATCAAATATCTTTGTCTTCATCTCATCTTGGGGCATTGTATACCTATTTCGCCTTAAGCCAAGGCTTGAGTGCACTTTAAGGGTTATAGGCTCCCCTCGTGGAGAGAAGTCCTTTTTGAACTAGACATTCTCATGTTCAGCAGGTACAGTTAGTGGAGATGGGGGCCTCAGACGCACCGACTCAAATTCGTTTAATGCACCGACGAGCCGTTCATCGCTCCAGTATTTGTCGCTGTGTGTTTGCTTCAGATGTCTCCGGAATCGCTTGTTGAGCATAGAAGAGCCGCATCTGCCTCCCGTGCCTTCAGTCACCTCTTTCAGTTCCAGCTTATCCACTCTCGTTACTTCGTACGTGATGAGATCAACGGTTCCTCCACCAGCGTCACAGACGACGAACTTTTTGCCAAGTTGCAGGGTCCCAGGGCTCAAATTCTTCAAGGTATAGAGTGCCGCAGCTTCCTACTCCAGGTCAATCGTTATTGGCCCAGAAGCGAATGTACTCGCACTTACTGGTTCAGAGATGAGCTGGATCCTGCTGTTCCCGCAGAATCCTGCCACTGCGGCTGCCCGCTCGGTCGCTTCTTTGGCAGCGTTCGACCAGATTGCAGGAACAGTAACCACGAAATCCATTGGGGTTGAACGGACAACCGCCGAGGATAGGGTTTTTTCCAGGATACTAATGAAATGTTCATGAAGACATGACAAATATATCTTTGTCAATTGTTCAGGCGTCTCTCCATCTCCTCTCTCATTCTCAGGATCGTCTAATTTACTAGCCCAGTGTTAGAAAGCGGCTCACCTCCGGTGTGGTGGTGTGAGACCCTTACAGTTTAAAGAAACGGATTCTTTTGGCAGATTCGGGTATCTCAAACCCCCATTGCCAGCCTGATGATACCTTTCTCAGCTCTGTGGGCACCTTGGCACTACTCTTGAACGAGTTGGCCGATGGCCAGCTAGAAACGACATGCTGGATGTCAGGCTAGTGGTAGCAGTGTCTTGTTAGCATGAACCCATTTTTTTGAGGAAGGAGGATGTCCAAGTCCCTCACCCGGCTGGTCTCTGCCCAAGCAACGCCAGAGTATGTGGTGCCAAAATCTATCGAAACAATGATTCTTCTGTCTTTCATGGTGCCGCGAGAAGAGGTGGAAGCCTCCCGATTAAAGATTGCCATGGGTAATGTAGGTATCTCAACAATAACGGAAATACACCATTCAACGCTGGGCGGAGATGGTGCAGACACTTGGTCCTCCTTGGAAACAAACGCAGGCTCCCGCCAGTCCCTCGTTGGGCCCTGAATCAAGCGAATCAAGATCACAACCAGCACTCTGGATTCGCATGTGACCGCCCCAGTCAAGTCTCCATCTGACCCATCTCAACTGGACAGGTTATATCACATCCTCTCGCTGACAGAAGCATAAAGCCCGGAAGCAGAAATCTGCCCTTTCATGCCCATTTGAAATCACTCACAGGGCGTCTACCCAGGATCCCTTATCCACTTATTTCGCGTCGGGCCTACATGCAGATGCACAATATGCAGGCGGCCTGCAGCTGGTGGAGTCGCTCCTAATACGGCATTGCCAGCCAGGCTTCGACCAGCCACCATATGCATAAGCGCCCATTTTCAACCCAATGATGACGGATGTTCGCCCCATTCTTGCTTTGATAGACAATTGGTGAATTGTTTCCCCATGCAAGACGCCATCGTCATCTTACCGCATGGCGAGTCTCAAGTGTGTTTTAATTCACGCCTCGAATTGAGCCGGGCAAGTGGATTCACAGATGACCTTTCCGAATAACTTCACATTTGGGCACGACATTTAAAGGCACAGCATCCCGTCCGTACATAGAGAAGAACCCATATCCGCGGCGGACATTATGGAGGCGGGGGGCGGCAATGACTCGCAAGATAACGGTACTCATGTGGCCGTCAGCAAACCACCAGCAGAAAATGATGCCTCCCAGGACATTCACACAGAAATCAAAGCGCTGAAAAAGAAGCTTGAGGACGAAACACGATTACGGCAATACACTGAACAGGTGCTGGACTCGCGGCAGCACGAACTCGAACTTGCCGAGTCGAAACTTGAGGAGCTCAGAGCCCAGCTATCAGAAGCGCAGGATCAAGTAACGCAGGCAAAGGGACGTTCCAAATCGAAAGAAAAGCAGCTTTCGGAAGCAAAGGACCAGATATTCCGTCTCCAGCCGCAGCGCAAGGATGTCAACGAGGCCGATGCAATTGAGGCATACAGAGCTTTATGCGCCAACGTCCACCGCTGGGTTGAAAACCGTATGAAGGGCATACTGGACGAGCTGGATGACGGTCGGTTACGGGCCCGCCCGGCTCCTCCTCAAGCCGTTCGTTTTGTTTCTTTGATGAGGGAGACTGCGAAACGTGGCTTGGCATTGGATCAGTCAGATGTGTATCACATCGTTGCAGTCATTATGAATTATCTCTGTTTGGTTTTCTTCTCCAAGTCATTCTACTGCCCACTGGATGACTACGAAGGAGATGCCACTCTCACCTTCATTGACGAGCTTGAAGCGTCCATGTCGCGTCTTCCTCGAGGTAATGAGGCCTCCTCTTCGGTGGTACATAACTTTTTTAGTCACTAACAGCTCGTATTTCAGATCCAGCACATTGTCGAGAATGGAGGAGCGAAACATTGACAGCGATGACAAGCCAGAAATCCTTCAAAACTCGAAGGGTTCGGTTTATTGTGCTAGTAACAGAAGATCTAGCCACGCTCCTATCCGCCATCGCCCCGAAAGTACCCACCGCAGAACTACAAAGCTCAATACGCAGATCTATTGTCGAGCCAGCCGCCGACCTTGCTCATGATCTTCACGTCGCTTCCAGCATCTATTCGCTGAAGTGGCCCGCCCGGGGAGCGTGGTCGAGATTAGAGGTCTACGAATGTCTTGACCTAGCGAATGGAGGCGAGGCGCTTAATCTAAGCGGTACGGCGCCTTCATCTTCGGTACGACGTAATGTCGCGTACCTATTCGATGTGTCCCCGGGGCTATTTGTGGAGAGGGTAGTGTCGGGGAAGAAATCCCCTCTCAAAGCAATATGCCGGCCTAGTGTTCTGGTCTATAGTGGAGGCGGGGGAGTGCAGCAGAGTCCAACCGTCATGAATTGGTTGTGGGAGTCAGCTGCCTCACTCCCTGGTCCCAGTCGGGATGGCACTCAAAGATCTGCGACGCCATTGCCACCCAGAAGTACGTTCCCCCCTTCTGTGCCAACGTGTTGATCTAACTTGGCGCTGCAGAATCTACCGGAAGTAATCAGCCATCCAGAAGGCGATGAGGTCGAGTACTTTTGTACTCTAGTTGAGGGGGCGTGGTAGTAGCCATCCGTTCGTTGTCAGGGCCAAGTGAGCCAATATGGGAAACAATTTGTTCACTGCTCACCAGTAGCTAATGTAATTTTCGCCAAAGAATACTAGGTATTGTAAACATACAAACAATCATTCAAACAAACCAAACAAACCAAACAAACTCTATATCGCTTCTCAAATCGACCGGCAAGAAAAATGATACTCTTCAACGACAATGATCGGGGCATCGCGATACCGCGGGATGGGTCGTGGCGGAAGTGGTGGAACGGGTCGAGGTGGTAAGGGAGGCGGATTTTGCTGAGGCGGATTTTGCTGTGAGGTCGCACCAGGTCTCCTAGGGACGGTCTGGCTCCGGGGTCTGCTCGTCGTCGTTTGTTGGGGAGTCTGATTGTCAGGTCTTTTGGGTGCTCGTCCTGGGCGGGCCGGAGATTTCTCACCAGTCCTAGGGGAAGCATTTCGCTTCAAGCCGCGAGCTGGCTGCTTTCCTTTCTCTGCGTTTGCGGCTCCGAGGGTTCTCTGAGGCCTTGCGGGCGCCGGGACAAAGGGCCGGATGCAGTTGCTGATGTAGTCATCTTCCATCCCGAGGGCTCTGGCGTCGGCGAGTCCGAAGTTGATGCGGTTGATGTATTCCTCCTTGGGCGGGCTATCGGTGGTGAAATTCAGACTGATATAGACGAGGACCTCCTGGACCCAGTGCTGGGGCTGCTCTGGCTGCTTCGGTGTGCCCTCCTTCGCCTGGCGAAGTATCTTGGCTGGACCTCCTCTATCAACTATCCATGATGTTGGACGACGGTACAGATTGCCTGGCGCCCTGAACAGTTGGGCTCTCATGGTCTTTTTGGCATATGCGTTCTTGGACACGCCCTCATTGATGTCCAGCTTGGCCTCATCGGCAGCGTCAATCTCATAAACCAGACCATCCACCCAATATCCGTCGGTCTTGACAACGTTGGCATAGCCGCGCTCGTTGATCTGCCAGCGGTAGTTGACCAGCCGGGCTCTTCCAATGTATCTGCTATGAGGGCATCTCCGCTTCATCTGCTTGAGGTGCAGATTGCTACCATAGGCGAAGTAGAAGGTGGTTGGCTGCTTGGGAGCCGGCTGCTTGCCGTTCCCACTGGTGGGAGACGCCATTGGCAGAGGAAAGGGGGTTGCTGTAGGGTAGGCCTCTAGGGCCAGGGGCAGGGGCGATCGTGATTGATCAAGTTGTGCTCCGGAAGCAAGTAAGCCCGAACGCCCGATGATGGAGGGTGGAGGGTCGATGCAGCTACTAGGTCAATCGAGTCTTTGCTACTTTTGCTTGCCTAGGTTTGAAAAGAAGAGAATAGTGCAGCCAGAAGAATTCTTGGAGTGAGAATGCAATGCGAGGAAGTCGGGGGCTGCGTCTAAGTGCCCGGGTGGAGCCGGTCCCCTGCATATGGCTGCGTCCAGCCTTCAGGCTTCCCAGAACCATTGGGCAGCAAACAGCCTCATCACACCGGGGGCGGCGCCAATGGCCTTGCACCACGTTCGACATGCTGGCTCTGTCACGGAGATCTGATTGATCACAAGGAGCGGTGGGCATCCGCAGCGTTGTGAAACCGAAACCCCCGGGCGGGATAGGCCACGACGGGCCGCTTGCTTGCCAACGCAGCTAGTTGGGCTCCGCCTGGCCATGGTAGTTGGGTCACGATTCCCCTCTTCCCGCATCCTCTACCGCCTTTAGCCTGGGGCTGTGGACGAGCTTGTTGTCTGGGTTGGAAATGGCTGGGCCAAGCAATAACAACAGTCAGGGCGCCAGGGCAGGGTGGGTTAGGTTATTAGGCTCACGGACCTCAGTGGCCGCCTCACATTTCCTCTGGAAGAGGATTTACTAAGACCTGAGACGAGCCTGGGAGAGATTCGAAAGCGTGATTACCATATCATGTGCTCTGGCTGTTCCGCTAGACAAAAGACGTGTCCGCAATCTGAGAGATGACAGGCAGGAAGCCCTGATCGTCCGTGACAAATATCGCAACAGCCAAGTCAAGGGGTCATTACTCGCTCCAAGTCATCCCTAGTCGGTTTTGGGCAGAGAGAGGAATCGATATCCTGTGCTTTCTTCCGTCCTGGCCGACATATATATCCTTCTTGTTTCTTGAGCTTTGGTGCTTTTGTCACACATGAGCATCATTAAGATCGACTGATTCACCAACAGCAACCATGGTCAGACACTACAATTTCGGCGTTGAGATTGAGGCTGTGGCCAAGCCATACGGCGGAGGCGAGTCATTCACAAATGTTGACTGGTACCGACAGTTGGCCCAGAAGCTGCGGAACCGGGGCATTGAGGCTGTCCATGACGACAATTCCAAGTACAGCAAGCACCCAGAGTACTATGGTGGCAAATGGTTCGTGACTCGAGATGGGTCATTGAAGCGTCCTCGACCTTTTGGTTTGTCCAGCACCATACCCCCCCCCCCCCCTTTGCCAATTGCATAAACTAACTATGAGTTGTCAAACAGTCTGCATGGAAGTCGTTTCTCCCAAGCTTAACACGACCATGCACATCACTAGCACACTCTCTGACTTCTGGGAGGCGATGCGGGTGCACTTCAATCCGCAGCGCGACATCTCTTGTGGCGGCCATGTGCATGTCACTCCTATGAGTCTGAACAACAAATTCTCTCTCCGCTCCCTCAAGAAGATCGCGTTTGCCACTGTAGTTTACGAAGACTTTGTTGCGACCATGTTGCCCCAGGCGCGGAGAGAAAACAAATACTGCCAGGCCAACAGCCAAAGCATTGACTCGGGCCTACATGAGACCCTCCTCTGGGGCAAAAACCCGAACACTCTATATCGCGTGGCTGCTGAGATCAAAGCGTGTGCCAACGAGACAGCGCTCTATATCTACATGCAGGGAAATCGATATGTTCTCTGGAACTTTCAGAACATCTTCCCGCATCCCAAGACGGGCCGTTGCACTGGGACTGTTGAGTTCCGAGGAGGAAACCAGTTTCTCAACACCAAGGGAACCCTAGCTTGGGTTGCTTTTGTCCTTGGATTCATCACGCTGGCTGTTCAAGAGGTAGGTTATCCTTAAATCTTACCATGAAACTCCACTTCGTATACTAACCATGATTGTTTTAACAGGATCTTCTCCATACATTCAACTCTTCCATGTATGTTCCCACCACCGATCCCGCTTACGAGAAAGCCATCACGGAATGGTGGCGGCGCGTTCGAAGGGCTGCGCGAAAATCAAGACTCAGCCGACATCTCCCCAACGAGTACACCGCGATGGCCACCAAATAGACTGTCGACGTTGAATCTGTCTTGAAGACCCAGCCATCCATTATCCTCAGATTGCACATTCATATTCTGGCCTCGAATCTCTGTTTTCATCTACCTTTCATATTCTTGCATTTTGTTTTTGGCTGCTTCACTTTTTTGGTATCACTGGAAGCATTGGATAGGAGTTGTGTCAAATCATAGCCCAGATAGAGCCTCAATTGGACTCGGGGACAACAGATCGCTTCCGCGCGATTGGGCGCGAAAGGAACAGGGGGCTCACTGCCCATAAAGAACAGACTAGCTGTTAACATTTAACTTTTGTATTTTTTTTTCCTATTTGTCTTTAGATTGGTTGGTCATTCGTTTGGTCATTGCATCGGTACAGGTCTCATCTTCAATACTGGAATACATTTCTTATCTCATGGTTCCGGAGCCGTCTCCTCCTCCTCAAATGCGACCAGCACTGTCCCAGCTTTGCAGATGTCCTAAAATATTTGTCAGAATCGTGGGACCTAGCCAAATAGAACTTGAAAAGGATACTTACACCTTCTTTGTGTGCCAGCTTCTTGATCACTCCGTCTTGCGGAGATCGAATGACTGTCTCCATCTTCATTGATTCAATTCTGCATAGTTCATCATGTCAACGCTGGCCTATCAGAGTGTCATCAAAGGATAGCAAACTTACACAACTAGTGGTGCTCCCTTCTTCACCGTCTCGCCCTCCTTCACCTCATTTCTCAGGACCTTGCAAGGCATTGGCGCGACAACCGAGGCAGTGACCTCCTTTAGACCCAACTCCTTCTCGTACCATGTCGGTGGTAGCAGGGAAAGGTCGGTCTTGATGCCATGCTGGAAGATGGTTATCTTAGTGTCATTGTCGACTGACTGTGGAACCACTGATGAAGAGATGCGCTCGTCTGGGAAGAAAGACTCCAGCTTGACGACTTCGCCTTCAGAGACTTGCTCAGAAGCGATATTGGAAAAGATCTGAGGAGCCTCTTCACCCTTGCGAGAGACACTGATGTTGTAGAGATGACGGCCGACTTGAGCCACGCTAGCTTCCACAATCTCTCCCTCTTTATCACTATATCCATCCAACACCTTGAATGCAACTTTGCGTTCGCTTGTCGAAGCCTGGTTGCCAAATCCTAGTGTTTCACCATGGGGAGGAGAGTCACGTTGTAACTGAAGGCTCAAAACGCCAAGTGCAGCCTGGGCAAACACCTCGCCCTGGATATGTCTGGGATGGAACAGGGCATCTTTCCACTTGTCGATGAAGCCAGTCTCAACATCTCCTTCGATGAAGGCTGGCGTTTGACATAATCTCTTCAGGAATTCAACATTTGTGCTCACGCCAACAATCTCGTACGCTCGCAGGACGGACTCCATCTTGGCAATTGCCCGCTCGCGAGTCTCACCACGCACAATCAACTTGGCGATCATACCATCATAAGCTTCTGAGATGGTGCTACCTGATCGGAAACCCCAATCTAGACGAACGTCGGGGTCAGAGTCGAATGCCGATGGAAGATATGCATGTACCAACTTTCCTGAATCGGGAAGGAATCCTTTCTCGGGATTCTCTGCATAAATACGGGCTTCGATGGCGGCTCCTCTCTGCCTCATGTTTTCTTCAACTTCTGCCTGGGTCAAGGGAAGCTTCTCCCCTGCAGCGACACGGAATTGCCACTCGACGAGGTCAAGCCCGGTAACCATCTCCGTCACTGGATGCTCCACCTGAAGACGAGTGTTCATCTCCATGAAGTAGAACTTTCCGGTGTCCTTGTCCAGGATAAACTCAACAGTACCAGCACCGACATAGCCCACGGCAGAAGCAGCCTTCCTTGCCTTGTCCCAGAGATCCTGCCGGGTTGCCTCGTCGAGGTCAGGAGCTGGCGACTCCTCCAGAATCTTTTGGTGTCTCCTCTGCACACTGCAGTCTCGTTCGCCGAGAGCAAGTGTGTTCCCCCATTTGTCGGCGAACACCTGGACCTCGACATGTCTGGGCCGCACAATGTACTTCTCCACGAGCATGACTTCTCCACCCTCGCCAAATGAAGCCCGAGCCTCGGCTCTGGCGCTCTTCAGCTGTGTCAAGAATTCGTCCTCGGCCATGACAATCCTCATCCCCTTGCCGCCGCCACCTCGGACACTCTTCAAGAGTACCGGGAACGTGACCTCCTTGGCCCTCGCGAGAAGCTCGGCCTCGCCTTGCTCTGCGCCGTGGTACCCAGGAACACAGGGAACATTGGCAGCAGTCATGATCTCCTTACTCCTCGCCTTGTGCCCCATGTCCGCCATCGCCGTCGCCGGCGGGCCGACGAACACGATACCCTCGCGCTCGCACTTCTCGGCAAATTGGGAGTTCTCGGACAAGAAGCCGTAGCCAGGGTGCAGGGCCTGGATACCATTCTTTTTGGCCAGAGCTATGATCTTGTCGCCGTCGAGGTATGCATTGGAGGGGCCCAGTGCCAGAGACTGGAAGCCGACGGAGCTGTGCCATGACGCAGCATCCACATCAGTGTAGACAGTTGTGGCCCGGATGCCCATACGCTCTGCCGTCTTGTTGATACGGATGGCGATCTCGCCACGGTTCGCGATGAGGACTGAATTGATCGGTGTGTGCTTAGGTGCTGCCGCGCCGGCTGAGGTGGAGGAAACATAGCGAGGGAGAGGCCGCAATGGCAGCCGCTTTGTGCGGAGAGAACGCATTGCTGCTGGGTATCTCTATGTGTAGGTTCGCGATCAGTGGGCAAGGACAATTGCAATAATTCCGCTTGTGAATTCTGCGCTGGACAGTAGGATACGGAAGAGCCTGGCAGCAGAGAACAGAGAGTCTAAAAAGGAGATGCAGGTTCGGCGTTCCCTTTTGTCTACATGCCCTTCGGTTTATGGTTTGCCCAGGTGACCGTCGCCGTGGAGAGCCGAGGCCGAGAGTAACCGTAAACCGCACATTCCCCAGATTCAGCGGCAGCCCCCAAATCTTAGTGAGATAGGCTGATAAGCTAGAGCTGGTCGCTAAAGGCCCACTAGACCCCGCCTTACTCAGCAGGTCAGGCCTCCCCCACCACCAAAGCTCAGGCTAGATCTGGGTGATGAAGTAATCCATGACTCCGGGTCAAACTTCAGTTCCATCACAACATCACATCATGAATTCCTTGGACAAGATTCCTTTAAATTACGAGGCCTCGGAGGGCGACACCCACAAGAAGCTCACCACCAGCTTGCCTCAAGAGGTGGTTCAATGTCTCGAAAATGCCCGCTTCGTGAGTTTGCGCGAATCCGAGCCCTGCGTCATGGATGGTTGCACGACCAAGTTGCTGTCTCTAACCCGCGCCCGCGCAGCTGCATCTTGCGACATGCTCCGATAACGTGCCCAATGTCTCCTTGATGAACTACACATACCTGCCCTCGTCGCCCTACAACTCATCTCCCGTCATCATCATGACCACCAACCCGGCCTCCCGGAAGACGACCAGCATTCTCTCCAACCCCAACGTGTCCCTGCTTGTCCACGACTGTACGTCCGCACACGGTCTTCCGATTCCTACTTCGGGAGCAAGCCATTGAAGCTAATTGGATCTGGTTTCCAGGGGTCTCCCACCGTCCACCAAGCCACACCCGCCGCCCATCAGGCGGCTCCCCCACGCGCGAGCCACCCTCCAGCCTGGCCTCGCTCCTCCTCAACCTCAACTCCTCGGAAATCTCGAGCATCAGCGCCACGATCGGTGGCGCCGCGCGGATAATACAGACCGGCTCGGAAGAAGAGAAATACTTCTGCGATCAGCACTTGGCGAACCACACATACGACGACGAGGACAACCAGCTGTTCCGACAGCGGAGCAACCCAGGCTCGGATAGCCGGACGGGCCAGTTCGTCGCAGGCCGAGAGGTGAGCGTCATTGCGGTGGAGATCAAGGATGTGAGGATTAGTGATTACAAGGGTGCCGTCAGAGACTGGGCTATTGTCCCCGAGGAAAGTCTCGTCAACGGTTCAACGTAGTCTGCTGTAGATAACAGAAAATTGAACAGTCTCAATATAAAGCTTGATTAATCCAAACTAGATGCACAAAAACCATGGTCCTTTGCAATACATCGAACTTACCAAATGATATATATAGCTGGGAATTAAGGCCTTGCAAGCACTACTAGTTGTCCAAAAAGGGGAGTTCATAAACTTCCAAGGGAATCCATTGGTCTTACTGCCGACCACCTTGAAGAAGGAAAACATCAACTGGGATCGCTTGGCTAGTATGCATTACACGAGGATCTTCGAACTATCGTAGCCTCCGTTGAGACTCTCATTGCTAAGTCTGGCCGTAAACATTCTTTCCGTTTCGGCAATCTTTTCATACTCGCTGCCATACCCTTCCGACTCGATGCTATTCTCACAGTTGAGCGTGCCGTAGGGTCTCTCTCCGGCGATGCCGTCATTGTACTCGGCGTACTTTAACGCGTACGCTGGCCGAAATCCTATTCATTATGATCGCTAGGGGTTTTCTGCCGCGTGCTCCTTGACAGCGAAATGAGTAGGGATATCAGGAGTCAGTTGGAGGTAACAGAGGGCAATTGCTGTCACGAAGTCGGACCCCTATGGATTGACCCCGGACATCCTAGCAATTACTCTAAGGTAGTTACCAGCCATGATATGAAAGTCTATAACATCAAGACTATAGAAACAATGGAGAGAACAACAAGCTCTTCAAGGTAACACTGGGCTGCGAGTTTCCCAAAAACTGTTGGGAGTGAGTTTGATGGCTAGGAAGATCAGGAAGCAGCGCCTCACTGATGAAATGCACATACTAAGACATGGTGTAATCACTTTGGCATTGAGGTTTGATAGAAATAGCTGCTTGTCGACACTGAGATGGCCGTATCAGGCTATAATAACCCAACAGATTCATGCATACTACCTACAGGACAACTGAGAGCACAATGAGACAGGCTGGTCAGCGATGGATGAACGATCTACGATTCTAGGCTTCGCGGTATGAGAGTTCTAACTATTCTCGTAGCCGTAAACGTAGTTTTACACCGACGGTAGGTTGTTATATCGATACTATTCTAATATAAGTTGTCATAATAGGCTGCCATACTAGATTCCGCCACCAAAAGGAGTTTCAACTCCTTGGTCACGGACACTCTACACGCTATCTTGATGACTTGGGAATTTCAAATTCCATTTTGGCTACCCAGTTTTTCTTGCCGATCAATTTGTCGAGCTCTTTCATGGTATTTTGATAATGCATACCTTATAGCATAAGGCGAGACATCAATTAGTAGCACTAAAATACCAAGATTCTACTCCTTGAAATTCTAATATCGCATTGCACTGCGTGCAAGTAATTGCATTCCTTAGATAGGCGATAATGCCTTGAGCCCAGCTCGCCCTCCTTAAGCGATCATTTAGTTGCTGCAGAAATAACTAGGTAGCGGTGAGGATATAAGTACTTAGGGTCAGGACATTTTCCATTCTCATCTTTTTGGAAGTCCATTATGTAGTGCATCTTGCACCAATGCAACTACTACGCCATCGTACGCCTCAGTCCAGCTTTCTTTCGAATTTCCCTGTATGCTTGGGGGAATACTCCATACTCAGCAAATCCGGATACTTACCAGGAATTCAGGATATCTACTTCTTCCATATGTAATTTCTTCTTCAGCTAAGAAACACTACGGTGGGTTGGTTCGCAAGCCAGATCGTAAACCCCTGTCAGGCCGCGCTGCTGTTTACCCACTCACCGTGATCCATTCCGTACAAGACCAGCACCTCTCCAATCACTACTGGTCAATTATCCCAATCCATGAGGTCATTCGCTCACCATGCATCGTACCCGGTCCCACAGCTCTCTTCTCAGGCTAATGACATAATTTCATATCCTCTACATATTAGAGGCAAACCTATGACATATTCTGTTACTCTTGTCAAGGGTCGGAGAACCATGGATATGACGAAAAGTCGATGCCACCTATTTTCTATTCATGTAATTTGTCACTAACAATAAAGCTATCAGGTGATATTTGCACAACCAGGACCGAGACTGGAGAATATGCAGGCTGATGTGCTGAGGAAAGTGCCAAGAAATAAGTACCCTACACTTCACAGACAGAAACGGGCAAACAGCCTATCGTACATCAGACGAATGGAGTGGATCATAGCAAAGTCATGAATAAGGGTCTTTTATTTCTTAGCCTTCTTTTGTGTGTAAAAAAAATATCTGAAAATAAAATCAGGGCCCCTCCAAATCCGTAAGGAGATACTAGAACTTGAAAAGCAACTAAACCATGTTGCAAGGACATCGCTTATCAAGAAGAATCCTTTAGATATATAAAGCCCTAGGCCAATGAAGAGACGGGGATTTATTTATAGATGGCTCGAGCGGGAAAGCTGTCATAAAATTCTCAACACCAAGATTATCTGCTCATGATGTGATCATCATCACCAGGATCTCAGGTACCTAGGTACTCTGGCCTTACGACGCACACTTGGGACCCTCGACGAAGGTACCTGATTGTGTCCTCAGTTGACGGATAGGTACTTTGAGTTTCAAGCCAATTAGTCACTTTTATGCATTTGAATATATCCAAGCAGTTACTCACTTTCTTTGCAAAGGGATATCTAAAGTACTGACTTATCGAGGTGCTACCTAAAGAGGTACCAGGTACCTAACCTGCCTAATTCCCAAGCATGCCGGGCCTGACCCTATGTAAATGGATCTTACTATTGAGCGCTATTATCCTCTTGCGCCGATTGCTTTTGGCCACTGCCTCATGATATGTCGGCGCATAGGGCTGGCTGGGGAACGCGTATGTAGGACTCACGATGAAGTCCTGGAGGTGACATGGCTAGAACCTGATGTAGCAAGGGTAAGCAGTTAGGTAAGTCGGTACTTGGAACCTGAACTGATGACGTTGTGCTCAGCCCCTCACCAAGCCTGGCCCTGATTAACTGACCCTCTTCCCCTCGCTAGGGACATTCTCGACCCCGCACCGCCTAAAAATCAATCAAGGAATGAAGCGTGCCTGCCCAGTACCTGTTGTTTAGAAGAACTTACCTAGAGGAGCTGCTAAGGTAGCCCGGCTTTTTGGTAGAAGGTACTTACTAAGGTAGCACTTGCAGCTGGACCTCTTGCACTCTGAAGCCCCGGCAGGTACCCAAGTACCGCTTCCCTGGTCAGCCGCCACCTTCCAATCAGGCCGTTCTGGTGCTAGCTGCCCGATTTTCCCTGTTCTGTGGGACGGCAGTGACCTGCACTGCATGCCGTCCCTCCATTAAATATCATCTCCAGCAACGGCAACGCCGCGAGGTGTGTCACTGGCTGCTCGATGAATTGCATCCAGCACTTGACTCGACTTGACTTGCACATTTCTGATCCTGCCTTTCGCTCTGAAGATCAATTACCTGACTCTCCCGTCTTGACTCTCATTTCCCTCTTTGACACACTCGGGTGCAGTGGCGCAGTCAGCCAAACCTGCCGTTTGCTGCGATACCGATTTCCTGCATCGCGGCCGATTTGCCACATCGAGTGCTTTCCAACTGGCTACTAAGGTACCTTAGCTCCGGACTAGCCTGCCTTTGCTCAACCCAATTATCACGAGCGTCGGCTCAGTCCATCGATCCTGCCTGTATGCCCTCGATTGAAAACTTGCGCTTTCTTTTTTCACCCCTACGCCCACACAGACGCACATCGAGACACAAAACTGACCTCTCATTGACGCCAGCCTGCGAAAACTCGGTCGATGCTCCAGGCCTAATTATTCCCGCGCTTCACACATCAATTCACCTCCAGCAGTACCAGTCGGAGCTCTGAATACTGCCCTGCCCGTCGACGCCTGTTGAGTTGCAGCTCAACCCCCTCTCTCAGCGCTTGCTCAAGATCCAATTTCATCGCCGCAATGAGCGGCTCCGAAGCCCTCCCGGTGACGCCGGGAGAGAAGCACGACCTTGTCATGCCTGGTTCTCCAGACTCCGACGACCAATCTGAGACGACAACGCCGCTTGATGAGCACATTTCTGGGAACCCCATCGAGACAAAAAGAGTTCCTTCCCTACGATCAATCTCCGACCCCCAAAACATACATCCCAGCTCAACGGCCATCGGAATGCTGGGTATGGCGAGAAAGCCCCCCACCCCCGCCTCATCTTTTGCCAGCAGCGCTGGTGCCATGGACAACAGTGTCATGGCCAAAGTACGGGCTCTTCACCAACAACGAATGCAAAAAGGGTCGCCATCTGCCAGTTCTCCCACCACGCCTGTTTCGCAAAATATTCCTGGAGCTATAAATGGCTTTCCTGGAGTGCCGGTTCACCGCCCACCACCGCCCAATCACCCGAACTCAGCCCCAATCATACCCAAGCAGTCTCTTAGCGAGCGACGGGCCAACAAATTGGGTGGGGGGATGAAGCTTCCTGATATGGGCGGACCGAGCCCATCTATGCGCCGTCCCGGAGCTCCTAAACTAGGGAGCTTACCAGGTGCAAATGGTAGATCAGAAACAGCTGCCGGTTCTAGGCTAGATGATTACAAGAAGTACATCGATACGGACAAGGGTTGGATCACATTTGACGGTGCTGCCACGATCACTCGAGAGGGTGTTAACTTCCACAATGGCCAAACCTTTAGCATATCTCTCGACGAGGTGGAAATCTTGGACGAATTGGGCAAAGGCAACTACGGAACCGTTTATAAGGCCAAACACTCCAAACCTCGGGTGCCTCGTTTCGGTCAGGGCCTATCGGGTGTAAAGCCGCCTATACACCATTCGGTATCTGACCCAATACCTTTACAAAAACACGAAGACGATGGCAAAAGCACTACGACAACCGGTGTGACAATGGCCATGAAGGAAATTCGCCTCGAGTTGGATGATGCCAAATTCACCACCATTCTCAAGGAGCTGGTCATCTTACACGAGTGTGTTTCTCCTTATATCATCGACTTTTACGGCGCATTTTTTCAAGAAGGCGCCGTGTACATGTGTATTGAGTACATGGATGGAGGTTCCATTGATAAACTTTACCCCGGTGGCATCCCTGAGGGCGTTCTGCGAAAAATCACCTACTCGACTGTTATGGGCCTCAAAGCATTGAAAGATGACCACAACATCATCCATCGCGATGTTAAACCCACGAACATCTTGGTCAATACCCAAGGGCAGGTGAAGATTTGTGACTTTGGAGTCAGCGGGAACCTCGTGGCGAGCATTGCGAAGACCAACATCGGCTGTCAAAGTTACATGGCGCCTGAACGCATTTCCGGAGGTGGAATGGCGCAGGTCGGCAATGCTGATGGAACTTATAGCGTCCAGAGTGATATCTGGAGTTTGGGCTTGACAATCATTGAATGTGCTATGGGCCGTTATCCATACCCGCCTGAAGTTTCGTCTTCAATCTACAGTCAACTCAATGTAAGTGATTCAATCATAGGAGATTTCGTGCTGTATAACTGACGGTACCAGGCTATTGTTGAGGGGGAACCCCCTGGCCTGCCAGAAGAAGGCTACTCTCCGATTGCTAAGGACTTTGTTCGCAGTTGTTTGAACAAAATACCAAAGCTACGACCAACTTATGCCATGCTGCTTAAGCATGCTTGGTTGAGTCCAATGACTAAGCCTCAAACGATCACGGAAGAAGCTGAAGAAGGCGATGAAGCCGACAAGGTAGCTGAGACGGTGGGGCAGATCGAACTTGATGCAAGCGTGGAAGATGAGGAGGTAGCAAACTGGGTGAAGGCTGTTCTTAAGCAGCAGGCTGTTTCAGGGAAAGGCAGCCCCGTGGCACCAGCACTTCATGCTGCCCCTCTCGATACGGTCAGCCCTACAGCTAGTCCACTTTCTGGGCGCAACCCCTTGGCATAATAATATCGGCCTTTTGTTGGGGAATGTGGCATTGGAATGTAGCCGAATCACGGATCGATGATCATTGAAGCTGGCATTCAGTTGACTGAACAGCTGCGGAAGTCATAACTTGGTAGGAACAGCCCTCCAGCCTGTAGATGTTTGCGACTCCTCTACCATCTCTTTGATCGCGCAGATCACCGGTCTACTTTTACTTTTGTCTTTTCTTTTCCTGTTAATCTTGGTTCTTGGTTCCTAGAAGGTGGCGCTGTGCATTGATCGGATTCAGATCTGTTTGAGAGGATTGCGACTTTTTCTTTTCTCCTGTTAACTGCATAGTCCTGTCCACTTGATGTGGAATTTCTCCGGCCGGTTCACATTTGGGATGCAAGGGATGGAATGGTGGCATTTTGGGATTCTTGTACGTACATCAACACACAAGACACAATCGAAGAAGGCAACTTCCAAATGAGAAATCTTCTTTCCCCATGTTCCTTGGCTACTATGCGTACTATCACCCTGCCTCCTTGAGAAGGGGCTTATTCCCATCAATCGTAAATGATAAAACATACAAATAGTGTTTGTTATACTTGCTGTATAGCACAATACATAGACCAATTCGCCATTCTCACTACTTTTAGGTTGAAGGAGCACATTCCCCGACATCAAGCCAGAGGTAAATAGATAGTCAAACAACCACATGTAGCAATTTCTTTTCATTAACTTCGTTACTGATTACATATTACTTGAGCTCTGCCAATTGAAAGCAAAAAAAAAACTAACTCGCTTCCTGTTCAGGGGAAAACATCTGATAACTCTGGCAAACTCCAAAATAGATGTGAGTATATAGCATAGACATGGCCGCACATTCCACGGAAAGCAGACCGTGTCCCTTATCCGTCCCGGCCTCGTTGTCGTCCGTTCCCGACGCTTCCATCTGTAGGCGTTTTATTTATTTGTTGTCTCGATCCGTCCCGGGGGAGTCCCTGTGGGGCACAATGGCTGCTGGACCGCTGCTAGAAACGCCGGCGCTGTTGGCTTCGGTAGCTGGTGGTTGTCTGGTCTCGCCGGCGGTAGCAGCATCAGTCGTCGCAGCCGGGTCGGTAGAGGGTTGCGTCGTGGGGCCGGTGACAGTCGGCTGTGCGGGAGGACGATTTTCATCTTTCTAAGAGTAGTCGTCCTTGACACGGTGGCCGTCGTAGGAGCGACGCACGCTGCGCTGGCTGCGTTGGCGGCCCCAGCGACGTCCGGAGGAGACGTGGTCGGTCTTGCGGGTGCCGCTGCAGAAGATGACGAGGGCGAGGAAAAGGAGGAACCACGAGGCCCAGACGAAGCCGAAAGCATACCTGCCAATGCTAGCATCGCGGCCGTCGGCTTTAAATGCATCTCGGGCCTTGACGAAAGTGGCGCTGAAAGAATTACATGGTTAGTTTGCTATTGAGCCTATCATAAAGAGAGCAAGGGGCTCAAGTCACTCACGTCATGAGAGCCGCAGCGACGGTGTGCGCAGCAAGAGCGAAGAAGGTCAAAGAAGAGGCGATGGCGGCGCCGAGGCGACCGCAGCAGGCAAGCAGGCCGGAGAAGAGGGCGAGGACCTGGAAGAACAGGGAGATGAGGAAGAAGACCCAGCCAAAGCGCCAGAGGTAGAAGTAGGTCTTGGAGGTGGTGTTGTCGCCGTGGGGGCCTTCAAGCGCGCTGGGGACGTTGGCGGCGTTGCTATCCCAGGCCTTGCCAAAGGCAGGCGCAGGACGAGCGATGCCGCAGTCATTGTTGTCCTGGCCGCAGAAGAAGAAGTAGGTCCATTGGGTGACGTCGCGAGCGCCGGTAATGCCCGAGGTGTCGGCGCGCAAGAAGTAGACGAGGTTGAGAGGAACGCGGTCGGTCAGGCCGGAGAGAATGACGAACCAGAGCAGGAGGAGGGAGCCGGCAAGCAGGACGAGTCCGACAATGCCCAAGGCGGCGTCTGTTTGGTTGAATTGAGGTCAGAAAACGCGCTCATTGCATAGAGGGATTGGACGGGAGAGTATGGAGAGGGCAAGTGTGCGCAGGATGCGACGTTGGATACATACTCTTTGCAGCCATGGCCGTTATTATCTATCGTTAGTGTTTTTATTGATTTTTTTGGCCAATTTAAATTTCTTGGGGGTTTCCCCGGGGACAGCAAGAAAAGTCAACACGCCGTTCGATGTGAAAGATGTCTCGAGAGCGCTTGTAATCAATCAGTCTAATGGAGGATGAGGAATGGAAGAAAGATGGGGAGCAAGTGGACGCAACAGGTCTGTCTTCGGAGGAAAGACGAGAGTGACCGTTCAGGAGATGGGGGTGTATCGTTGGATGAACGGACCGGCGGGCATACGAGGGTGGATGCCTGCACTGTTATGTATAATTGCACGGCTCATAACAGTCGGAGCGTAGCGCACCTTAGCTTTAATAGTGTGTGGTGTGGTTTGCGTCACCTCGAATCTCAGCACCCACCTTGGGCCGACTTAACGAGGTGCTAGCAGCTTAGCCCAGGCCCAGCGAGCATGGGGACAAGCAGGATGGCATCGCAGAGCAGGATCTGAGCTGAGTTTTCCGATTGCACCCACCGTCCAGAGGCTAGCAACTGGAGGATCGGCCAGGATCAGATCACCTGAGAGTGCGCCGGCAAGAAAGAGACAGTGACTGAGCTGGCCCCAGTTTGGTGTGATGATGGCCTTGCCAAGCCTGCACGGTATTGGGCAGGTGTTACTGCGGCGGAATCAAGGTTTCGATCGACATGGACAGACACTTGTGCTATTTTCTTGCTTATTTGCTGGCGACCGGAAGGGTGCGTGCAATGACATCGTCGCATTGCATTCATATTCGCACCCGCCTTGCAATCACACATGACAGCCTCGAGAAGTTCCTACATGCTCATACCTCTGCATACTTGCTACCTGCCTGCCAAGTGGACGGGCCGGCTCCAGCAGCTGGGTAGCGCAGAACGGGACGACGCCATGAACAGGACACGGCATTGCATGTGAATCACTCGCATCGAGGTGCTACAGAGTTCAAGTGGCTGCCATCTCTCGCCTTGTGCGTCTTAACAATTCAGCTACAGTGGCTTTGCTCTCTCGGTGTTCCCGCCCGCCCGCGCCTGTATCCATCGCTGGGCTGGTAAACAACGTAGATTTCCCGAAAGCGAGGCAGGAGTCAGAGACGGGAGCATTTTGGTTGGGTCTCTCCACGGGCGGAGCGCAATGGGGAGCGCAATGGGCGGGAGGATGGATGACGGACTGGTGTAGTACGTACGACTGTCGCATTGAGCTTTGGCGATGGGTTTGGCTGAGAATGCGCCCCAGTGATGAACAAGCAATTACGTCTTCGGGGCTCTCTCAGGTGGCTCTCCCAGCTGCCGGAGCTCGGCACTAGCGCTTGTCTAGTGGGAGCCAGCCCGGTCGATGACGACACCCCACAGCTCTCCCCGGCAGAGCTTTCAGCGGTGCTCTCGTCCCAGATGCTTCCCTGTTGCAACGCCAACGCTCTCTGTTGATGTCATCGGAGCCCGGTGCAAATAGCGGATCATCTACCAGCTCGTTTCTCGCCAAGACCCAATACAGAACTGCTATCCGACGACTGGTTGCTGCTCCCTGCCTCGGCACAGCTATCATGAATGGCTGGCCTTGTCTCGCTGCGCCTACCTTTCCTCGTCCCCCCACGAACGGGTGTGACATGCTGTTCTGTCGTGTCCAGCTTCGTTCTGTCGGTCAGAGATCCCTGTCCTGCGTGGTTAACACCTAAATTGTCTCCGCACATACGTCTGCGCCCGCCTGCCCAAGCTGCAATGCCTCCAGCAGTCCCTTATCGTAAGCTGTGTTAGTGGCGCACTGAATATTGGTCCGTGTATGCATAATAAGGGTCTAGACTTGGTTGTGCTGGCCCAATCCCCACGCAGTGACACGCGTGCGTATGCACAATGGTGTTGCTGATCCAAGTCGTAATCCGGTGGTTCTTGTCAGGCTGAAACAGGCCTAGCGGCATATGTCGTTACTGTCGCTCTGTGTGGTTGGTTGGCTTATCGAGACCATCTCAAACAAAACCATATGTCAGATCAACGACTATCACTGCACAGCCTTCCCGGGCTCTGACACCTAGCTCGCTGCAGTCAACATGCGACAGAAGATGCGACCGCACGTGGCACGGTGGAAAAGGTTATGCACCACCCCACCAAGCACCCTTGGCCGGATAGCCTTGCAGAGGCTCTCGACGCAGGCCGTCGGCAACCTGAAGATTCTTCAACATCAACATATCAGCGACCCTGCTCAGGACGGTATCGTCAAGTACGACCACGCAAGCGAAGTACAAGAACGGCTGCGTGAGAGGTTCCTCCATTGGAAGAGCGTCTCATCCGAGAAGCCAGATGCAGCAGATACCTGCCCTCCCCCACAACTCATCACCTTCGAGTCCACACCGACATATACCCTTGGACGGCGGCAAGACAACCCGTCCCCCGAACAAACAGACCGGCTACGTCAGGAGCTTACGGTAGACCTCCCGCACCGCCCCAATGCAATACGTGGACGGACGTTCACCCCTGATATCCGGAAGACCAACCGGGGAGGGTTGACGACATATCACGGCCCAGGCCAGATTGTTCTATGGCCTGTCCTCGACATGCACTCCCCGCTCTACCCCAACTATTCGGTTGCCTCATATGCGGGACACTTAGAATCAACGACACAGCGCCTTCTTGCAGAGTTATTCGGGATCAGGACATACATCAGCCCTGATGAGCCTGGTGTTTGGGTCACCACACAGGGGAGTCAGCCGGCTCGCAAGATCGCCGCTCTGGGCGTGCACCACCGCCGCTACGTGACAGCGCTTGGTATCGCGCTCAATGTCGACATTCCAGTCTCTGGCCCTGAGTCTACGAATGCATGGGCTCGTTTTGTGCCATGTGGTCTGGATGGTAAAGAGGTTACATCTATCGCCGCAGAGGTAGGTTCTGACGAGGACCGGCCCTGGGATCTTGCAGTCTTAGCAGGAACATGGGCAAAATTCTTTGAAGAGGGGCTGCTAGATACCCCTAAGCGGTTATTCGAAGGCCTTAATTCCTCACTCTCTCGATGATGGCCGATCGCATCAATTGGCTGAAGCGTCGGTATACAGAGTTTGGACATACCCCTGGTTATGTAGTGATATTGATGTAGAAGTAAAACGGTCAGTCAGAAGTGATATCCTCCTGGTCGCCTGGCCCACCACAGGCGTATATTGTGCCTCAGAAAGAGGTAAAGCAAACAAAAAGAGAGGCTGCCTTCGGTTGTCGAGTAAAATTGGAGAGACAGGCAAAAGATGAAATCCCATGCCCCGTACTGGAATCGAACCAGTGATCTTATCATTACTAGTGATACGCTTTACCACTGAGCCAACGGGGCTTCCAAGGATATCCTTGTTGGAAGATCAACGGGACATTGGCCATTATGATGGGAACCAGCTTGCTTCTATGTCTTCCCGTGTTTAATTCTCAAAGGGATGGAGGTAATTCAATTCCTAAGAATAATTAAGCAGGGTGGGGATGAAACAACCAGTGCAGTATATCCGATAGGGTTGTAATTATTAAGCGTAGTTCAGCAAAGCCCTGCAACCTATCCGATATACTAGGCCAAACAACACAGTCCATTATCGAAGAACAGAAACAAACAAAAAATAAAGAGAAATTAATTATAAAACCAAAACCAAACCTCTTTATCTCTAGCTCAACCTCACTATACTTCTAAACCTATTGATTCATCCAGCCCTCATCGTCCATTCCATCATGAGAACAAGCCGTGGATAAAGAATGGGGCAAATCCAACATCCAACCCAATCAGGCCTCAAAACCTTCCGGCAACCTCTCGTCTCATCCCATCTCATCCAGCATCAAGACACCAAGCCAACCAATTGCCCGACGAAGCAAGCGGACAAAGCCATGCCACCCTCACGATAACCTCACCCACCTCCCTCCTTCCCCCCAGCATGGTCGTCTCCCACTTCATGAGCCACCCCATCCGGCTCACAATCTCCACCATCAAGCTCGTCTGCACCTGGCACATCATCACCTCCCACGTCTTCCAGGTCTCGCCCGCCCAGGGCCCCTCCATGCTCCCCACCTTCTCCGTCAAGGGCGACTGGGTCGCGGCGGACATGACGCACGCCCGCAACCGCCGAGGGCAGCTCCGCGTCGGCGACCTCGTCCTCTACCGCATCCCCGTCTCCGACAACGCCAACGGCATCAAGCGCCTCGTCGGCCTCCCCGGCGATTACGTCTCCATGAACACGCCGGGGAGCCCTGGGGAGGAGAGGATGATACAGGTACGCTCTCCATCCCCTCACTCTACTCTTTTCCCCCCCTCCAGCACCCATCACATGTGATTCAACCTCGAGTCAGTTGGCTGAGCTGTCTGCCTAGGTTCCAGAAGGACATTGTTGGATAGTAGGCGATAACCTCACAGTATCTCGAGACTCGAGATCCTTTGGTCCTGTCCCTCTAGCTCTCATTAAGGGCAAGGTTCTGGCAAAGGTTCTTCCGTGGGCAGAAAGAGGATGGTTCCATAATCCCTTGGAGCCGATCGAGGATCTAGTTGACGAGTGAGACGTACTGGTTCTCGCCCACGGCTATTTGTATCACATTACTCTATCAAATGTATCACCATCATCGTATGTTAATGGGTCAGGCGTATCATGAAAGCATTCTTTTAAGCTCAAATAGAGGTCCAATTACCTACAATGTTCCTAACCTCCTCGTGCTTCCTTCACCCCTGCCTTACCACCTCCGTGTTCGTTTCGAATTAAAGAGAAATGAGACCAGGAAGTCTCCGATAAACTGCAAATGCTTTGTACAATCAATGAAATGTATTCCCAGTCCGATCGTATGCGATCCCGCTCGGGGACCACACGTCAAATGGGCCAACAGTCTATGCCTGCCAAATAATGAATCATCATCTTGCGACCTATTTCTCCTCGATCGTCGCCTCCAGAATACTGGACCAAAAAATGACTAAACAATAAATAAGTGAATAATGTAAGAAAAAATAGCCCAAGCTGTACTCTTGGGTAAGAGTAAAATGAAACGCCCGGAACACCGCAAGCGCGCCGTGCCTTGCCGCCCCTTTCAATCGAGAACTCGTACGCTTGATATGCGAAAATAGAACAATCTCCTGCTCGTTTAAAGCCGATGGCGATCAATCTGCCGCCTCAAGCCTCGATATGCGCCTTGGAACCGCTCTGGCCCAGGAGCTCAAGGCATCGTTGTGCGAGATTGACAACCTCACCTTCGTCGTCCTCCTCAGATTCTGGTTCAGGTTCAACTGGTCTGTTTGCAATGGTGCGGATGTGTTCAATGATATCGTCGGCCTTCCCAATGAGACCAATCAAAGTCTTGTCCTCAGATTCGAATAGCTGCAGGAGCGTCCAGACGGCGATGTGCTGGAAGGTGGCATCACCAGATTGCAAAAATCGACCCAGGTAACCATGGATTCCTTCGTTAGGCTCATTCCAGTTTTGTACGAAGATGGAGTAATCCCCAACTATGTCAGATTGTTAGTGAAGGACGTAAATAAAACAATGACAAGTATAGCTTACCTTTTGAAGACAGGTTACCCAATGCGGCGGCACTATTACCTTGAACCTCAATGCTTCTGGAGTGAGTCAGGGGAATAAGAACGTCACAGACCCCAAGGTTTAATAGGTGAGACTTAAGGTCATCGCTCAGGGCCAGGACGGCGATGGCGGCTGTCATCTCGGATTGGACAGCCACGGGGACGTCTAGAACCAGCTGCTTGCATTTTTGAACAGCCCCCGCATCCAATACAAGAGCCTTGTTCCGGTCTGAGCTGGCCGCCAGGTTTCTCAACGTCGAAATAGCATGGCATTGAATCTCCTCATTATCTGTGGAACCCAGCAAGTCCACCAGTGGCTTCAAAAAGTTAGCCTCGATAATTGGGGATTCATTCATAGGGTGGATCGAGATGTTGCGAATACAAGCAACAGCCGATAGAATCAAAGGAAGGTATGATGACTGGAGAAGGCGAAGAAGGGGAGGCAATCCATTTGCCCGGACGATGTCCAGCTGATACTTGTCGTCCGATGCCAAGTTGCGAAGTGCCAACGCAGCCTGGCATTGCACCTTGGGCGATGAGGAATCCATGAGATTCACAAGCGCCTGAACGAGTTTGGGCTCCGAAGAGGCCAGTTTCCGTCTGTTGTTGAGATCAACAGCGATGTTGCTGAGAGCTGTTGTGCAGTAATATTGAACATCAACATCGGGGGAGGATAGAAGCTGCACGAGAACCGGAATAGCACCGGCATTAACGAGTTGCTGTCGGTTTTCATCTGTATGGTGTTTGATTTAGCACAAGGTCTTATCAAGTTTAAATGTCAAAACGCACCAGAATGTGTCATATTCAGCAGGGCACCGGTGGCATTCCGTTGGACACGCATATCACGGGACTTGGCGAGCCGGGTAAGAGGGCCCAAGGCGCCTGATCGTGCAATCTTGGCCTTGTTCTCCTCGTGTGTTGCTAGGTTGGTAATGCATCCTACAGCATTACACTGAACTTCAACGTTGGGTGAGAGCATTTGACGGATAAGAGGGGTAAGTCCGCCGAGCTGAACAATGAGGACTTTGTTTTCGGCTAGGGAAGGCTTGTTAGAATCATGTCGGTGGAGAGGAGTATGATGACGTACTGTTCACCGCCAGGTTACCAAGCGCAGCACTGGCAGCCCTCTGAACTTCGATGTCTGGGCTTTGGAGTAGGATGAGAATGGGCTCGAGGGTGTCACGATCTACCTCTCGGACATCTAAAGTAGTGGTGTATCAGAATCATAAGTAGTAAATCGTCTCGGAAGGAAGTCCGCAGCGTGGCGCCTGCTCCTACCTCGTTCTGTAATTTCGGCGAATGTTAAGCTTGCACTCCGCTGGAGGTCTATATTCTCGGAAAACACCAGGGTGCTCAGTGCCCTTAAAGGTTCGCCAGAGAAAAAATCGGTCTCTCCCCGCTGAGCAAAGGATGGTTAGCAAAGTGCTCGGCGACGACAGGGCCAAGAGAGAACGCACGTTTTCGAGATAGAGGAGGAGATCGGCGACAGCTTCCCGCTCGCTATCGGCAAGAACCGGCTCGTAGAGTCCATCGCGGGACCGCCCTGTGTGACGCAAAGATACCTGTCAGCAAATGTCCATCAAATGAGTTGGGTGAGTAGTGTAGGTGAGAGGTGACGCACCTCCGCAACAAGTCGAATTGCAAATGCCCATGGCGGGAGGACCTAAGGCTCAGAGCCCTTTCCGGTATTGATTCGGTCTACTAGATGGCGCGGGTTGATGATCGCTGGATGATGTCGTGCTTCGGGTGACGCTCGGAGGCGGATATTTTGGTCAAGCGTCGAAACAGGCCGGGCTCCCAATCATTGGAGGTTGGAACAAAACAAAGGCATGAGCCCAGAGGCAGTGTTCTTGAGCGGCAGCCAAAAACTTGCTCTACTACAGGTCGAGGCGCAAGGCCAAGCTCCCCAACTGATGAGCAAAGCAAGAGTGCTAAGAGAGCGAATGTCGGGATGGGTTGGTGTTGACTGATGGAATGAAGGAACTAAGAATCTCGCGGCCAGCGGCACGTATGATTTGATTTGCTTGGGTGGGCGTGCTCCCCACTGAGGCTGGTGCTTGGGCGGCTGTTTCTGCTGCAGAACAGAACAGTGGAGAGCTGTGCCTTCCGCCTGTGCTGTCATTGAACCTTAGTAGGTGCTGGCGTTTGGCAGGAGGGAGGCGCTAGAATGGGGCTTGAGGCTCATGTGCAAATGCCCCGTCTAGGGAGGAACTAGGCGCCGTTCATTGGCCAGGTTCATCGTCATGGGTGCTCTTTCTCAATCATCGTAGCCCCGGGCAATCTAATCTACGCCTATTTGCCCAACACTAAACTGCTCTCAGCGGTAGCCACATGACTTATGCACCCTGGAGGAGCCTGGAAGTTATATAACTTCCATCCGTCTGCTTGGTTGTCGGAGTGTCTATTGTGTCCAGCTCAAGGGAGAACGAAGAATGACCGACAATCTGAGCCTGAGAGTCAGGCCGCAATTGTATCCGCAGTTGGTTGTATTTGGAGGAGCAGGTGCTACCTCGATAAGCAACGCTGCCCAGTCACCAGGGAGGTGCCTGCTGGGCCACGAGGTCCTTGCTTCCACACACCAACTGAAGCTCTCCCCTGGCAACCGGGTGACATGAGAGATGAGACACCAAATCATTGTGCCTTCTTTGTAGCCATCAAATACTGCAATAAAGATACAATAACCCCTAAAAAAGTACATTAATCCTTTTATTAGCTTCTAAATAATATTAAAGTCTTTTTTTGGTCTTTTTTAAGGATTTTTAGAATCAAGTTATAGTGAATACAACACAGAGCCTCTCCAAATATGGACGCTTGAAGTACCGGTTTGGTGTCTCATCTCTTATGTCACCCGCTTGCCTGGCAACTCGTGCAAGTGGAGCGTGGTCATGGTTAATTCCTGAGGCGAGGGGAAAGAGGCAACTGAAACGAATGGAAGCACACGCTCTGCGTAGGTATCATCGGTCGCTAACTTCGGATATTGGGATTCATGCTTCGCCAAGGGAATAGTTGTGGTGTTGTTCATGCACACTGAGCATTTGCCCTAGTGAGTAAATAATGAGCTCCTCATGCCAAGACCGACGTCCATATTTGATCGGCTATCGGGTAGCCTGCATGTCTAGGTTACGATATCTTTCGTCTCATTCTTCGCGCAACATTCCTTGGCTTTGGGCACCGTATCTATGGTCGATGACTTCACTGAAATATGCTGCAGAGCCACCCTACCCTATTGCGTGGTTTCGCAGTCACCACAATGTCGTATTCCAATGCCTAGCCGGATTGCACTCTGGACACGGCAAAGGGACAGAGTGTTGAGTGTCAACGAGAGTGGCATCAGCTCGGGCTCGGGTGAAAGAACAATGCCTGGTGACTCGCAAATACCGGCTCGATTCCCTCGCGCTGGGTGGCTGCCTATGATGGGTAGGGTGATGGGGATACAAATCATTGCTCAGTCAATAATGTCTCATGTTCTCGACACCCACTTGGAAATAAAGTTTACAGTCAGACAGCATTACATATGCTGGAGTTTGCATAATTGATCTCAACCCAAGTTAATTGAGTTGGCTAACAGTTCGAAGCAAAACAAACACATACCCTAACATGTCCAGTGCCAGAATCAACGCCGCCTCACTGAGCTTCAGGGTAAGGGCCCTTCGTATCTACGAGTAAGGTACTTCCCCAGGCAGTTAGAGGGAGCTTGTACGAATGGGTGCAGTGCAGTGATGGAGGTCTAGAGAAATCAAGATACAGAGAGGAGCCCGTCAGTAGAGCGGGCGCAGATCCTACCTACGCAGGCAATGACAAGGAGGCTCTCCGGTGGCCTCATCCCCCGGTAGATCGGTACTTCTAAGTAGAAGATCTGTTATCAATAAATCGCTGATTACTTAGGGAGGTGGAGGCGCCGTTGGCTTTGCCCTTTTCCCCCAATCTCAAATTTCATCCTCCAACCCCCAGAACGCAGCGTTTGGTCCGCCACCGCCTCACCGAAGCGGAAGCCTCAAGGTTTCGCCGTGCATTCGACTCCAGCACCGCCAGGGAAAATATACCGAGCTGTATCCGGTCGCACTGGAATGGACGAGCATGTCACCCATGGCTAGCGGCGACCAGGACGAAGGCATGTCCGCTTCGGCCGACAGCGCCGTCGTCTCCCCCGCCCACGATGATTGGCATGGCGCTGGCCAGCCTCAGGCGAGACAATCCGACCAAGGCGGCCGAGCAGAGGCGCTAGCAGACGCACCCGGAGCATCTTCTGCTCCCAATGTACCCGACAGCCCAGCGGAACCACTCACAACAGGCCAATTCGCGCCTCCAGCCCAGCCGAAATCTGACCCCAGACCTGGACCTCCCGCCGCCGCAACAGCACCACTTCCAGGGCGACAATCACAAGCACAAGCACAGGCTGCATATACCGGCCTGGGCGGTCACGAGCGTCATCTCCCGTTACACCACCAACATCATCACCAGCAGCCTTCCGCGATCCCTCACATCGTTGCTCCGTCATCGTACCTGCGCCTCAGGCCACTGACTCGCAGCGCAATGGCGACAACTGCCTCGCAGCCGGCGCCTCCCCCGCCACCACCCCAGCAGGTCATCGCTGACAAGGATGAGGCACAAGGTCTGGTGCGTGATCACAGATTCCGTCCTGCTTGCAGTTTAACCCGTTGCTTGTTTTCGGCTTGACTTGTCTCCCTTTGCTCATTGTGCCTTGTTTTATCTCGTACCACTTTTTTCTCCCCTTTGGTGGTGCTCCTGCTGCTGACCTGTTGCTCGGGATGTATAGAAGAATATTCGGGACTTCCTCAAGGTTCGAACCGGCTACGATGTTTTCCCTTTATCCTTCCGACTCATTGTCCTCGACACCGATCTACTCATCAACAAGAGTCTTAACATTATGATACAAAATTGTGGGTGATGCTTCTGGTTTGGACGGATTAGGCCCTGCACCAGCTCGGAGGCGGGGTTGATCTGGTGGGCTGGATATGCTTGGAAGATGTCCTCATGCTAATCAATCCTTTTCCTTCGCCACAGCAATTGTGTCTGCACCGCTATGGGACTCTCACACCTCCCGCTTCGCTGGCCTCTTGACGGCCACTGATTACATGAATGTGATTCAGTATTATTGCCAGTTTCCCGAGGAGATGAGCAAGCTGGATCAATTCCGATTGAGTAGCCTACGAGGTAAGCACCGTCGTCTCAGCCTGACCTGGAATACTTCGCTTACCGGCCGAGGGATACAGACATTGAGAGAGCCATTGGTGCCGTCCCCATTGAAACCATTTCGGTCAACCCTCTCCTGCCCCTCTACGAAGCATGCAAAGGCATGCTCAAGACTCGTGCTCGACGAATCCCGCTTGTTGATAAGGACGACGAGACAGGCAAGGAATGGGTCGTCTCTGTTATCACCCAATACCGAATTCTCAAATTCATTGCTGTCAACAACGAGCATAATACAGTTCTTCTCAAGCGAACGGTCCGAGAGTTGAATCTCGGAACATACACCAATGTTGCGACAGCCCAGATGACTAGCCCTGTGCTAGATGTTATCCAAATGATGGTTCATCGCAATATCAGCTGTGTCCCTATTATCGACAAGGATAACAGGCTACTCAACGTTTTTGAAGCAGTGGATATCATCCCTTGCATCAAGGGTGGGGTATACGAGGAGTTGGCGGGATCCGTGGGAGATGCTCTGCTTAGACGTCCGGAAGACAGCCCAGGCATATACACTTGCTCAGAGCATGACCGTCTTGGTGCTATCTTTGACACCGTTCGGAAGAGCCGCGTGCACCGACTCGTCGTTGTTGACGACGAGAACAAACTGAAGGGCATCGTTTCCCTATCCGATATCCTGGCTTATGTTCTACTCTCCCCGGTGGATTGAATGATGAACAAAGCGGCGGGACGATAGATTGCTGGGATTGGTTTTTTTTTTGGATGATGGATGCCTCGGCTCATGATGAATGAAATTGACGAGCGATGACCACGGAGATCTACAGACCAACAAAGATATGGGCGCAGGCCTACAAACTGTTTGGTTTTGTATGCTATGCATCTTTCCATTTTTCAACGGCGCAACGGAGAATCTAGGGACTATACGGGTGGGTGATTGGCAAGAGCGAAGACGGCCTGTTGGATCACTGCCCACCCTTTTCCCTTTTACACATAATAGACCTGGAAGCGTGGGCCGGTAAAATCTGAATTTACCAATTTGCACAATGGAAGCAGGATATATGGCCTTGTGGTTCAGGAAGCGGTGGCACAAGATCTCAAAGAGCACTAGAACACTGCCGAGAATACCACCGTGATGACGGCCGAGCATGATGGATGACGAGGGTTCGTCAAAGAGTGGCTGTACTGGAGACACCTGTTTAGATAAGAAGGACCCAGTACTGCCCATGTTGATTTGCTATTGTTTCCTGCTGTGAGTTTATGTCCTGCCTCTCTCGCAACGGGCCGCTACATTACCAGATAGTAGGTGCTGGGATCTCAATGTCAGCTTCATTTAGATATCCTTCGTTGCCATTGGACGGCGTGGTATAACTTATCCCATCATGCATTAAGATGCCGCTGTACAACGTAGCAGAGCACTGTAGAGGCCCAAGTAAGTCGCACTGGCGAAACGCGTATCTGCCGGCTCCCGTCGACGAGTGCCGAGCGGCCGGGTCTTGACTTTGTCCTACTGGTGATATTTATGCAGAGAGCGAGCAATTTCGCACGCACTCTGCGAAGAGCAACTCATTTAGTTTCTATTCACGGTGAAGACGCACGTGCATACGCCTGGGTCCAGCTTTGGCATGCTGAGCGACTGTGTGTACATCGATGCCCTGCCTAAGGTATGTTGATATCCACAACTGCTACCTGCAGCCGTCAAGCTTGCTGTTATTCTGGCCTCAGCTGAGCATTATGCCACTTGACTCGCTTCCTTTTCATGAGAAATTTTACTTTCTGCGGACCTAGATATACCAGTCGCAGCCCGTAACGCATTGCGGGCTGGGTTTGGCTGGAAATGCTCGTGGTTGGGCAGGCATAGCTTTGCGTTGGCACACGTTGACGTATGTCCTTGTCCAACTGTCTCTTGCCAAACCAAAGAGACAGCTTTCCTGCTGGCGCGCCTCGAGTTCTAGGTGCCCTGCCCTCGGCTTCGGCTTGATCTTTCCCTTACTGTGAGCGCCTCCCCCCCCGATCTCGATAGAAAGTCTATTCTCTTGGTCATCACCTGCCGATGCCAATTATTCCCTGGCTAGCAAGCACTTTCTGCATAACAGTCTTTTGTGCCAGGCCCAACTTTCCAGATTTGGTCTTGGTTTCCAATGACTGACCCCTTGGGCTGTTATGTGAGCGAGATGTTTCTTGCTATGCGGACCTCTGTTGCGTTTGGAATACGTGAACCTCGCGTTCCTCCGTCCGGCTTCATATGACCTAAATGTGCATTGCTAACAGACACATTTTTTTTTTCGCGATTTCAGCGAGCAGAATTACTCTTCTTCAATCGTTGACATTTAACTACCGCGTAGCAATCTTTCGTCGGGGCTGGCCACAGACGATATGGCTGCACCCGCGTCTGGGTATCCTACTCACCCAATCCCCAATTCATGCTCAACCGCCGAAATACATGTTCCCCTTCGGAGGGCTCCCCGAGCTTCAAGAAGCTCTACGTCGCTCGCTTTCCCACAGAGTGCAACGGTTCATCACCTCGGGGGCCAGCGAGATGGACCCATGCGACGCACGAGCAGAACATGGACCACGAGCAGTGGCGATTTAGGCCTTATGAGCGATACCGACGAATTCGACGACAGAGCATTGGTTGTCCAGGAGTACAATAGATTGGCAAAGAAGGTACTGGGGACCCGCGTTTAGGTTCTCCGAGTCTCCTTGATTGACATTTCTATAGCATGGTGTGAGAATACTCGTTCTCGATGACTTCAAGATTGCCACCCAAGTCTGTTTTGCCCGGCTTTTTTTGTGTTACACCTAGATGCTGACAACAAAATAGAAGAAGATTGAACCCGCTGTACCAGAGAAACGAGGATGGCTTCACCGAATGCTGCGATCAACATCGAATGGGAGCCAGGGACAGAGAGCAGCCAGATCAGCTGCCAGACCCGGAACGCCTTCCTTGCAGCACAGGCGAAGCGTTTCTGAGTACGCAAATCACCTGGCGCCATGTAGAAACAATCCTACAAGAACCTTAACCCTCCAATCCATGGTTCGACTCAGTGGGAAAAGCGTCCTCTACCTTCCCCAGGATTACACCCCAGGATCGCTGGTCCTGCCAACGTGTCTTCGGGCAACTGCTCAACATCTCTCGCAGCACGTAACCACGAGGGGTATTTTCCGAATTTCTGGGTCGGTTAGAGTAGTAAATACTCTGTTCGACTACTACTGTTACTCAAATAATGGGGGATCAGATGTCTCCAGCACCGTCCGTTGCGCCAACCTGCCATCGCACATCGATTTCTCTATCCACGATGTTGCTTCCACCTTCAAGCGCATGATATCGACACTTCCCGGTGGTATCCTTGGAACCTTGTCCATTTTCGATGCGCTCGTAGCGATTCATGCACAGCTGCGTGGCGATCCAGAATTCCCACGAACAAAGCAAACCAAAGTTCGTGCCAGGCTCATTGCGCTAGCTATTGGGGCTATCGAGTCCCAGTTTCGGCGAGAGCTCATCTGCGCCGTCTTTGGGCTCCTAAGTTTGATCGGAAGGGTAGCGGAAGTAACCCCAAGAGAGGATGAGGGTGGAAGGCCACTGCCGACGGGTGATTTGATGGGATACAGTGCCCTCGGTATTGTATTTGGGCCATTGTTGGTGGGAGAACTATTAGATCAGTACGATATGAACTTCGCGACGCCATCGAACGGTATGCTCCTTTTACCACCAGGGGCGAAAAAGATACGACAAGGCCGACGAAAACCCGCTCCGTCGGAGAATAATCTAGTGGGAGCTCAAACAATCAACAAGGTGAACATCGTCAACAGTATCACTGAGATGCTCATTGCAAATTGGCGTGACGTGGTACGTCAGATGAAGGCTCTTGGAATACATCACAGGAAGGACGTGTCGAATCCTACACTGCGCAGTGGCTCGCTTCGCCCATCATTCTCGGAGTCATACACAGCGCGGAAACCGCCTCGAGGACGAGAGCCTACCCAAAGGGAGTCCGGTGTTCAAGCAGATCGAGACAGAAGCCCGGTTTTTGAGGCACCCATGGTGAATTCAAAAATCCGACAGCCGCAACCCAGAAGGAGTTTTGGTTCCGCTCAGTTAAAATCGAGACCTAGCGCCGGTGTCCTAAGCCCAACCATGGAGGAAGGAAGCATAGAAGGGGAGAGGCGGGGAAAGATGGCCTCTGAGACTATGTTTTGTGAGCCCGCGTTTTCTGTTCAAAATGGCAAGAAACATACTAGATCCGAACCGATAAATAACCTTGGGCCTCATAACCCAAACCAATCCACACAGCAGAACAGCTATGCTACACCGAGGAGAAGCCGTGGTGGGGAGTCTTCAAGCACTCACACGAAACCAGGAGCTCGAGAGCCAAGGAGTAGTATCCAAGAAAGCTCGGTTCATCACAGTCCTGAGCTTTCTACAGAGGATGTTCCCCCGAGGACATCGTCGAAACAGGGGTCTATCGGTTTTCCTTCCCTCCAGCAAACAATTCCAGCTGAAGAGCACGAACCTTTCAATAACACAGGCGACCGAGCGAGACAAAGTTTGGCTCTAATAAAAATGGAGCACCTGCGTGGGCAACCCCGTACACCCCCTAGACATATCGATACTAGGTCCGAGGAAAGGAGGAAATTGCCAAACACAAGCGTTGATCGTGTCTCTCAAGCTTCCAATAGAGAGCTACCACCAACACTGCAAGTGGCGGAACCATCAGTCTTAATCCCGGATCACCAGATAGAGGCTCTGGAGTCGGACCTGTTTCATGATCTATCTCAACTTAGGAGGGGATCAGTTGTGAGCCCCAGGAGTGAACGTGTGAACATGGACCGCCCCAAGCAGGAGATGCGAATGCCAAGCGAAGAGCATGAAACACAGCCTCTAAATGGACGCGAGATACTTTACTTGTCACCCAATGGAGATGTAGAAAAGCATATCTCAGCATCATACAGAGATGAAGACATAATCTCGACGGACCCTGCTGAAACGAAAATACCGAACTTTTATGCTCCCATGAGAGTCCCTGGACCTGGAAACCCCTTAGGGTTGAGTTCAGCGTCTCGTCCACTTTTGTTTGAGGGCTAGAGATCCTCGGTGGATGATTTGACAACTGAACCTTCTCAAAGAACAAAGATCCCAGGCGCCTTTGCTGCGAACGATACTCCACGCGAAGGAAAGCTATCTTCACCGAAGATCAAGCCCGTCAACACCCTTGCATCGCAACGGCTGGATCGCTTTGAGCCGAAGGATACAGTTTCAAGAAACGCGGTGCGGCGGAATCGAAAGATTGAAGATAGAAGCCAGATAAAAAACAAAGCCAACCGATCCCCTCGAAGCAGTGCTAGTAAGCAAGCTGGAGTGAGGGCAATGGCGGCGATGTTTGAGAACCATGAGCCGCCTCCGAAATCAAGCACAATGTTGGCAAAGGAATCTACCGAGACTTTTGGCTCAACGCATAAGGCGCAGACATCTAAGATACCCCAAAAATCATCAAACGCAACCAAGTTTGGCTCAGCATTGGGACTAAGCACTCCTCCTAACCCAACGCCAGCTATGGGGCCTCCCAAAACGCCGAATACAAATATCAAAAAAATAGATGGTCAAGGACAAGTACACCCAAAGCTAAGGACCTCTGTGAGTGATAGTGTAGCGCTGCGAGCTGCCGCGATCATGCAAGCTGAGAAACAGCACCAAGGGCCAAATTCTGAACGGCCACCTTTTGCTGGCCTCAGACATATTGATGCTGCTGGCAAGATGGAACCCAACAAAGGGAAAGACCTTCAAGGCCAAATGAATATCTCCGCAAGTCTTGGGACAATGGTTCCTCCCCAAGAGCAACCTCCTGTGGCACAATATCTCCATTTATCTCGCCCACAGTCAGCCATGTCAACAGCTGGGTCTATTCAAACAGAGTCCCTTAGTGTTCCTCTCAGCTCGACACCAATTCAACGTACTGGAAGCACCAGCTTGCTCCATTCCCAAATCCGCAGTCTTCAGCGGCAGCTTCAAGCCAAGGTTGAGGAAACTTCTCAGCTTCGCCGACAACTTGAGGCACAAGAGAATTTTGATGTAGGTACACTAAGTGAGCAGCTGCGAGAAGCCAAGCGAGAGCTTCAGATGTGGAAAGAGAGAGCAGAGGCTGCAGAGAGGAGGGTCAAGGTGTTTGAGAAGTTCACATCGAAGCTAAAGGGTATCAGACAAGCTGCTGCTGCTGCTGATGAAAAAACCCACCAGGGTGAGCCGCTTGATGAGGATGTTTTCAGCGATCGAGAGGATTCGAGTGACAATGGGAAGGTAACTGATCGGGATCAGCATGTTCGATTCATGGAGGGTTACCAAGTGAAGGATAGAGAAGGAAGCGATGATTCGGGGAGGACAGAAGACGCCGGTGTTGTGACGGCGAGGATACGCCGGTGCTTACACGGAGGACAGGAATCTCTTCATACCCATGATGGGACGGCGGACCGAGTATATAGCACTGTTGATGGACCAAGCACTGATAAGGCAGTTTCGCCAACGAGAACCCGGCTAGCAAAACGGGACATGAGACTGGAGGCTCTGGATATTTGGATGGCGGCACAGGAATTACTGGAGTTGGAGGATGCGTTGCAGTGATGCACACCACTTGGTATAGATTTTACAAGGACTAGACAGGTGAAAATGGAGGCAAGAGTCGCTTTTAGGCACCATTCCTCTATTTATTCTTACTACGAACGTTACGCTTGTCTGTATACTACGCGAATGCTTAATCACCGAACCAGGACCGGTCTGATATTTCCTACACTCTTGAACTGAAAAAGCCTTTGAAAATTAAACGGAAGATCTAAAATGTGGACGAGCCGTAAGTTCTATTTTCTAGTCAAGAGTGTCGCCTGTGCGCCTGATCCGCCACCGTCCTGAATTATCCCGTCCCATCGTGATATGCATTTTCCCTACACCATCAAGAATCGAGTTGAGCGCTGTGTCATCATCGTCATCGTCAATGAAAGTTTCGGCATCACTCTTCACCGTTGATAGCCTGGGATATTGGCGGGCGGGCGGATTTTGTCGGGAAGAATCCGAACGTGCGTGATCAAAACTGTCGTGGAAGAGTTGCCCGCCCATCTGCGGGAGTGGGCCGCCTGGAGCCTGCTGCTGGCCCTGCTCTGGCGGGGTGGGAGAGAGGATGAAGTCAGAGTCTGGCGGGGATGGGAGCTGGGTTGAGCTCTCGGTTGCGGTTGCGGAGATGGAGTGGGTGATCCGGGGATAGTAGTGGTGGGAGCGAGGCTGGGCGGATGGTATGGAGTTGTAGTAGTCTTCGTAGGAGTTGGCTGGAGGAGGCGATGATGCGGTGTCGTTTGAGGAGTTGTACGCCAGTAGGACGGGGGCTTGCTGCGGGAAGGGAGGGTAGGTGGAAGTGGAGATAGTCGTGGACAGCCCGGAGTCCTGCCAGCTTGGTTCGTTCGAGGATGGTTGTTCGGAGTTGGAGGCCGGGGAGGAGCCAGCAGCCGGGCTGTCGTCGTCGCCATCCTTCGTTCTGGGCCAGACCATGGCAACCCGGGGGCTGTAGGGGAGGTTGTGTGTGACGGAGGGGCGGCTGCCATGGTCCGGGAGGGCAAGTCAGGATTCACTGACGAAGAGGTCCTTGTGCTTGTGGGTGGCTTCAACCACAGCGGCGTAAACTGCGAGGTCTGGAGGGTTTGAAGTTAGCCCAGGTAAGTAAAGGGGAAGTAAGAAGTGGTGAGACTCACCGACGTCTGGCCCTAGATCTTGGGCTTGGTACGACTTGATAGTCAAGTCTGAGTTGACCTTGCCTAGAACCTGGACGCAGCTTCCACCGACGACCTCGGAGAGCTGAATCTGATCGTGAGTAGATATTTCGTTTTTGAAGAGGAGTGAGTGCCTTGGATTACCTGGTCAAGAAGGACCGTTACTGTGCCGTCGGAATCGACAGTGGCCTGCTTTCCTTGCACCTGGAGAACCTTGCCGACCAGCATGACATGGCGGCCGACGAAGCTGTCTAGGTATCGCGCAGAAATGCGGGGGTGGACGATTTGCTCACTCATGATGGGCGATTGATGTGAGAAGGATTGCCAAAAAAGGTAATTCTCGCTAATGGAGACAGCAATGCTTATTTCCTATCAGAGGTTGTAACTTGTCCGTCGATGTGACGTGACGAGATGCAAAAATTGCTGTAATAAGCCGTTGGGTTGTCCACGAACGCGAAACGCGTGAGAGGGGCAATCGCAGACACACGCGCGAGATCACGTGTAACAATGACGTATCACGTGAAGTTCCCAGTATCTCTTCACCATTTGCCCAGCAGGGGGGAGTAAAAAAAAAAAATCTTGATTCAGAAGCCGAGATGTGATACTAATTATGGAACATGCGTAATTGGAATTTAGGATTTCTCAATTGCGGATTTGCCCATGATCGCGATCGAGAATCAGCGAATTCAAGGATAATGGGGAAACATGGGATACGAAATCAACCCCCACACAATGTGAATGCTTTGCAGGCTTGGCATCCTCCGGCTAACACCATTCGCTCGCTGAGGTAGGCCTTGCACGATCAGCCCGCGGACATGCATTCGTCGTCTCAATCCCTTCCGTCATAAAAGAAGGAAAGAAAAGGGAGAATGAGATCATATTTAGCATGGGTAAGGTTCCATCGGACCATCAGCAAACAGGGGTCGAAGCCGTTTGACTAGTCGTGGCATCAAGAGCAATCCACCAAATCGGAGTCTCTCCTTGTATATGGAATCGTCATGGCCGTTGAATGGTGCCTTTTGATAGGTACACAAGATCCAATTGAAGAGTCCCATTCGCCAGTTTATGACACCCAGGAGGGCAGATCCCCGTAGACGTTTTTTTTTTTTTTTTTGGCGTGCCCACTAATGATGCCCTTAAACATGGCACGAGATCCTCGAATCTCGATGGAATTACTGATTGGGTATTTCTTTCTGCACTTCAGAGTACCTATCTTAATTCAAGGTGTGGCGAAGGATGTGCTGGCCACACCATCATGAGCGATTGGTATGGGGAGAGAAAAGTTTGGACCCTCCATGGATCCGAAAAGGTGATCAACAGGTAGTTCAGTAACACCCAATCCCAGCATTGTGGGCATAGCTCGTCTTGCGGTCGAGGTGCGGTACTGTGCGTGCACCTTTCACCATCGCCGGGCTATATGCTCCGTGACGTGTTTTTCCGCTGATCGATGCCAACTCGGAGATAGGTTTCCATCTCCTCGAAGCATCGAAAGCTACAGCGAGGTATTGTCTTTACTTGTTTATGCTGTACAGAGGATACTGGAAGAGACTATAAGAGGCCCTACAATATCGAATTATGGGTGCAATTCTTGACGGTGGCGAAGTCACTCAGCAGAGGTAGTGATCCAGTAATACCTCGCTGAGAAGGGCTGCGCATTAAGTACCTCTCAGTATGCCGTTTATTGGGCGAACCAATACCCTGCAGTTTACGTGCTGTAGCTTTCGATGCTTCAAGGAGTTAGGTAACGCAGGCAACCTTGGGGCCAGCCTCCCCACCTCTTTGGAAGGATCTTCATGCATGAACAATTGGAATCAGAGTATGTTCGATTATGCGCACTAGAATCTTAAGTAAACTGAAGCGAAAAACAGGCCAATTGTGAGAGCTGAGCAGATAAAGCCAGCTCTTTGAGGCGATTGGCAGCTGCTGAGGATCATGCTTGATACCTCCGCACCGACAACACCGCGGAGGTGTGGCAGTGCCTGTCTTCGAATGAGGCACCCACTTGGATGCTGCAGGCTTGAGGTGTGACCGGGCGCCTCAGAAATCAGCAGAGCGGGTGCTTTAGGTGCCGGAAGAAGCGAGCAAGCCCATAATCCTCATGCCCCGATCCTGTTTCCGCAAACTAACTGGCCTTGTGGCTGTTCTGCGTAGCTGAAGGGAGAGCTGTGGAGAGCTACTAAGGGGCACTGTGCTGGATGCAGCGGTGCTCAGCTTTTAGCTCCCTGCAGGCGGGGTTGCGGGTAGAGTTTCCCGCCCACCAACTCCACTTCCGCCGCACTGCAGCCTACCATACCATTCTCGCTGGGTTGAGTCCTAAGGTATGACAGCCCTCACCAAAATGCCATCCACCCACTTGCACCTTCGTACATTGGCTCCAATAGTAGCAACCGCTAGATGAGGCCCAGGTTGCCCGCAAGTACCTCGAGTTGCACTGCGCTGGCTCCGGAGCTACCTGGCCGGTACCTTTAGTCTAGTACTTGCGTGGAAGGTGCGGTAGGCGAGTACCTAAAGGCCTCGATGCAACGCTGGGCCAGAGCTACCGTCCCGCTTTGTCGACCTCTCTAGAGGTTGTGCCTGCCAGTCCCGCCTCACCATGGGGAATTAGTGAAAGCCATCCATCCACTGCGGAAGCGTCGTGGGTCCATGACGGACAGGAGCCTCCACCCCAAGCAGGCTCTCTACTTCCTCTATGCGCATAGCTCTCTCATGTGCTTGGCACCAAGTAGACTGGGAAGTGAGATCAGAAATATGGTCTTATCGGAGACTGGACATGATCCCCATCTAGCTCGAGATTGATCTGATCGCTAGGTACTTAGCTGGTGCCTGTCCCTCCTGTGTTGGTTCCATTGAGGTCGATTTCTTTGACTTGCCAACCCATCGCCGAGACCTGCTCTCTTCTGTTAGTCCTACCGAGAAACTTGGCGCTAGTCACTTGCCAGCCAGTTGGCCCAACCTTGTCTTGCCTCGTCGCTACTGCGACTGAAGCTTTTCGACCTGCAGGTCAGTGGCCTAGACCCAATACAGGCCCGCCTAGCACAACAGAGTTCAACAGTAACAACGACATTACCTCCGAGGCTTAGTCCATTCCAGCAGGAAGCAGGTCACATCGAAGCGACCGGAGCTCAATTCGCTGGGAGCCTCCACTCCGGATTGCCTCCTCGACTAACACAAAGCCTTGTGGTTTTTGATTTTAAAGGCCAAGGCTCAGCAGAAACCGAACCAAGGTTCAATTTCAACTCTCTACTTGCTGCGTACCTACTGATCGGAACATTGCGCTCGCACACACACTCTGCTCTGCACCTATCAGCTGGCTGTTTCACATGAATTGTCTTCTGGACCTGCCTCCAAGACCCTCATTCCTCCATAGTGTCGCACCCACGCATCGCCACACTCGCCTCTCTTCCCCGTCGCGTCTCTCTGCAAGTTTGGACGCAATAGAGTGGGGCGCCGCCCGATGCCAGATTCTCACGGTAATAACGAATCCCGATACATCCGTTGAGACAGCCATCCCCTCACGAGTCTAAGGACGGGACACCTGAGCTGCAAGTGGCGACTGTTGTTAAGGAAGAACCTGCCCCGCAATTCCTGCATCGATCGAAAGCTGGTGACACACCCAGCTTAAGGTACCAGGGCATTGCATAGCTCCAAGTTCCTTCACACCCGGCTGTATCATTCTCTTTCCCCTTACTTCCAAACATATTCGATCGAACCACGGCGAAATCAATCGAAACACCCAATCCAATATCGCACCATGTCTGTGTTGACCGACCCAACTTCGGCGGATGCTGCTGGCAAATTCGTGGATACCGACGTGGATGTAGCTCTGGCTTGCTCCGATGGGTTCTTGGATCTCTCCCCAACTGCCGACCGTATGATGGTGGATCCCCGCCTGGCAATGCAGTTCCATGCCAGCATCAGCGACAAGGCCCCCGAGCCCACCTTCGCCATGTCTCCTTCCATCTGGGATCAGCAACTTGATAATTCGACGCCATTGTTTAGCCAGCCACAGAATGGAGAAGACTCGATGGAAATCAACGAAGATATCGATCTGATAGCCATCGCCACATCCAACTCTCATGACTCAACTGCAACAAGAAAGTCATCCCGGACCTCGAGCAATTCGTCAATCCCGTCGCTTGTTTCTTCTGCTTCTTCGCGTACCTCGCAACCCAAGAAGCGAGTCCGAAAGCCTTCTCGAAAGAAGCAGCAGACGCTCTCAAAGCAAGAGCTAAAATCGGGTGACAAGGAAGAGGACTCCAAGCGAAATAAGTACCTTGAACGGAATCGACTTGCCGCATCCAAGTGTCGTCAGAAGAAGAAGGAATGGACGCACGATCTCGAGGAAACCAAGGCGATACTGGAGGCGAAGCACAGTGCCCTTCAGCGGGATTACAGTGCGTTGTTGCAGGAGGTCAGCCAAGTAAAGACCTTGCTGATGGCACACTCGAACTGCCAGGATCCAAACATTGATCAGTGGATTGAAGGCGAGGCTAGGCGATTCGTCAGAAAGTCGATGGATGGATCCTTCAATGCCTTGGGTCACCGCCCATCCATTACCCCATCGTTGCCTGCATCCGAGAGTCGCCAAAGCCCTACAGGTAATCAGCAGCACTTCCGCGAGTTTCTCGCCTATTCAAATGGTACTAATTTCGCCAGTTCCAGCTAATCATTACTCACCAACGGCATCATCACCTGGCGCTGTAAGATTTCCGGCACCACCTATCAAACGGGAAGATATCAACTTCGATCACATGCCTGATGACATGTTTCAGTGATATACACGTCGACTCGTGCCTATGTGCCACTAACTTGGGGCCCAAAAACAACAAAGGAAAAAAGTAACTGGATTGAGAGATCCAACATTCTACCTTGAGGTGGTTCAGTTCAATTTGAGAAAACCTTTCTGGCGATGTGGCGTTATCTGGTGGTTTGGAGGGATTGCGTCCTGTATTCGATCATGATACCAAAAATGACTCCGCGAATAGGGTTCTGCTAGAATCCAGGTTGGAAGTGGGTGCTATCTCCCAAGGGTTGGGATTTGTCATGAGGTGAAAAGGAATGATTCGGAGCCTGCGAGCCCGTGATGACTTGATGAACTAGGATATCACGACATGAAGACACTTTCACTGGTTATGTGCAGCAGTATTAGTGTGTTAGTGGAGTGAAGAAATATAATATTAATTTGAATGTATTCAAAGTCTGTTGGCTTAGGATTGAGACTAGTGGTTGGCTGGTAATGTCCTGAGAGCGTAAATGATCGATGAGAGAAAAAGGAGTTCCCGGGGGGTGTCAGGGATCTATCAGGTTATTAATGGTGCTGGGACCCGCCTCATTACATGACTCTTACCAAAGACTGACGCCTTGGATTCGTCTCCCACCGGAGCTGGGAAAATCGTACAGGAGCAGGGTGTCAAACAAAATGTACGACTGGGACAAGCCTGAGTCAGTCACTGCTAATCCCGAACTTGAAGCGAATGGGAAGACAATCACTTTGAAAGACGTGTTCATTGTTGCGGCAGAGTGAGTTTGCATACACGATTGCCGATCACACACACATGTGCGGCTCAACACGAATTGCCGGAAACTCTGATGAGTGATGTGCTAGTTCCCCCAGGATGAAGCCTAAAGTTTGAGACACTTATTGAAAATTGGCGGGAAACGGTCAGATACAGGAGAAAAGTGAGGAGGAGAGGACTGTGAATTTGATTTATTGTTAGTGTATGATGTGTATACATGGCTAATCCTACATTGTACATCATCCTCTGACCCGATATAGATAGATACAGCACGACCATCAGGATGTTTAATGACAATAATATTACACCGTCGGAGGCGGCATGGCCGTGAGGCCGCTGCCCTGCTGTCGCTTCTTCGATTCTCACCGCCCTCTCCCCTACTTCCTCTTGGTCCAGCCGCGGGCGTTGGACAGGCCGCGGATGCGCTTGGTGTACTTCCAGAGCTGGCGGTACTTGGGGCCCTGGCGCTTGGCCTCCCAGCCCCTGAGCTTGACGGGGCCTTTGAGGGAGTGGACGCGGGCCGTGCGGAGCTCGACGTCGGCCCCCGGGAGGCCGTGGCGGGCCATGACGGCGGCGGTGTTGTCGTCCCAGACGGAGCGGAACATGTTGAAGCCAAAGGGGCGGACGCGGAACTTGCTCTGGAAGGACTTGAGCGAGAACTTGTCCCGGCTGCTGGCGTAGAGCTCCTTGACCTTGGCGACGTCGACGCGCTCGCCGGGTAGCTGCTCGAGGAGGAAGATGGCCATGCGGTGGTAGGGGGAGCCCTTCTGGGCGAAGGCGGGCAGCCAGGGGAGGGCGAGCTGATCGTCGCCCTTGATCTTGGAGAGGGGTAGGGAGGTGTCGGTGGGGCTCAGCGGGATGTTGGCGGCGATGTAGTGGCACCGCTTGAAGAAGGTGTCGTTCTCGACGTCGGGGACATCCGGGTCGACCACGACGACGGTGACGAGGCGCTCGCCTGGGTTGAAGAGCTGTACTCGGAGTCTGGGAGGGTTCTCGCTGACAATGGAGTCGACGATCTCGCCTGGAGCGACCTTGGCCTTGCGGAAGTAGAGCTGGACATCGGCCGTGGGCACCAGCTTGGGTATGATATCTGGCACGATGTGGAATTGTGAGATACGCTGGGTGATGAGCCTCTGATCGTAGGAACGCCACTTCTTCTCGGCGTAGTATCGGTAGATGGGCTTGTTCATGTCACCTGTTTGCATCTTAGATCAGTAACTGGGATTGAACCGATAGATGCGACCGCTCGTTCTTCAGAGGAACTTACCAAGCCCGTCCTCGAATCTCTTCTTGACGATTGGGTCATTTACGTCAGCCTTGATCTTGAGTTCCTCGACATATTTCCGTAAACTGGCGAGCCTCGTAGCCTTCATCTTGGGTCCGCCCTTGAACTGGGAATCTTCGACAGCCTCTATGCGGGCAATCTTCTCCACCTCCTCCTTGATCTTGGCTATTTTTTGTTCGCGATCGGCGGCGAGAATCTTGCGGGCTTCTTGGAAAGCCTGGTACGGAAGTTGCTCAAATGGTAGGCTGTTGGGGTTCGAGCGGAGCGCTACTCGGCGACGACGGGAGCCGACGGGCATCTTGCCGGCCTTGATGAGAGCATCTTCGAACTCAGGCAGGACGGTATCCGGATCCAGGTCGAGCGGGGTGGGCTCGACGGCGGCCGCTGCGCTGGCGGCAGCATTCTGCTGGCTCGAGGTGGTGTTGAAAGATCTGATGGCGAGGCATTGCTGCATAGAGCGCTGCTGCAGCTGCCGGGCGAGCGGTCTTGCGACCGATTGACACCGCGACATGGTCGGTGGATTTTTTCTGTGACTTCCCCGGGTCCAATTGTCCTGTCGAGGCGTTCCAACGGAGGCTGAGGATCGGTTCACTCGTCGTGTCGTGACTTGTACTCGAAGTTGAGGCAGCTCGAAAAAGTTCGGTGCAGACGATGGGCCCACAATTATTTCTCCAGGTCCCACCATTTGCCAATCGGATTCTTACTGGCTGCACGGTTTTTGATATTGAGCCAACCCGCCAAATCAGTCTCCAAGGGCCATCAATTCAACGTTCGGCATCCAGCAATCACACACGCAATTACCCTCGACGACCGGCTTCTGTTTTTGGACCTTCGGGAACAATGGCTGGACGGGGAGTTGGTTGTCTCTCAGAGGCAATGGGGGCCCTGAGGCTGTCTGCCGCGAAGGTTCGTTATACCCAAATTTACCAACTTTAGAGCCCAGAAACTGACATCAATTCTCGCAAATAGCCCTCAACAGTTGCCAGGATATTTACCCGATCAATGGCCACCGAGGCTTCCGAGACTAGTATTACCAGAACCGCCAGCGACAAGTCTGCATTAATCCAGTCATGGAACCCAGGTGGGACGCCTCGAACCGCAATATCAGGAACATCTTTTGACTGACAAAAATTCGCTTTCGATTAGTGTCCACCGTTCCTCTCACAATCCACAGCTTCCCCTCGTTCGAGCCCACATCCCTCGAGAAGTGGTCTGTCGATCACCTCTACCTCCCCCTCCGCCGCGATATCCTCCACCTGGCAGTGGTCTTCGAGGGCGACAACACCCGCTCCGGCACCGCCAGCTCCAAGACTCGCTGGGACGTCCACGGCTCCCACCGCAAGATCCGCCCCCAGAAGGGCACCGGCCGCGCCCGTCTCGGCTCCAAGCAGAACCCTTTACTCCGCGGCGGTGGCAAGTCCTTTGGCCCCCACCCCCGCGACTTCGGCACCAGCCTCAACCGCAAGGTCTACGACAAGGCCTGGCGCACCGCGCTGAGCTACCGCTATCGGCGCGGGGAGCTCATCGTCTGCGAGGACGGAATGGAGCTGGCCATGCCCCGGGGCTTCGAGAAGGCTCACAAGAAGGACCTGCGCTGGGGCCTGCGCGAGGCGTACCAGGCCCGGTACATGAAGAGCGTCCTGGACACGCTGGGCCTGGGCAAGGCGGACGGGCGCACGCTCTTCGTCACCGGCGACCGCCGGGAGCACCTGTACTCGGCCATGGAGCAGGTCCCCTGGGAGGGGCGGGCGCTGGACCTGGAGGATGTGGATATCAAGGATCTTCTGGAGACCGGCAAGGTGGTCATGGAGCGCAGTGTACTCAAGGAGATGATTGAGCGCCACCAGAGCGATCTGGTGGCCAATGTTGTTGTAGGCGGGCTCAAGGGTTCTGGTATCCCGACTGGCCAGAAGGTGTTTTAAAAAAAGAAGATCGGTATCTGCGCTCGGGGTGATTGCTGGGTATCGATAATCTTGTATTATGTATCAACTTATCTGTGTACAACTGTTAAACAAGCAAACGGAATGAATGATATTCAATTTGGATCACAAAAATTCTGGTATTTTGCCTACATTTATTATTTGTATGGACTGGGTATCTCCTTGAGTCTAAGTGTCTAATCAAACATTTGTGTGGCTCGCCCTGCTCGCCCTTTCGTATCCAGATTTACATACTTGCTGAGGTGCCTCATAGGGCACCTCCCACAGCTTGCACGATCCACATGGCGACCCTGACGTGCAGACCAACCCTCCTCTCATTCTTCGTGAAGTCGTCCTGCGTGACAGGTTTGGCGTGCTGCTGGAGCCAAGTCTGCTCTTTGCCGAGCTTCTCTTTTAGGGCCTGATCGCGGGTGACGATGAGGGCACCCACCTCGAGATCGAGAGAATAGCTGCGCTTCGTGTAGTTGGAGCTGCCGATGATGGACATGGATGGATGCTCATCGCCGGGGAGCGTGACCCAGAGGCCCTTGGCGTGGTAGCTCCAACCCTCGGGCTGTCCCACGGTGCCGCGCCGCCATTCCTGGAGAGTGATTTGGCCATCGCGGCCATATGTGTGAATGGCGCTGAGGAAGCGACGGGCTAGGAGTGTATATGCCCCCGGTAGAAGACCTGAGACGCCAGGCGACTTGTAGAAGCCGTTGGCTTCTGGGGCTGCCGTGATGACGGTGTTGGTGCGGGCGGAGGAAGCGGTGGTGAGGAGGAGTTTCGTCAGCGAGGGGGCAGGATTGAAGTAGCCCGCGGTGAATGTCCAGGATGAAGATTTGTACTCTGGCAGCGCAAGAGTTTTGAGAATGTGGGTGATGGCAGGGAGCTCGGTTGAGGTGTCGGGCTTCATGACCTGCGACATTTGGGCGAGCATGTACACGCGGGTATTATCAAATTCCGGAGTCGCTGGCTTGACAGATGAGCTCTGGGATATCAAGGGGAGCAGGGTTGATGTAGTGCTTTTGACGAATGCCTTTGGCTGCTCCAGCGGTGAGGGCGCCGAGTTGGTCTGCGGCCAGGACAAAGCGAAGCCGGACGGGTCATCAGAAGGCTGGGCCAGGAAACTGAATGATCCGACAGCCTCGTGTATGTTCCAGAAATGATTCGTGACGTCTGTGGATGAGAAGAGGTGGTATCTATCCTGACGATTGGTAAAGTAGTCTGATGAGAGATTCGCTCTTTACCCCTCGTTAGCATTATTCTGTGAACTCCATCATGGTGTATTCCTTACCCAGACATGATGATCTCGTCATCAATACCATAGAGTTTCATATGCTGAAGACCCCAGCCCTCATTGATTCTCTTGGGAATCGACTTCTTTCTCAACCCCGTCAGGTTTGGTGTATGATACATGCGCACCTCAACCCTGTTGGCGCCAAACTCGGCAACCAAGGGCACAAGCAGTGAAGCACAGGTCGGCGCAGGAGCCTCTCGGGTACCCCTCAGCGCATCAGTGAGAATGCTCAGCTTGAGCTCAGGGTTCTGCTTCATCGCATCACGGAGTGTCTCAAGAAGCTCTCGCTCCGATTTGCCAATGTACAGCGTTGACAGAAAGATGCGTCGCTTGGCATTGCGGATACGGTCCTTGAGCGTCTCATAAAACTCGGTAGGAGTCTGGATGACCTCGATTTGATCACCGCGGAGATCAAAACTTGGGGCGACGCGATCCAATTCACTGACAAAAGGTGCCAACACGCCAAAGGCACTGCTGCCGCTGGTAGCTGACGTCGAAGCAGCATGGGCAGCACCGGTGCTGCTAAAGCGCCGGCATTGGAATCGAGGAGCTCCTTTGGGCAAGGATGGCTGAGAAAATGGCCTTGGGCGAGCCCTGCCCGTGCAGCGCAGACAGGTCCGAACAATCATTGCAGATTATAACCGAGGAAAAAGCCCTCGATAGGTTGCAATTGATTTATTCGCAAATCATGAGTCGCAATTCATACGCAAATATCAAGTCTGGCACCCAGGATCTTATCGATAAAGCTTCGAGCTTTGCGGGAAAGCCGGCCGGGTCAAAATTTTCCCGATCCGATTGCCGACGGCCCTCTCACAACGTCAATCCATCTCTTCCCTCGAAGGAGGCCAATCGCGGCGAGGCCAATTGTAACGCAATACCGCAGCCATGTCGACCATCACGCGAACACTCCGTAACCTGACCAAGGTCGGCATCAAGGTTTGTACATGTCCCAAGCTGATCAATTGACCGAAAAGTCACTAACATTTCGTGCGCAACAGGACTACCTGGTCCAGATGTGGGTATGTAACTGAACCGTCCACCCGGCAGTCCAACCGCCTACGCTTTCTCTCGATGGAGGGGGCCGCGGCCACTCATTATACGAACGAGAAGGGGAAAATGGAAGGAAAAGGAAGCTAAGATTGGGATATTTAGTACATCGGTGACACCAAGTACGGTCGTCTCGTCGGCACCGATCGCGCCGGCAACAAGTTCTTCGAGAACAACGAGGAACTCCCCCTCCGCACCCGCTGGGTCCAGTACGCCAAGCACGACTTCGACGCCGCCCAGATCGAGCCCGGCTGGCACGCCTGGATCAGCTACACCCTCGATGCCCCCCCAACGGAGGATGCTCTCATCAAGACCGGCACACGACACTTTGAGCCTACCAAGCCTATTCCCAACTATACCCAGACGAGGGGCGCTTTCAAGACATACAACACGTGAGTTTCCATTGAATTAAGCGAAGGGGGCGTGGTTTCCGATTGGGATCATTCGTGGAGGCTGGTATATTGGAATGCTAACCTGGGATGATAGTGTGAAGCCAAAGATTGCGGCATGGGAGCCCGTGGCTGCACCACGATCTTAGGAGGGACTTATAGAGTGATGAATGGGCCAAAAACGGGAAGCCTGTATACATAAGCGAGGATAACATGGCATAACTTTCGTTTTCGTCTTATTTGTGTGATTGACCTGTCCCTGAATACTTGTGATTGATTCACTATGATCTTTCCAACCAAACTAACTGCGGAATGGCTATCCAAATGGAATTGTAAGTCTGAAATTGTTTTTGTCTTCTTCTTTCTTTCCTTTCTTTCTTTCTTTCTTAAAAAAAAAACAAGGGTGTAGATTCTTGTCTAATGCAATGAGTCCGTCCACAGTTGTGTATCAGAAGCCAAAAAAACTCGCACTATCCAAAGCATACGGTCGTATATACATCTTTAAATCTTTCCCTTCACTGATGCTTCGATGGCTAGTTATCATAGTTAGTATGGGGCCGTGATGAATATATAGGGGTTTGAAACATACCCTCGCAAGAAACCTTGGCATCTCCGAAAAGCATCTTGGTATTCGGCATATAAAACATAGGGTTCGGAACATCCGCTGGCAAGTCGGGTCAGTCTTGGGATTCTAAAATGAAGGGAACATTATTCCGCGAAACGTACCGTATCCGCTTGCCATGCCACGCTTCATCACAACAACTTGCTTCGCCTTCCATGCATGCAGCACCGGCATTCCTTCAATGGAACTTCCCTTTTCCATGGCGATGGGGTTGACAGTATCGTTCGCACCGATGACGACAGCCAAGTCGGTGTCAGAAAAGTCATCGTTGATTTCGTCCATTTCCAGAACGATGTCGTACGGCACGCTGGCCTCGGCAAGCAGCACGTTGCATTGTCCGGGCATCCGGCCTGCCACCGGGTGGATGGCGAACCGGACTGTGATGCCCTTCGATCTAAGTATTTCGACAATGTTGGAGATTGCGTACTGGGCCTTCGCGACGGCCATGCCGTATCCTACGATGAAAATGACCGACTCTGAATTGAGCAAGGCATCGGCCAAGTCATCTACAGACGTGGTTGTTACTTCACCTTGTGGCTTGAACTCTTGGACCCCTGTCGGAGCAGATATACCACCGAAGAGAACGTTGGTCAATGAACGGTTCATCGCCACGCACATGATGTATGAGAGAATAGAACCCGAAACTCCGATAAGTGCACCGACGGACGTTAGTAATGGGTTGTCAAGCATGAACCCTTCCGCCACGAGAGCGAAGCCGCTATACGCGTTGAGAACAGTGATGACAACAGCTGAAGAGCTTGTTAGCGAAGAACATGTAAATATCCGCTTCAGGCGACGACTTACGCATATCGGCGCCACCGATGGCAGCCGTGGTAGTGTATCCTTTGGTGAAGCTCAGCAGAGTATTCGCTGCCAGGGCTCCGGCGGCAATCATCGGGCTCCCTGGGGCCATTGTGATGAATGCACCCATCGTGGCAGCGTTGGCAGTGAGTAGGCCGGTGTTCAGAACGTGACGTCCGGGGATGATGGTGGGCTTCGACGAGACACGGCCAGCGAGCTTGAGGAAGGCAACAATTGAACCAGTGAAAGTAATACCACCTAGAATTCGTCAGTAGCTGAGATCGACGATTCAATTACTTGGCAGGGACAAGACATACCAATGAGAACGCCCAGGTAAGCGGTCACCATGTGCAGGGTGGTGACGTCGTCAATATGGCCCATGACGCTGCCGATACTGGTGAGAACAGCAGCGAGACCGACCACGGAGTGCAATGCAGCAACTGTCTGGGGTAAATCGGTAGGCGTGATGCGCTTGCCAATGAGGAATCCTTTTCGAGACAGCCATTGTTAGCAATGGAGCCAAGATAGATAGTAAGTGAGAGGGATATAGATATATGCTTACCAGCTAGAGCTCCGATGGTCGCGAGAGTGCCAAACTGCGTCAAGACTTCGGGGGAAAATCCGGCGGCGAGGAGACTGGCAAGAACACCGGTTCCAACACCGAGCATGCCCAGCATGTTCCCGAGCCTTGCAGTCGCCTGTGATGCAAGTCCGGAGATGGATGACATACAGAGAATTGTGCTAGCAAGATAGCCGGCTTGAACAAGACCTTCGGCTCCAGTACTGGCTGCGGCGAGGAAGCCACCGCCGAAGACAACAGCTGGAATGGTGTACAGCCATGGATACTCGGGAGGATCAGTTGGTCCTGTATTGTATCGTCAGCAACATATTGACTATCGACGACAAAATTCAGCCCCAAGGAAAACTTACTCTTGAACATGTCGAGCATACGCTTCGTCACGACAAAGCCACCGCCCACGTTAACAAAAGCGAGGAGAACACTGAGGGCGCCAAAGGTTTGCGGAATCGTCGCTGGCAGGTAGCCGCCACCAAGGATGAACAGACCTCCGAGACCAACCATACCTGAGATAGCGTTTGTGACACTCATAAGAGGGGAGTGAAGGGCGGGGGCTACACCCCATACAACACGATAACCGATCAGACTGGCAAGACCGAAGGTGAAGGCATTGCTCATGAACAGAGGGCTGGTGAGCTTTCCGAGACCCACAACACCACCTAGACCAGCACTAAGAGCTGCGACCTCGCGTGTAGTCTTCTCCCAAGGCGTAAGTTCCTTGACCTCGACGGTAGCTTCGGGCGTGGCAGGTTTGGCGGGAGCAGGAGGCGGTGCGGGGCGGGGTGCGGGAGGTAGAACTTCACCATCCTGGGAGACAATAGCACCTCGAACAACCTCGTCAGACAGGTCGATTCCGAACTCCTTATCCTTGGGTGTCATCGAAAGCAGGAACTTGGTGATGTTGTTGGAGTACAAAGTGGACGACTGGGTGGGGAGGCGAGATGGGAGGTCAGTGTAACCTGGTAGATACGTCAGTTATTGTCCATATCAGGGCGATTCCTTCCCAACTTCAACTTACCGATAATCTTGACATCATTGTATGTCGCGAGCTGGCCTGGGACGGTAGCTTCGCAATTTCCGCCAGCTTCAGCCGCCAGGTCCACAACAACACTTCCGGGCTTCATAACATCGAGCGCTTCCTTCTTGATCAGCTTTGGCGCAGGCTTTCCAGGGATAAGAGCCGTGGTAATGATGATGTCGACGTCCTTGGCTTGTTCCTTGAACAGCTTCATTTCGGCCTCGATGAATTCCTTGCTCATTTCCTTAGCGTAGCCTCCGGCACCGGAACCGTCTTCCTCAATCTCGACCTCGACGAATTCAGCGCCCAGAGACTGGACCTGTTCTCGGGTAGCGGGACGAGTATCGAATCCACGGACGACGGCACCCATGCGGCGCGCAGTGGCAATGGCACTCAGACCAGCCACACCAGCACCAATGACGAGAATCTTGCACGGAGGGATCTTGCCAGCAGCAGTAACCTGACCAGTGAGGAAGCGACCGAAGTTGTTCGAGGCCTCAAGCACAGCCTTATAACCGGCAATGTTGGCCATACTGCTCAGAGCGTCGAAAACCTGGGCACGGGAAATACGGGGGATCATGTCCATGGCAAAGCTGGTGGCGCCCTTCTTTGCGATGGCGTCGACCAAATCCTTGTTCTGGGCTGGCTGGAGGAACGAGATGATAGTTTGCTTCTTCTTCATGAGCTCGACCTCGTCGAGGGAGGGACTGCGGACCTTGAGGATGATGTCGGCACCGGACCAGACTGCCTGGGCGCTGTCGACGAGAGTAGCTCCGGCAGCTTTGTAGGCGTCGTCCAGGAAATCGGCGTGGGATCCGGCGCCGCGCTGGACCAGGACCTTGCCATACCCCTTCTTAAGGAGCAGCGCAACATTCGCGGGGGTCAGCGCAACACGTCGCTCGCCTTCGAAGATCTCGGTAGGCACTCCGACGGTGAGGTTTGCAAAGGGGACAGTGGGGGGAACAACGGTGGCAGTGGTAGAGTACTGGTTCACGTCTGGTCTGGCGGCCGTGGGAGTCCAGCATTCATGGCGAACAAGAGCCAATGGTCTCGCGGAAGCTGCAACCAGAGCTCTCGGAGCTGGCTTGCTAATCGAATTGAAGCATTGCCGTCGGTTAGAAGCTTGCCAGTGCTTCGTCTCTAGAGCTCCAAGTCAGAGCTGATCTCTTGGTGGGTCGCGAATCTTTTCGCTGGGGCTCCGTGGGAGGAGGAACTGGTACTTACCACTCCAGGAGGTGCATACGAGCCGAGCCGAGGAGCAGGAGGGGAGACGGGCAACATCAGACGCCAAAAGGCGCATCGGAATCAACGCCATTGCAGTGGGAGCGCACTCATGAGCGCGTGCTGTCGCAAAGTTGGCTGTGGTGCGGATACCGATATCGGTGCGGATGTCTCGCAGGGCAGGGCTGAGCAAGCGGCAGCAGCAAACCTCCCACACAGCGACGACACAAAGCCACAAACGACTAAAAACGCACCAAACAACGCAGAATGTGGTGTTGAGGGAAAGAGGAGGAAGGGAAGAGGGGAAAAGAGGCAGCCGTAGCCGAAGGAGGCCGAGCCCTACATTGCGCTAGGGGGATGGGAGGTGGGAGGGCGGGGAGTCTGATGTCAAGGGAGCAGCAGCAGGCGAGTGTGACTGATCTGATGCTTGATTAGGTACTCGGCCCATTATGGACTGTCTGCATGGGTCTCGGTCCTGTTTCTGCACCATGTACGCATATTGCTCTCCTCCACCGATGACTGACCGACTCGAAGATGGTTCCATAGTCGGCCATCTGGATTTCCTGGCCGACCTGGACACAGGCAGTTGCGGATATGATCCAAGAAGCACAGCGTACGACAACCGCGTCTTAGTGCCTCGAGTCATCATCTACAGTGGACGACCCACCAAGAGCTCAGGGCTGCTAGCGGGCAGCGATCGTCGTGGGGCGATGGGCGGCACTGGCGGCGCTAAAATCTGGGGGAGGAGCCACGAGTCCTTAGACAATCCTTCATCCCTCTGCCACATTCACCACCCTGCATTGTTGATTTGATCGCTTTGTTCTTCGATAGCTGGAGTATAGCGGTAGCTAGTGAAGTGAAGCATAAGCACAGACGAGCTAGTATCCCAGCATGGCGCTCTCTCCGAATCGTATCATTCATACGTTTGGCGAAACAGCACATGCATATTCCCGAGTTGTCCGTGGCCAGTGGGGAGTGTTACGTTAATAATGGGTGTCGTGATGCGGGGAAGAGGCTCTTTACTGGATGGAACAATCCAACGGAACACATCGATGCCAATTTTACATTGCGCCAAGAGGCGTTGTAGGCAGCACGGCGGGGTAGCATGTAACCCCAATCATCCTTTGTCATCCCCTGACTGAAGCCATATGTACCGAAGAGCTTGGGCTGGTGGCACCGTAGCCAACCATGAGCGTCTACGGTACGGCCCTGCTGCGACTGTTTCATTCCTCGCTACCACCTTACAGTGAGGTCTGTCCACAGCGGGAATACAAAGGCCCAGTTGCGCTTGGGCCTGGGCATCCATGAATTCTGCCATTTTGGAGGACGTGGATACCCCCATCGATGTCGTCATTGGATCTCGACTGTGCCTGACTTGGGAAATTCTAAATTTTATGTATGACACTAGATAAACTGGAACCAACGTGTACTAGGAGCGTATCTGGGTTCGACGCATGAGCGCCAGAAGCATACGCAGTGGAAGATAGCCGCTTGATGCGAACTTACCTAACAAGGAGGCCAAGATGGGCCAAGACGGGTGAAAGATGTAGGAAATTGAAGCTGCTCATGTTCAAGGACTATCAATAAACTCTTACATGTGATTCTAGAGAATGGAAACACACTGATCTCTTTTTTGCACAAGTGGAATTGATCAAAATATTGCTCGCTGGAACCAGACAGTGCAAGCAGAATTGGGATTGCTTACGGTGATCGAGCTTGCTCACCTATAATCCTTGCACTACGTAACAGCTTTCGGGACTTAAAAACTTATCAAGTTGTAAACAGGGGATGGTTCGGCCTGAATATAGCCCCGTAAGTAATCCTTTTAACTGGTTCAAGTCTACGGTGGTCAGTAAAAGTCTCCGTGCGGACTCCGCCGCGGAGTTTCAGGATCCTGCAGCAGGCAGTAGATGAATGCAGCATCCTATGTAGATGAGCATGTCAGATAAAATATCGCCAACCAGCCAGTTTACGACGATGAAAAATAATACTTTATCCTCTTCTAATTATTACTTTACAAGATGGCTCACTCGTCACCCTCGAGTGATCTCCCCGATACCATGAAAGTTTGGCGGTTTCACAGCGTCGCAGGAGGTGCGGAGAAGAACATGCGCCTGGAAACCATGGAGATTCCCGACCCAAAGCCAACAAAATCGACGCTGGTCAAGATGGTCGCTGCTAGCCTCAATCCCATTGATATCAAAGCCTCGGAAATACCAGTATTAGGCTCTTGCATCCATCGCCTCCCAGCCATCCCTGGCTGCGACGGCGTTGGACGCGTCATAGAAACCTACGAGCCATCTCTCAGCAAAGGGATGATGGTGCAATTCCGGAAGAACGAAATGCAGCCGGACGGTGTGTTCGCGGAATACGTCTTGCTCCCGCCGGGACAATGTGCCGTTATTCCAGATGGTGTGCCTACGACGCAGGCTGTTACTGTCGGGACCTGTGGCGTTACGGGGTACCAGGCCCTCGCTCCATACATCCTCGATAAAGATGGGCAACCGAAAAAGCATGGGCACACTCCTCGGGTCTTCATCAACGGTGGCTCCGGCGGAACAGGTGTATTCCAGATTCAGCTGGCCAAGATCTTTGGGTGGCATGTCGTCACGACCTGTTCTGCCTCTAATATAGAACTCTGCAAGAGCCTCGGAGCCGACGAGGTGATCGACTATCGGAAGGAGCCTGCGGAAGAGGTACTGAAGCGGATGGTGCTGGAGGATAGCTCCAAGGGATTTGACCTCGTCGTGGACAACAATTCCAACCCATGGCCTTTGTTCAAAGCGGCAGACGTATACTTGCGAAGCGAAGGGACATATGTACAGATTGGTGCTGACTTTGCAGTCGACAGCGCCAGGCATTTCTTCAATATCAACCTCCGACCAAAATTCCTAGGCGGCGCCCGCTCCAAGTGGACGTTTATGGGCATGAAAACAAGCCGAGAAGATTCGGAGCGCATTCTTGAGTGGATGGCTGCAGGGAAAATCCACATACCAATAGATAGCGAATTTCCCTTTGAAAAAGTCCCGGATGCTTATTCAAAGCTGAAGTCTGGAGCCAAGGGAGGGAAGATTGTTGTCCACTTTTCAGAATAGCCACCCATACTGAGATATTTTGGGGTTAGATGACGACATGGAGGCTGCTGTCGCGACTTTCTCGCTCTCGTGCAGATGGAGTTGAACTTTGAGTGTGGTTAATGGTTACCTTGAGTGTAGCACCCATGCCAAACACGCTTGATGATCGTTGCGAGTGGCAACAAGGTGAATTTGGGTGGCAAGAAGACGAAGTGGCTCGGTACTCATCACCTCGGACGATAGAGACCAGGCGAGAGACCTGGCGAGAGAAACAAAGACGCGTGAGGTCGATATTCTTCTGGAAAAGGCCAGCAATAGATTGTCTTGGTTGGAAACTGATGTGCGTCGGAATTGCTTGTGCCAGCCAGACCTTGCCTTGATCGAAGCTGGGGTACTTGAGCGTGCACGACCATGGCACAACTCCAAAGCACTCTCAAGGAGCTACAGCCCCGGCTCAAATAACCGATGCGGGTTTTGGGAGGCCGCCTCTTAAGGAAATGGCCTGGGCCCTGTGGAGGAGACCAGTGCGAAGCTCATTGTAGAGAGGAGTTGCACCATGGTGGCCATTGGTGCTTTGTTATTGGTATTAGGTACTATACATACGAACGGAATTCTCCATAACCTCCTTCTGCTTCCGTCCCAGTATATGAGCCCTCAGCAGACCCATCGTAGCGCATCGGCAGATGGAGCAAGATAGCAGCCTTGCGTCGCACTGGGTTGAACGACCGGGGCGATTGCAAACCTGGGCTCCTCTTTGCGCGATAAGAAAATATGCATGTTTCGGCACTTCAACCTTGAATAAGACCCTGGTCCCGACTGAGGGACGGACCTTAATTCAAAAGATCGCTGCCTGAACTGGAAGGTGAGACATCAGGTACGGATGTCCGGCACTTCCTCGAGTTGGTGATAAGCTTGAGCTTCCCAACCAGTCGTGTAATAACTGATCGACCAAGTTATACAAGACCCATGGGGTTTGCGACTTTATCGCCCGCAAGGAAGCCAATCTGAAATTGGTTCTTAGAGCCGATGTGGCGTCATGCGATCCTTGCCTGCTAGATGCAGCTGCGGACGCGTCTTGCCTGCACATTCGTGAGGCGGCGGATTGATATTTAAGAAGGGATGGCCGCTGGATCCTGCCTGCTTCCCTTCCTCTGCAGGCTCCTTGGCAAGTCCTCCCTTGGGAATCAATAAACGCCCGTGGCCTTTTCGTCCACAAGAAATCTCAACTCTCTTCCATCTGTTATATTTTTGCAAACATGAATATGATGAAATGGGCCCTGGGATCAGCTTTGCTGGCTCTCCCACAGCTTGCTACAGCCCAGCCCACTAACCACACCAAGCCGCTGGTCAAGGACGTGAGTGCCTCTTTCCGACGTGACTGAGCCCAATTGATTTGATCTGACACTCCTGAAATGTTTGCAGAAGGCTCTCCAAGATGCCATCACGGTTGAGAATCTCTACAAGCACGCCGAGAAGCTCCAGGCCATTGCGTATTCCACTCCTGGTCGCAACCGGGTCGCCGGGTCAACTGGCCACGACCTGACGGTGGAATACATCTCCGAGCAGCTGAAAGCTCTGGGCGGCTACTATGATGTCCAGCTTCAACCTTGGGAGGGATTATCGCAGCAGTATGGGGAGATCTCCTTTACTGTCAATGGAGCCGTGTATGACGCTAAGGTCGTCGAGTTCTCGTCCAATGTCACCGCAACAGATGTCCCTCTGATCGTTGTCCCTAATCTTGGATGCGATGCTGTGAGTAAACCCATGTTCTTTTTCTGCGCCTGAAATGGAACCAGCATATGCCCATGGGCTTGAGTTGAAGCTAACGCAATAATAGGCCGACTTCCCATCTACAGTATCAGGCAGTGTTGCGCTGGTTCACCGTGGGTCATGCACCTTTGCCCTCAAGTCACAGAATGCCAAGAGCGCAGGTGCTGTCGGTGTCATCTTCTGGAACAATGAAGATGCAGGCGTTGTTTCTGGAACCTATGGTGAAGTTCTCGACAACGCTGTCCCTGGTGGTGGTATCTCTCAGGCAGATGGTGAGACTCTCGTCGCATTGAGCGGCAACACCACTCTCACCACCTCGCTGGAAATCGCCACCGTTATTGAGCTTGTTCAAAGGTACTTCACATCATTCCTCCTCTGGCAGTAATTTTTTTTTTGCTAATAGTTGGGCTAGCGACAACGTGATTGCCACGTCCAAGTACGGAAGCTCCGATAATGTCCTGTTCCTTGGTGCACACAGCGACAGCGTGGCCGAGGGTCCAGGCATCAACGACGATGGTAGCGGAACTATTGGTCTGCTGGAGACGGCTATTCAGCTGGCCAAGTACAGCACCAAGGCTCAAATCAAGTTTGGGTGGTGGACCGCTGAAGAGTCCGGGCTTCTTGGATCGACCTACTACGTGGAGACCCTCTCCAATGAGGAGCTCCTAAAGATTCGCCTCTACCTCAACTTTGACATGATTGCATCCCCCAATTACATCCTAGGCCATTACGATGGTGATGGTAGTGAATTTGGTGAGGCCGGCCCTGCTGGTTCTGCCGAAGCCGAGCATTTCTTTGAGGACTACTACGAGTCCAACGGTCTCAACCACACCGCTACCGAATTTAGTGGACGGAGCGATTACGGTCCCTTCTTGGATGCCGGTGTCCCATGCGGTGGCTTGGATGCCGGAGCAGACGAGCCCAAGACTCAGGAGTGGGTTGACAAGTTTGGCGGCACCCTTGGCGCTATCCTTGATCCCAACTACCACACTGCCCAGGATGACGTTAACAATTTGAACAAAACCTGCTTCGGCATCATGTCCAAGGGCATTGCCCATGCCGTTGCTTACTATGGCGCCAGTGGGTTCGAGGGCTTCCCCGAGAGAAACACTACGGCAAAGCGATCTGTGGGAGAGGGAATCAAGGCCAAGCCTACTCACAAGTACCCATACAAGTTTCCTACTGTTCTGTAATTGAGTGTATATCATGTACTGTATGATTCTCAAGCAGGAAACATCAAAAGCTGATAATTAGTAGCTGATATTCTTTCAATGCCCGTTACTAGATCCCTTAAATTGATGATTTGCCATTAAGAATGACGTAGAAAAATCAGACATACAATGCGGAGAGATACGATTGAACTGGGTTCAGAAATGGGGAGTACCTGTTAGTTTAGGTAGCCTGGGAATGAGAACAGCAGGGAGATGTCCCGTTATGAAGCGCCGAAGAAGAGGATGTTAATGGGATGACTGACTATAGAAATTCTTTGTTTGCCATTCTGGTGCGAGGATTAGTGTTCCCAGTCCCAATCTCTGAGTGTGGTTGATTCGACTTTAGCTAGCCTTCCATCACACCCATGGAAACATGCTTGTCATACACCAGACGGTATTACTTCACATACAATAGGTTAATCCGTGAAAATGAGACGAAAAAAAAGCAGTTAAGCCCAAAGAATACAAAATTTCAGAAACTTGAACTCTTTATTAATAACTTTTCAACCTGTTTAACTCGAGTGCCCCGACCTGGCGAGAAAGCGCATACGAAACATCAGATCTACACTTGAAACTACTTCAATACACCAAAGCAGCAAAACATCCTGAAATGAGCACACTTGGGAAACTTGTGGCACACAAGAAATTTCTGGAGGAGAGGAGCGCCGATCTCATAATGATGATTGGACACCTGAGGACAATCAGAGGTCAGAATGAAAGGGAATTCCATCGCACATGGGATTCTAAGCCCGAGGAGTGGAGGGTGAGCCCGGAGGGTCAGGCCTTTCTCTCTAATTGGAGTGAACGCGATCGAAATCTCAGAGAGCTTTTGGGAGAATGCGAATCAAATTTATCGGAGACGATTGAAGAGCTGGGCGCCGTACAGAGAGCACTGGCTTGCCACTCTTATTGAATGACTGTGCAAGGGTGGGACAGGTGACAAGCAAGATTCTATGAGTAACCACTGAATATTATCAAAGAGATTTTGCGCTATTAGACCACGGGTGGTCGTTTTGGAAACGGAGTGCTTCGAATTTTGATGCTATGGATTGTCTTTATAGATTTCCTAACCTCCCACTATGAACCTGTCCACAACTCAACCCAGTTTCCTCCTTTCAAGGTGACGTGCGTACCTAATGGCTTTCTCGGCACCATGGATTTGATGGCGGTCTACAGACGCTCTGGGATCTCATCCGCATCAGCAAGGTCAACCTTGGTTTCTTTGAACCTCCGAACCGGAACTTTCTTCTCAAAGAGGATGTCCATTTCCGCAATCGTTCTTCCCTTGGACTCTGGGACCATGAGAAATGTGAACAGGAATCCTAGAACGCACAGCCCAGCCCAAAAGAACCCAGTCAGCGCGCCCCAGCCCCAAGCGGTGGGGTTGAGCATATACGGCGTAATGACACCAGCAATGATGTTGACCGCAGTGTATGTGTTGCGCGCGATGACCACGGATTTGCTGCGAAGGAGGGATGATGGGATCTCTGAAACTAGAACAAACGTGATCGGCAGGACGAGGCAGTTCGCGACGAATCCGTCGATGGCGAGGAGCGAGCCGATAGCCCACGACAATGCTGATGATGGCGCTTGTCGCAGCGGAATCCCCATGCCGCCGATGGCTGTGAAGAGTCCAATGGAGATGAGGTTCCCCCAGAGATACATTGTTCTCCGCCCGGCAAAGGTCATTACCACCCACTACGAGTGCAATGTCAGTCTAAATCATGTGCGTAATATTGGTAGCTTGGGACACTCACCGCGCCGAGTACTCCAAGAACTGAAACCACCAACGCGACGATGGACATGTTGAAAGATTGGTCTGTAGGCAGACCGGCCTGCTGGAAGAAGTAGGTCATGTATGCTCGCAAGGGCGCGCCGGTGACGACCTGCATGATGTAGACACCCATTACGATGATCGTTCGGCCGAGGTTGACGCCTTTAAAGCACGCCAGGTAACTGGTCCTGGATTCCATGTCTCGTTCGTGATTCGTCGTAAACACCATTAGAGAGACGATTTTCTTAGCGTCGATATCCAGTTCCTGGGGGGAGGTCAAGCGTGATACAATGACTTCCGCCTCGTCTAAACGGTTCTGACGGACGAGCCACCAGGGAGATTCTGGCATAAAGAAAACCCCGAAGACAAGAACAGCGGGCCAGAACCACCTATTCTATTTATTAAATGATGTTCTGCATCCAGTACTCCATGAGACTTACTGGAGAGCAAAGGGGACGCGGTATGCCCACGGGCTAGGTAAGTTAAGAGTGCCGCGGAAGGCAGCGGCGTTCAAAAGTTGGCCAAAGGCCTGGAAATGTCAGCTTTGTTTTCTTATCTCTGTTACAACCTGACAAGTACTTACCCAAACAAGAGAATAGAAGCTCGTAAGATAGGGACGAAGGGCGGTAGGCATAATCTCAGCAACGTATACTGTAGTAATAGTTTGGAAAATCCCCAAAGGTAAAGCTAAATGGCGTTAGGCTTGAGTTTCAGGTTTTTTGAAGACTACTCACTCATAAAACAATGCGCAACAGCTATGACTGGGAGATTTGGTGCAAAAAAGTATATGAAAATAATTGGAGGCATAGAGATCAACGTAGCCATCATAGTCTTCCGGAAGCCAAATTTCCCAGTCACGTAACCGCCCAGAAACATTCCAATGATAGAGCAGACGCTTGACATTCCATTCAGCCCACTCTGCCATGGGGCCGAGATCTGATATGTCCCGTTGGGTGCTTGGAAACCAAAGTCTTTCTGAAACACTGGCTGTGCGAAGAGAGAGCCCATAATCTTGGTGTCGAACCCCTCCATGACCAGGGCGATGGACACAATGGTGGCATACCAGACTGCACTTCGGTAAACCTTGAAGGCACGGCGAGGGGTTAGGGAATGCTCCCAAGTCGTTGCGACTTCAGCATCGGTGCGGAGTTCGGCATGCATGGCCTCGGTGTACAAAACACCGGATCCACGAGGATGGCTTCGAATTTTCGATGAACCAAGAGGGGAATATGTTAGTAGCTCGGAAGATCAAATGAGCATCACCGCCAGTGCATCCCCGACACTTTGGCAGGCCGGGAACCTCGCCGACAAGCTGCTCTCACCAATTCAGAGCTTGCAGCATCCAACTATTTGCACGGATTCCAGTGATATATCTCATGTGGAACCACAGAACCAGGACCCAAACCTGTGCCTCCCGAGCAATGCTCAGCTTGAAGGAGTTCTTCCAGCAGCCGTTCCAACTGACAAGGCACCGATATATCCTGGTTCTGAAGGCCATGATCAAGAGAATGATCCGAACTTTGGAACTTCTTCCTTTGAACGTTTCCAGCGGACTTCACAAGTCATATCGCTAACATTGAGTTTGGACAAGTTTGTCACCTATGAGGTGCCAACTGAGGCCTCGTTCTCCTACTTCACAGACGAGCTAGATTGCCCGTTTTTGTCCCCTTTTGACAGTCTTGGTTGGAAAAGAATAAAACAGAGCATAGCACAGCTTGGTGCACAAGAGGTATCGGTGGCTAGATGTATTCTGTCAACTCAAGCACTGCATCGAACTCAGGTGGACAGGTTGCCGACTGAATTCGCCATGTCTCTGTATCAAGCAGCCATCAGCAGTTTCCAGTTTGTATTGGACAATGACAATATCGACTTTGATATCATACTCATCGACGCATTTTTACTTCTTTTATCCCAAATTATTCTCCCAAATCGAGACAACCCTACCTTCACATGGCTGGACCCTGTGCTCATAAATCGACTGGATTTGAGGTTGAGAACTGGCCACAAATCTCCCATTTCATTGCGGATATGTACTTGGTTGCAGATCCTCGACACTGCTGCGAAAAGGGGAGGGAGCCCAAGCTTACTGCCAGATTCTGTTTTCAACCACTTGACTGAAAGCATACCCGAGGCGCCAAGCCTCTCTTCTCTGGATACTAGACTGGATCCGGGAGATACTCTCTACGATACCACCAGCACTCCACTTTACGCATTTTATCTCAAGGTCCAAAGGGTGTCAAACAGAGTTGCAGATGTAAGCCACTACCGCCGATCACGAACCACCCCGGCAGATCAGGCTGAAGTGAATGTCATCTTGACTGGCCTGAAAGATACCATGTACGCCTTGTGGGAGAACCGACCTGGGCCATTGCGCCTCCAGCCGAGAGAACTTCGAGATCATTTCAATTTTGCTATTGCAGAGCCCACCATCGCTCTCGCTGGGGTCTGCCTAGCAGCGTACTTCGCTGAGCTCATTGTCTTTGGCCGAACTCTTGGGGATCCGATATTTCCATCAATCGAATCAAGACACGCCATGGCGCAGATCAGAGGATACGTTCATGGTGACTGGGGCAGCTCCAGCGGAGGAACCCTAAACCCAGGGTACCTCCGAGCTTTGTTTCTGTACGGCGTCGAATGTTTCGAGAAGGATGAGTCGCGGTGGGCGGTGGAGCGTCTAAGGCAGATTGGGAACCCTTTGAGCAGAGGAAACTTTTTCGCATCTTTCATTGAGTTGCATGGGGAGGCCCAGAGAGCTCAGCGGCGGAGAGTGACGATGAAGTATTTCTGTCGTCAGAATTTTGGCGTACCGCTTCCGTTTGTGTAGATGAAGTTTTGTGTGAGGATTTTATCCAAGCAGATATGGCCTGGGTTGTAGACAATGAGTTATGAATCCCCACACGCCTTTTCCTCATTCTCAACAGTTTTCGTAGATAACGTCGTATATCTACACGAGTGTTTTAACTATTCGTAGTCCATTGGAGCCTATTCATCAAATGAGGCAAAGTTATAAAATTAGCTAGTTCCATTCTCTGCGACTGCACAATGATCCATCAGTAGCTGAGTAGATCAGCTTGCTGGTGAACCCCGGAGTCTCTAGTTTGGTCACAATCAGAGTTGCCAACCATGTTATTACCTCAATGCATAGCTTTGTGGTTTGTGATATAGGCAGAAAGTAAGGCAGAAGGTCGTCTTAGAGAACTCACGCAGGTCTTGTTACTATAGCGCTTTGATACATAACTGAAATGAATAAAATGATCTATTATCTTATCTCTAAGTTCCTAGTAAACGCCCTTAGACTCCATTGCAAGCTATGTTAAATATTTGACAAGTTGTTTTAATTGACACGCCGCTGCATTTCAATAGGCTAAAGTTCTTCATCAGACTCCGTGGGCGGTGATGGCGGACGAACATACTGTGGGTCCGGCTGGGGAGGAACCTCGATAAAGTCTCCAAGGTCACTGAACCGGCGAGCTCTCATCCGTGGCTGTGAGTAATCCTCGCTATGGGGCCAAAGCTTGCGCACCCATCCCCTCCAGGCTGCTGGGTTTGAGCGATGGGGTTCGGGGACCCAAGCCTTCCACTTGTCGGGGCACTCCTCGCCAAGGTAGGACTTTGGATCTCTGGGCTTGGTATTGTTATCCCGGTGGACGGCGCTGCTTGGTATGTCGAGCAACGCGCACCAGTTAAAGTCGATAAGCGCAACGTCTGGCATGGTATGATTGGGCCAGGTATTGAAATCCACTCCCGTTAACATAACATTCCTGGGGGCTAGGTCCATATGGATAACGCCGGCATACTCAAGCACGCTATAAATTTCCATGACTCTGGCAAGGACGGCAAGCCTATGTTCTGGAAGGATAAAAGTTTCCAGGTAATTCCCGAGTATATCACCCATGGATCGACCCGGGATATCTTCTATAAGAATCATGCGGACAGATCGGGTGGTGGAGGAATGAGGGCTTGAAACCGGCAAATCAAACGTCCATGAACCGTGATAATAGGGCGTGAGATCGCCGTCCATGCCAAAGTCCATGAGTTCTTTATAGGCCGCTGCTTCGGACGCATAGTTCCCATCAGTCTCATAGGTATAGTCGCCATCCTCAGGACAGGAGTAGAGGGCATCGAAAATCTTGGCGATATAGGTTGTGCCCTCAGTGTCATCGAGGTAGCAACGTAGAACTTGCGCCGCGCGCGCTGCTCCACAAGCGACTTGATCAACGATATGTAGTCTCCGAACCTCTGGGTCCTTGATAGGTTCAGTGTCGGCTGGAGGAAAGTCGAGACACCATTCAAGGGGTGTGCGGTATGGACCTCCGCGAGGGTCCTGGGCCATGGGCCGGGGAGCTGCATCTTTGAGGAACCAGGGCTCGGCAAATGGTTGAGGAGGGATGTGCCGCTTGATAGAGAGCACAAGTCCTGGATGATATGGGAAATCGCTGGGTAGACGTTCTTTCGGCATGGTGAAATGAAGAATGTGAAAGCAGACAGCTTTGGTTTATCTTTAGGAAAAGGAAGGAAGCGCATGTAGAAAAGGAAGAAACTGAGGTGAACTGAAGAAATACGGAAAGCTGGCTCACGTTGTTGAAGTGCGATGGTATAGGGTAGGTCAAGGCTCTACCTACCCTATAGCCACATGACACGACCAGCCCAAGGCTCCAACCATAAGTAGAGATGTCTTAGTTGTAGCCTTGAGATACGCCCTTCTTCCTTAATCAAGTCAATTCACCTCAGTTCTCGCTATCGCTCGAATCCTCGTATATCACGTGATTACTAATAGAATGTTAAAGGTCTATGTACCTGCTAAAGTTTCCTGTTTTTGGACGCCAAAGCTCTCGAGCTCTTGAGGTGCATCCGCAAGCTGCTGCTCGAGCTGGGTCTGACGAGCTTCGTTTGACGCTGCCGAGGTTTCCGCGGGAACTGGAGCCGGGACGGCGGCAGGCTGCTGGGTTACTGCATTTTGAGTCTTCTGGACTTGCTGTTGCAACTGGGCTATCTATGTCTCGTGGTTTTGCAACTGCTGTTCGAGTCCGGATTTTGCTTGTTTTCAACATCTATGCAATGGAGAAGGGCATGGATCAGCTCTCTGAGGAGGAAAAGATTCGCCTACAACAGCTGTCCAGAGGTGAGATCACAGAAGAAGCCCTGTCCGATATATATGATACACGCCAGTTCATTACTTAACGACTGGTCGTCTTTAAAGATATTCAATCTATACAGCAAAAGAATAAAGAGAATACCGCTACTATTTAATAATTAGCCGAACAGATAGACAGTAACGAAGCTATCGCGGTAAAGCGCCAGGCCAAGGAGGATTACAACTGGTCGTCTTTAAAGATATTTAATCTCTATAGCAAAAGAAGGAAGAGAATACTACTAGTATTCAACAGTTAGCCGAACAGATAGATAGCGATGAAGCTATCACGGTAAAACGCTAGGCCAAGGAGGATCACGACAAGGTCCAGCGCCTGGAATAAGGATATTCAATCTCTATAGCAAAAGAAGGAAGAGAATACCGCTACCATCCAATAATTAGCCGAACAGATGGACAGCAACGAAGCTATCGCGGCAAAGAGCCAGGCCAAGGAGGATCACGACAAGGTCCAGCGCCTGGAACAAGAGTCGGCGACCAACTTAGCAAACGAGAAGTTAATTCTTAGTAAGGGTAGTTAATATATAACTCAGACGTCTACTCGCTACGTATACGAAGGCGACTTTGGAATGGAGAAGCTGTCTTCTCGAGACGACCGCCATCATGATAGGCAGCGGGAGTACTTGCATGAAGGGAAGTACTATTCAACTGGTCATCGAGAGAGGAGTCGGGATCGCCGCCTTGTAGCCCCGGACTTGGGCTTCTAGTTCCAGTTCTAAGTCTTCGAAATCCAGTCCGTTTGGGCTAGGACCTGATGGTCTTAAAGGCCACCATGGCTTTAGTAGCTATTATGACTACAAATAAAGAAAGAAGTCTGCTTTGTTGTTGTGTTGAGCATGTAGTATTCATACGCTTTAGCATTCACTGTTTGTAATATTATTGTTTGCATTGTTAATTATTCGCAAAATATTGTTTGCAGTATCTGTTTTTTTGCATTTTCTTTTCTCACATTGCATTGGCTCGCAAAAGCAAGAACATTGAGTCGATTATTTGTATTATTTTGACAAGGTCTCCGTACCAAGGAATTTAGATGCCGCTCTTCTTGTACCTTTGATCATTTCCAGTCACATTGCTGACAGTTCCGCCCACGGTATTTCCAACATCTCCAACTGCCTGCCCAACACCTGCCGTAGTTTGACCAAGAGCGTTGCCGAGCCCTTGGGTGGTGGAACCAACAGCACCCACGACGCCTCCTAGGAGACCGCCCTTGCCTTGGGCCTGTTCGCCGCCAGTGAGGACATCATCGACTCCTCCAAGGAGACCGCCCAAGAGACCTCCGTTCTCGTTGTTTGACATTTTTGTGGAGATATAGTTTTATGATGTTCGATCTTCGTATTTGCTCGTCTTTGTAGATAATGAGGAAAGTTCGTTTGGATTGAATGTTTTTGTTGGAGTTGTTCGAGGCGTAAGGATGGTTTAAATCTCGGGAGAGCATCTGGGATCTACACTTAGTTAAAGGCGTCATGGCGTAATGCGGTATGATGTCAAGCCCCTGCTGACACCACCTGTATGCAAGACACCGAGCCGATGTCATTATGCTCTAACAAAATCAAGGACGATGGCCGTGGGTCAGCCCCAGATTTCGTTCTATGACATACGTTTGCAGGGTTCTCGAGAAAGCTAGACCAATGAGAGTTGTCCATCCCATTGCCACCACTTTTACTGCTGGGAGAGGGTGTGCAGAACTCTCCCTCCTGGAGCTGCATCAACGTCAGTCAGCTAATATAATTGATGGTGTGGTGATTAATTCGACAGACAAAAAACTGCATCTGAAGGGGGATTGATCCATGCATATTCACACACATTACAACTTGCGGCCGATCCAAGCTCTGACGTATAATCGCGGCTATTTCTAGCTTAGTATTTTCATAAGCAAGGTCAACAGATAATCATGTATTTCATTCTATGCTGAGTCTATTCCGAGGCTGTTTTTTTCTCTCTCCATTTTGAATATTTTCTCTCCCTCTCCTCATTTCTGAACCTCCCCCTTCTCCAGGAGTAATTATGGGGTCAACGAAGTATGCGGCCACTTGATGGATGGCAATAACAACAAAATGAAGAGTTTATTGACCTTTTACCAAAATACGAGACCAGGTCTATATTAATTGTCGAGTTTGGTGACCTCGTCAAGGGCTAACCATGGCTTTTCTTTGCTGCTTCGGGATATGATCTTGGAAATTTCCTGCTCGAATGCCTTGGCGTTTGACGATGGCGGCACAGTTCATTCTCCTTGAGGTGGCAGCGTGGTCAAGTAAAATCGCAGCTGGTATTTTTGTCCATTTCTACCTAGCTCTTAATACCACTACTTTCTCAAGGCAATAGTTCCATGAATTCTCCTGAGTATAGACAAGCTATTTATACCTCCAAATCTTCCGCCATGTCGGTTCCCTTAATTCGAATGGCTTTCCAGAATCTGATTAGTCTCCTGTGGCTCTCACATAGACGATTACCATGTTATACATTGCCATTTCCATGGCTACCTGATTGGTTTCTGTTTGATTCATGCAGGCAAAGAGTGCATTTGATGACAACCGGGGTGATTTTAACACTCAATTTTGCAGGTCATATATAAATCGACATCATGGCTAAGGGGGGCATGAATGCATGTCTGATCAAATACCATGTCTGTGGCTAGAAGCTTTTGACGTTTCCATCTTATTGACCTTGTTGGTAGGCAACTATGGAGGGTACAAACTCAAAGTATGGCGGGCAGCCCTCTCATCACCTACCTACTATACAAATAGCTGGTCGTAAACTTCCATCTCCATACCACGCGAGCACCATCGGCGGACGTTATATTCTAACGAATAAGTCCATCAAACAATGGCGTGTCTTTATCATGATGCAGGTCGTGCCATGAGAGGAGAACTTGGGGTGGGATCGCGATCCATTCGTCGATGTATAAAGTCGACGAATCAAGTACCGGAATACTGAGTGCAATTCCAAACATCATGTCTGGTTTTTCGGATGGAAGATCTCTTGCAGAATTCGCCGCCATATCTCTCATATACCTGTGGCGAAACTCAAGGGTTGCTTGGCTTCTGATTCCAAGGACAGAGCTCGGTGTGGTACGAGGCTTTCATAGTACAGTGTCAAGAATATGCCCTTCGAGCATATGTCTCTGAACACCACGTACCGTGCTTTCACTACCTAGCACATACCAGTGCCTTCCAGGACGAGGCGTCTCACCTGTTACGCTGCTTACTGTTTGGTTGATAGAATTTATCAAGTGTTCAAATGTAAAGCAGGCGGCGCACGATATTCTTATCGCATGCTCATGGTTACCGACATGAACGATGGAGTCGAAGAACTCGGGCAGTGGCGTATTGTCGTAATACGAGCCCAACTTCCCATCCACCCACACTGCCCTGTGCACCAGCGCGAGCTTAAGCCACAGTGTTCCTGTTTTGGCGAGCTTTCGGAATGGTCCCGTGCACATTTTCAAAAGTGTCTCGAGACCGCCATCTGTTTGAGTTACCTTCAGAATCTGTTCGGTCTTAATCAGCTCTTCGAGTCCTAGCTTGAGTGTGCAAGCGACGAGGATAGTGAGGACCCGAGTATCCTGGTCGCCATTGAGTGAGTTATAAACCATCAATGCCAGCTTATGGTCGTACTCGAAAGCCATCAGGAGACGTAAGAAGAGCATGTGAGACTGCTGATCATTCTCTGCCAGTGCTTCAAGTCGTAATCGCATGGGTTCGGAGCCCGTCCCAGGCGACTCGCCTAATATCCCTTGATACCTTAGGCTTTCGACCGTCGCAATCCTTGCATGGGCCCATAACCCGATCATATGGATGACGGTAGGTGCGTGGATGTCGAAGATCGCGTCAAGTGCTACGACGGCGCAGTAAAAACCTGCCATCTTATCATTTTCGATTTTCACGAGACGTTTCTCAAACGCTGGTTTCGGAAACAATACTTTCCGGACGCCATCATCCATTGTGAAGCTTCCCCAGTTGTCACGTAGCATCCGAGGGTCTTTTCCAGTGATGATGACTATTCCCTTCGTGTCGCAGCGACGGACCCATGATAACTGGTCTAGTTGTTCCTCAGGACACGGTAACTTTGGTACGACCACTGCGGTGTGATTTAGGTCCATGTCAAGGAACCTACTTGTCTGCTGGTTGCCCAGGATGGTGATTGTGCTCCAGCCAGACATGCTGTCAATGGCCTTCATCATGACGTTCGAGCCTCCATTCATCAAAAATAAGACAACTACAAGCTTGGAGCCATTCCTTGTCTGCGGGGGGTTGGTCCGTTCGAGAATTTCTTTCACGATTGAGGCTGCCTCGTGCTTGCACTCTTCCTCTTCCGTATAATAATAAAAGTCGATCGCCTGTTCATGGCCTTTTAGCGAATGAAGGAGTTCTTTAATGCGAGCCCATGGCTGGAAGCATATAACTAAAACACGATTGGTATCGTTATTGAGGATACTCTCTTCAACTAGACCTGTGATATCATTCGTCTCATTTTCTGTTCGAATCATCATGGTGCTAATCCTCCCGCTGGACGACGCCACCAGCGTCTTTAGCGATGTGTCCACGACGGTGCCATGACGAAACCACTCCAGTATATACGTGTTATACCGTGGGAAGCACCAGTGGCTTGATCCCTGATGCGGCAGACAAAGCCTATGGATCCGCGGATCGAAGTTCTCGTTTGAAATCGTAACAATATGCATCCTCCATTTGGAGTTGAAGTACACATGTAGATCGTCAGCTCTTTGGCGAAGCAGCACCATGAGGAGCGCAAAATCCGGGTTCAGCTCTGGGTCAAGTTCTACAATAATGACAACCTCCTCAGGGCTGAGCTCTTCCTCAGTTTCGGCAATACTTTCGATGCTACTTCCTTGCTCATCTTCGCTTGATGGTACGACGAGACGGTACCTTTTCTTGTCCTTTTGCTCCTTCATTCGGGTCTTTATCAAGATCTCCATGAAGTCGTCTGTGGTGCTGGTCATGTAACGACCTGTGGCGGATTCTACTCTGGATGCCACGTAGAATACCTTGGTCGCTGGCCGTAATTGTAAAACTCGAGTATGTATCGCGTCGGGGATGACCAGGTGCTCCGCGCATGCTCGGGGCTTCAATACATGGCTCAAAGCTACGCGCTCTTTGCCATTGCATATACTTTTCGCGAGCGAATCTAGCTCATTTCGAGCTTGAGGTGTTAGCTGTTGAATATCATCCATGCTGATGATACTGTTGTTCTTGTTTCTGTCGTTGTTTTTGTTGCTGTTGATGTGGGTGGAGGAGGTGACGTGGTGGTGTCAATGTTATGCTACGAGAAATAAATTCTAGGAAAAAACAAACAACTACACCTCACTTAGCAATACTCATGTAGGTACGTACCGGACGCGCAAACCACCAGTTCACATTGTTCTCAGCTTGGGTCCGCAAACTGCGGAACTACCCATGGGTTAGATGCTCAAGTGGGTGACAGAATAAAAGAGACCGCAAAGGTGTTTCAATCCCAACTTTCCAATACAGGACACGACATGAAGAGATAATAGCTAGCTAATGATGGATTATTCAGTGATTATTATCCAATATTGTCTACCTATTGTTATATAAGAGGAAATTATAATGTGACTAACTGCAACAATAATTTTGTCGAGGTGCCTTTGTAGTCCCTGTTTTTCTGTCAGCCCTTGGTACTACCAGCTCACTTTTTCCTCACCTTTTTCTCACCCGTGAACAGCTATGTACCCTCAAGTCATCAGTCTAGTAGGTAGTTTCTCACTCTCTAAACCATGTAAAATTTTCCCTTCAGTAGCCTGGCCCACTTCTCTCCTCTTCAAAATTCCTCGCTCCCAAAAATCAATACGCACCATAAATCAACACCCACACCCACTCTCTCTACCTCAATACATACGCAATTCTCTTCATTTCAACTTCTTTGTCGTACGGGTAAATCAAACAATGACTAGCCCACCTGACCATCTACAAATGGTATCCTTACGGGGAGAAGAATATGTATTCGAGCTCAAGGGCATGATGCCCGATGGGCTAATCGAAGTGTATCGCCAATTGTACATGGATTCGTTCCTGATATTTGTACTCCCGGTTGACGTTGAGAACATTAAATACTTCCGAGCATGGTCCGTACGGGAAGCCCTCAACTTTTGCACCGACTTGAGGCTTCATAATATCCCATCCGACCTCCTTAGCATGAAGATTGATAAGATAGTCTGGGAGTCGATGTGTAAGTGTTACATGGGAACACCCAATTACTCAAACCTTGACTACTTTACTCACCAATGTTTCTTTCATACTCAGTCACGAAGTACCTACCAGAGGGTCAAGCTATGCCAGCATTCCCATGGCGAATGCCTCGAAGGGACCCAGCTGCACCACCCTCGCCTATTCTCCAAGCATGGTGGAGGAAAATGGGACTATCTTGCGAAGACGAAACCCTAATGGACAGCTCCTCGACAGATTCCATGCTTCCAAATGTCGAGAGGCTTTTAACACAGGAGAAAGTCGAGGAGTTCCTGGAGGAACAACAGTTGACGCAGTGGTACACCACCCGCGCAACTCTGCCCAAGAAGCCGGTAAAGCAGGGCTCGCGAGTTTCTCGTCGGGAACGCTCCGCCTCAAGGGGCCGGGCCTGGAGCCGCTCGAGGGCTCATAGCAGAGCAAGTAGCCGCCAAAGATCTCTTGTAGACAGTGAGAGCGAGGTTGACGTGGAATCTGAGATGTGGGGTCGACATAGATCGCCTCATTCGTCTCATGGACGGTCATATGGAGGATACTCTGCAGAGTCTCGTTACCACCGCTCTCCATCTCGACATGAGTACCGGCGCAATCGATCAAGATCGCCATCTCGATATGAGCATCGGCGCAACCGATCAAGGTCGCCGTCTCGATATGAGCATCGGCGCAACCGATCAAGGTCGCCGTCTCGATATGAGCATCGGCGCTATCGATCAAGATCACCGCGCCCACAAGGGACTCAACGTCGACGAGCAACACCGTCTGGAAGCCATGAGGAATCGGTCTTTTCAAGGTCAGAGAGACGAGAGCAGAACTCTTCTTCTCATCCGGCGACAAGTACCACACTCCCCGGAGGTTGGGAGTCTACCCTTCGACCTGCGCTTGTAGATTACTTCGGGACCAATAGCCAAACCACAAGCGATGGCACCTACAAACTTTGTGCCATCGACAACAGTCTTGGCGGTGGGCCACAATCAAAAATTTACACGTCGTCACAAGACGTAGCCACTGGCCAGGCCTTATACCACATGGTAAAGGGCGACCCGAAGCTCAGAGATGTGAGCATCATCATCATGGGAGGGGCTCTGCAGAGGCAATCAAGAAGCGACGGGTTCAGCTACGGGTTCAGCGTGCACATAAGGCCTGTCTATGGTCGTATAAGCAAACGCGACCCCTACAAGTTGCTCTTCAATTTAAAAGCACGTGCCAGATCTGATAAGAAGTCGTATGAAGTCATTGAGGACGACATCATACACGCGCCAGACCCTTCAATGGGAAGGGATGAGCAAGCTCATCGTATGAACGTGGAACCAATACGAGAAAGCCCGGACATGAACATGACTGGATCTACGCTTGCTGGTCTGAGCTCCGCTATAGAAGCTCAAAGCGACGCCACGGCACCGGCTACGGCCACGTCGTCAAATAATCAGGGTGGGAGTAAAGTGGCAGCAGATATGGAATCGACCAATCTGCATGTACCCGAAGGCAGTAAATGAATGTATTGGCCTTGTGAATGGCATGTAAATAGTAGTTTGAAAATGGCAATCTACACAGTTTACAATTACTCAAACCTAATAACATCTACAGTTTCATGTTCCAGTGATATATTGCAAAAGCATTTGTAGTGCTTGAATTGAATCATTCGGCATGTGCCTGTTGCCACCAGTCCAAGTCTATGTCAATACCTTTCCCCCTAGCCTAACCACTGCTTACACGGTCACACGGGCCCTATTTAGACGAGCGAACGTTGTAAACCTAACCTTGCTATCTCTACTACTGTTTTGATTGTTATGAGTGGTTTTTAATACCTCGATACCTACCTTTATACTATCTAGGGCCTCAGTTTAAATGGGGATCCAAACGCGAGAAATTTCGCTTGAAGTTTTATTCTGATGCGTGTGAACCGAAATTGCGGTGCAAAGTCACCTCGATAGAATTATTGTGGTAGTCCATCATATCATAGTACTTGTTATTATTTCTTATTGTGTGATAGATAGTAGATAACAATGCCTAATAATGGGCTAATAATTGATCATCATTATTATTATTACCCATTATCTGTTAATATCGTGGCTTGTGTTGACGCAATGTGTCGATTTGGGGGATGCCACTGCAGGTTCTAAAAGAGGTAAATCCCAAGGCCTCAAGTCATGAGCCCGATAAAAAACCGTGAATTACAAAGCCATGATGAGAAGTGAAAGTGAATCCTTTGAAATGAACAATGGATGGAATATGACCGAGTGCAGCTGGCCGAGGGTGCTTTGTGCCCATAGGAGTGGATGCTCCCTGTTGCGGTCGCACCTATACCTCGACGCAAATTTATCCCATAATCCGAAGAGAAAACTTCAAGCGGCGACATATGGAATATCCGCATACATACATTTGACAACGTCATCATTTTGATGACCGCTGTTCCCGGTAGCCCATCGAGTGCAGCACTAAAGTCACGCGTATCTCCTGATGCTCCCGCCTCGACTGCTGCTTGTTCCTCTTGGTCGTCTGGCCAGTGACCTCGCTGAATAGGTCTGCATAAAGCGCGTCTGCTCCAAAGCGAGTGTGGGTCGAGTTGTGTGTACAGTCGTGAGAACTTCACCTGGCGGGAACCATGGCTGGGCAATCTCCGTCAGCAATAGAGTCTGCCATAACAAATGCCGAGAAATACTGAGAGTTGCGTTATAGATTTGGGCTGGCTTACATTTGGGCTGGCTTACATTTGGGCTGGCTTACATTTGGGCTGGCTAACATTTGGGCTAAGCTATGTACCTTTGTATAGTTTGGGCTGGTGGTCTGGTGGGGCACAGAGATGATGTACCTTTGTATAGACTTGGGCTGTCTGGCTGGTAGTGGGGCATAGACTTGGGCTGTGATGGGGCATAGACTTGGGCTGTGATGGGGCATAGACTTGGGCTGTGATGGGGCATAGACTTGGGCGGCGGACATGTACGACAAGGACGAAGCTAATCCTCAAGATGTGTAAGAGCCTCAGCACACCAAGACTGCATAGCAAGAGTGTCAGGATTCACTATTAAGTAGCTATTAATTATGTAGTATTCCGTTACATGGACGATACTACTTATAATCAGGTAGTTGTATCTCATATTATGAGAGGACGAGGAATAGAAGAGCGGTTTGGTTGGGCTTAAAAAGACATCATCAATTTCGGAATCGACACGGTTAGTGATGAGATTGGTGGAAACTGTTTTATTCATTGACTCTGACTCCCTCTCCTGCCTTCTAGAACAGCCCCATTCTCCCCTACCACCCATTGATATCGTACCATGCCCCATTACTACATTATGCAAGTTCCTGCAATTTAAGAAACAAGCGATTGGCTACTGGAAAGTCAACGCTCTCTTCCAAGGGGCTATTAGCTACTGCGTATACTGCAAGCGCGCTAATCTGGAAGAAGACGTCAACTTGCTCTATGTCTCTGCCAGTAACCTTGAAGGATGCTGCGTATCTACAAATCGCATCTAGTACCAGGCCCTTTGCCTCGTAGCTATCGCCACCACGGGCCAGGATTTCGGTCAATGCGTCAGTGGCGTCTTTATTAAGAGCTGCCGCTTTGGCCAGGTTTTCCAGGTAATTGTGCCTTGAAGTCGCAGCCACGCTCCTGCCATCGTTATGGGCAGCGTTCAATAGGATTTCCTTGGCCTGGTTCTCTGCCTCTGCTAGATGAAGAAAGGCTTCATGAAGTGATGCCGAGTTCAGCATCGGGCGGTACAGATTCTGGGACCATAGGAACTCCCATGTCTCCCACTGGACCATTCCAGTGCAATAGATGACAGTCACCCATCGTACAATGCATTTCCAAGCGACCAATATGGTTTCTCTCTTTTGTGTTGAAAGTCTAGACCCCATGGACCTTGGTAGAGAAATGGCGATCGTCACACCATTGGGATTCTCACTTCGACGTACGATATAGACCATACCCGCGTTTTGCATATTCATTGTACGAATGATCCCTCGTGTAGGTAGGATCAAGTTCGTGATGCTTGGAGGGGGAAGCCGGATCTCAAATGGAGAGACGACCAATGCGGATTTCATCCAGTATCCTCTCTCCACCTCCTCGTCCCAAACTTTTTTAAGGATTGGGTGCATCACCACTTCATCCATATTCATGTGGTCCGAGTCTCGAGGCTCACTTTGGTCGCTCGTCGGCTCGCTCTGGCCAGCGGGAGGGACTCGCGACTGACCTGCATGGTCAGCGCAAGGTACCTCGAGTGGTGAGCTGGTAACAACTCTGGGCGGCGGAGAGGGAGGCGGCGCTGGCAAAACCAATGGGTATTGAGCGGGATGAGATAGGTCTGTGCCTGTATCGCCATCCTCATTCGCCATAGTCGGCTCGATACCGTATGCCAAGTGAAGATCTGGGAACTTGGTTCTCAAAACGTCACAGTGAAGTTCGAAGGAACAGTTTTCCACGGCGTTCATTGTACCCTTAGATGTGTTTGAGTCTTTTATGGGCCCTGTCATATCGAATTCTAGATTGAGACTTTCTCTCCAGCTCCTGTACATCAGTGACACTGGTTTGGATTGATCGTGGGGTATTATCTTCCACGGGAACTGTGGCCGTTCGTCTGGTTCAGCATACTGCTCGACTGAAAATGGCGTATTGTTAGCAGGCTATCTTGTTGCAAATATTACCACCCCAAAAACATAGTACTTACAAATTTCATCCCAGACGTGGAAGTCAACGATGCAGTTGACCCAGTCATCCGCTGCCCACGTAATTCGGTCCGTCATCAGGACCTTGAACAATTCGACTGTTACCTTTGTTCTAAGGTTCGAAATGTCTTCATTGGCCACTGGTATCGCATACAGGATAAACGAGTCCATGTAAACACGACATGCATGCCAGTCTGTACAGTCAGGGATACCGTTTGGCCCTGGGGTGAATACATATTTGGGTCCCCGTAGGGACTCCAAATCCAAGTGGTGCATCACAGGCTCTGAATCTGCCATTGGCATTATCAAGGCTTTCTGTGGTATTTTTTGCTTTTCCTTTTGCGTTTGCGTTTGCGTTTACGTTTGCACTGGTGTTCGTGAAATGTGATGTTGTTGTGGATAAGGTAAGTCACGAGCCTATATTTTCTGGGTTGCTGAGGTCGCGCTCACTTTTTTTTTTTGTTTACTTCGGTGCCTGCACAGTGATTGAGCTCGTAGCACTTCGGTAGGCCACCCAGCAGTAACATACAGGTAGGTCAGTACCTAGGTAGTGTAGTGATTACAGTGGTTAGTATGTACCCAGCGGTTATAGTAACCCGCTCATAGCTTGAACTTGAGGTTACGAATGCCTACGGAGTGCTTATTTTTTGGACAGCCACTTGGCTTAGATCCTCTTGAACAAATATCCGCTGAAGCGAGCCTGCTACTGGAACTAATCGATTTTGTCATGTCTTATCATTATAATGGAAGATCATTCCTTTGATTCGTCTAAGAAGGAATCGATGATGGCCTTACAGATATCAAGGTATGTATCCAGGTACGATTGGGGAGGAGGAATGAAATACAAAAACTCCGCCCACAAGTCACCAATCACGCTCCAACGAAATATACCCCAGTGGGAGTTCTATTCAGAATCCATTCCCGATGAGGATGAAAGACAATGCTTTCAATCCCCAGCCACTTTGCCGTTTAGGTAGATGAGTACATGGTGAACTGGCGGACGAGAACATTAGGTACCTAAGGTAATGTACCTAGTAACTGAGCACTACTGATCTGAGGTGTGTTTACCTAGGTACTACGAAGCTGCGCGTTCGCTTCTCGTACTCGTAGCACAACATCAACATCAACCTCAACACCACCACACCAACTCCACCACCTACACCGACATCAACAGCAGCAGAATCAACATGGCGAGAGATGGAAACAGAAGCCTTCCAGGTAACCATGTAAATGGCAACAGCCGCCGTGGCTATCGAGAAGGTGATAGCCACAGAGGCCGCGGCCGTGACAAAACCGAAAATGAAGCTCGGAGCGAGAGCACGCCGCCTGCCAATGTCACCTCGTCAACAAGACGCGACATAGGCGGCTCCCCGGCAAACAGTCAGCAGATTGAGGAAGTGCCAGGCTTTGCCAGAGCCTCGACAGAACGCGATACAGGCTTCATGATAACTGGCCAGCAAGTTGAGGCAGCACCCGCGGCAGCAATCGCATCGTTGGAACGCTCCACATCACCGCCAGCCTGGATAATGGAATCAGTCAGACGTGATTTAGACAGCTCGGCAAGGAGTCAGCAGATTGAGGAAGTACCAGGCTTTGCCAGAGCCTCGACAGAACGCGATACAGGCTTCATGACAACTGGCCAGCAAGTTGAAGGAGCACCAACTGCAGAAATCACATCGTGGGAACGCTCTACAACACGACCAGCCTCAACAATCAGATCAATTGAAGATGATTTGGGCAGCTCGGCAAACAGTCAGCAGATTGAGGAAGTGCCAGGCGTTGCCACGGCCTCGATGAAACGCGATTTGGGCTCCCCAACATTGCCGGCCTGGATACTCGAATCAATCAGACGTGATTTAACCCCCCATACGGTGCCAGCCGCTGCCATGCCCTCGGTTGAACGCGCCATAGAAGAGCAGATTGGCATAAATGAGCCGCAAACAAAGAAGACTGACGCCCAAGTCTCCCATCCTGAGCCCCCCGCTGAACCCGCGCGTGGCTGCGGCTTAAGAAGAGACCTCTAAGCCCTTCTGGACCTACCGTTGACTGACGTCCACAACCTCAGCTCTGAGCCTCTGATGAACTTGCCGACAGGTGTGGCTCATGAATCCCAACCGTGTGCCTTCCTCCGATCACTTCTGATTAGTGGAAGGTGGTCGAGGTGCACAATCTTAATGATGTACGGAAGAATGTCGACGCTCAAAGCTGAGGTGGATAATAATATTCAGTCACCTCAAGGCTGAGGTAGGGGAAATCATCATCGAGATAACATATCTATCAGAGATGGTTGCTGGTTGTATTCCCTATGTGGATGGGAGACCTCTCCCCTAACTTCAGCTAAGAAGGAATCGACACTAGTCTAGTAAACAGCTAGGTAGGAGGTAGTTAGGGAGAGGGAACGATTTCCAAAAAGTTGCGGTCGCAAATTACAAACCCAACGTAAAGTGCTTCAGTAGATGTCCCTGTGCCATTCACGATTCATGTTAGATCTAAAAAAAAAAAAAAAACAACGCTTTCAATTCGTAGCCGTTTTTCCCGTTCTATAAACAATTCTATGCCGCCTTGCCAGTAGATCCGCACACATCCATCTGCCACTCCATGAGCTTCTGCGCCTCCTTCACGCCCTCCTCCATCAACGTAGTCAGGCTCAACGTGGACGCCTTGGTCTGGAGGTGGACCAGGTAGTCGTCCAGGACGAGCTTGTTGACATTGACCTTGGACACGCCGCCGTTGATGCACTTCTTCATGATGTCCTCGGGGAAGTCGTTGGTGCCGTGGAGGACGATGCGCACCCGCCCAGCGGCCTTCTCCCGAATCATGTTCAACCTGGATTTCCATTAGCTTCCTCTCTCTGTCATCATGCAAAGGCGCCAAGTGTCGCAGGTTTGGGTATTTAGCTTACCGGTCGAACTCCAGGACAGGGCCACGCTTGCCGTACTCGCCGTGGACGTTGCCAAAGGCGGGGGCCAGGAAGTCAATGCCAGTGGCGATGAAGTCCTCGACCTGCTCCTCGGTGGTGAGAGCACCCTCGAGGTCGGCGGTATCGGCAATACCGTCCTCTCCGCCCTCAATGCGGCCGGGCTCGGCCTCGGTGGCGATGCCCCGGTCATGGCAGTACTGGACGAGGGTCTTGGTCTTAGCCAGGTTCTCGTCCATCTCATAGTGGCTCATATCGACCATGATGCTGTCGAAGGGCAGGGTGTCAGCAGCCTGGCGGATCATCTCCTCGTTCTGGGCATGGTCCAAGTGAATGGCGATGGGCACGGAGGCCTGAGAAGCAGCCTTAGCGGCAGCGTGGATGAGAAGGCCATCAGAGAATGTGATTGCCCAGGGAAAGACCTGGATGATGAGAGGGCTGCGCTTGGCCTCGGCGGCGCGGACAAATGCGAGGATATGCTCAATGTTGTAGGCGATGGGCGCGACGATGCCGTAGCCTCCCTCCTCGGATGCCTTGAGGATCTGGTAGGTCTTGTTGTTGGTGGGGTCCCAGGGAGTCATGATGTTGGATTTTTCTGGAATTTTTACTGACTGTTTCGAATGTTGCCGGATCAGAAAAGAAGAGAGTAGAAGTATATAAATATGGGATCCAGGTCGAAGTGTAGACCTAGTTGGTAATGAAGGAGGTATGAGTGGACAAGCCAACTAAACAGGAATATCTGTACTTGTCTGATCATCGAACCACGACGAACAAGCGAACCCGTAGGCGACAGTCTCTTGTTTTGCCCAGACCCGCGAGCTCTCCCCACGCTGCCGGCCCATCTCCATCCAGGGAAAACTCGACATATTTCCGGGCCACCACCACGAAACGCGGAAGTGCGGGGCATGGAGATGGGCACTAAAATCACTAATACCTCGCCTCGAGACATCCAGGTAAATTCTTAAAGTCAGCGGGGCAAATTCCGCAACTCTCCGTGGCCGGGGTGACGAAACGTGGGTCACCGGGCGTGAAGGGGGTGTTCACGACACAGCGAATCTCGCATCGAAGAAGGGGCAATCCAGGCCATGTAGGCGAGGTGATTCTGGAGACATCTTGCCATATCCCTTTCAGAGTATTTCTTGACCTCGGGTACCGATATTCCCGGACTCCTTGCTCAAATTCCCCATTCCTGCTCCGTGAACTCATTGGCCCTTTTTGTCTGGACATCAACCCACCTCTACGTAATTCACCCCTCACGGCACCCCCACATACGCATCTCAGTACCTCAAACCACCAAAAACTTCTTCTCATCTCATTGAAACCACCTTCCCTCACATCTCACCATATCACCGCCATCATGTCTGGACTCCGCATTGCTCTCGGCGGCGACGAAGCCGGCTTCTCCTACAAGGCCGCCATCGCCAAGGACCTGGCTGCCGACCCCCGCGTCGCCTCTGTCATCGACGTCGGCCCCAACGCCGACTCCGACAAGACCGCCTACTCTACCTACGCCATCCGCGCTGCCGAGGCCGTTGCCAAGGGTGAGGTCGACCGTGCCATTCTCATCTGCGGTACCGGTCTTGGTGTCGCTATTGCTGCCAACAAGGTCGACGGTGTCCGTGCCGTCACCGCCCACGACAGCTTCTCCGTCGAGCGCTCCATCCTAAGCAACAACTGCCAGGTCCTATGCCTTGGACAGCGTGTTATTGGAATTGAGCTCGCTAGGAGACTCGTCAAGGAGTGGCTCAGCTACCACTTTGATACTGTCAGTATTGCTATTTTTCTTGGAGGGCCGTAACTAACGCGTTATAGACCTCCGGCTCAGCTGCCAAGGTGAAGATCATTGAGGACTACGAGAAGGCCAAGGGTAACTAAATGTGTTCAAATCATATAGACAGTATAGAATTGGAAAATAGAGCGATTGATTCCATTCGTTTGCTCATTATCGAGGCGAGGAGGCTGATTGGTGATGACAATGATGATAAAGAGGTAAACTCTAGTAAGCTTCACGCTTTCTTGAAACTCTACTCCTCCTCTTCATACTATGGCTGGTTCCGATTCTGAACTCAGGGACGTCTCGTCTGGGCCATCTGGGGCTCTTCGCGGGTGGCTTCTGGTTCTGCTGCCAAGTGGAATTCTGTGAGACAGCACAGGAAAGAGCGCGCATTTCCCTCCCTCAGACAACAAGATGGCATTTTCCCTGTATGATCCCATGACTGTTAGCTCTTGGTAGTCCTCCCCATCCCCAGGCCACTCTTGTGTATGGGTATTGCAATCAAACAAACAGAGACGGAATGACTGTTGTGCTCGTCGTGAACAACCCCGTTGATTGCGGACATGGCGATACTATTGCGCTGCTAGCCTGGCATCATCTAGAAGAAGCTCTCCAACTTCATGTCATGCTTCTCATGTCAGCCTCTGACGGTTTTGGAGGACAAATGCACCACACTTGGGTGGAGGCGGCGGTGGCTCCAGAACCCACAGAGTCTTGTGTAGGATTTCGTCGATGCTCTTCACACGGCGGCGCTTTGCCAGGTCATCTTTCCAGACGAAAAGTCGGGCCTTGACTTTGTGATTCTAACACGGTTCGGTGGACTCGCTATCGGCTTTGGCCCATTCGAGCCTCAGATCATCCCTCCAGGTGGCCATGGGTGCCCAACCCACCCTGGCTTCACAGGCCTGCATCAGTGTCATGATGACCTCCCTCTTGGAAGGGTCCTGCACGCACAAGCCAGCGCCGAAAAGGCACTGCGCCGAAAGAATCTGACACCCCTCTTCTTTGAGCTCCATTGCGATGCCGCATATAGTCTCCACCGCCTCGGCGAGCGTTCGCTGCATTTTCAAATATCCATTGAATCCGGCCAGATTCGGGCTATGTAATGTGATGAGAATCTGTGCAAAGCTGTAGGCTTGTAGGGCGACTCCGAAATGGGGAGGATGTACCCAGAGAGGAGTAAAAACATCTGTCGGGCTTGATGGGGTTGGGAGCGGCTTGTATTCTTTCCCTAAGAACGACTTCCATCGTTCCATCTTGGTCACGAGCTCGTCCCTTGCAATCTTCCGCTTGATAGAAGCAGAAGGGTCAATAGTTGACGTCGCTTCGGCCCGGCGAGACTCAGCACAGTAGTTCACAGCTTGGGACAAAAGATAGATGGCCCGATCCGCCAGTCCATGCTGATCCAACTCGCGGAGATCCTTCACGGGCTTCCAAAAGCTAAGACATGCTCTCTTTTCCCGGAAGGCAGCCCAGATGTCCTGCCGAAGCCATGCCCACCATACAGCCTGTCGAATCCCACCAGATCCACCATTGACGTCCTGCGAACGCTGTATCCAAAACACGCCCTTGAGATGCCGTTGCCAGTTACCTGAACCGTCAGACTCATCTAGCATCTCATAAGCTGAGATCACGATCGCTGTGGCAAGGAGTTCCTCAGAGTGGGTGTAACTGTTATAAGCAAGTGCCTCCTGGACATAATGTAGAGTCTCATAATAGTAACGAACCCCTTCACTATCTTCGGAACTCTGGGCCACATTCTGTATGACTGATCCGCTGGCGTCATAGCCGAGGGTCATTCCCTGTGATCTTGATCGATGTTTTGCTGCAAGGGCCAGGATCGCCTTCATCAACCCGGGATTCCGAAGTGCGAGTCGGACGGCGTAGGTTGAAAATAGCTTTTGAGAGTCGAACAGGTCCAGCCACCGGGCGCATCTATCAGCAAAGTGTCGAAGGAGACCTGCTTCGTGGTTGGTAAGAGTAACATCTACATCTGCTTGCCACGTCTTGCGTTCCAGGTCAGAGGCTGTTGGATTGTCGGGCGGCCGAAGATGACTATTGATAGGGAGAGCCGGGGCGGTCTGCACTGAGGCTACCTGTGTGGGTGTCTTGGTCCCGGCCCCATTCCCACGCTCACCCTCATCCCCCGGAGTTGGACTCGGAGCCACCGAGAGAGAGAAACCACTGTCGGCTTGTGCGGCATCATTAGTGAGTAGGTCGAGCCAGCGCGTCGAGGCAAAGTCGGCCGTCCATAGCTCCGAGGAGACGGTATCCGGCGAATAGCCAATCTTCATGGGAGACTGCAGAGCAATTCCAGCTGGCGACGGATGTTGCTGAGCTACAGTCCTCCCAGGATCGGCGACAGGTGGCTGCTGTGGCACTTGAGGCGAATTACCAAGTGGCTGTTGAATCAACGAGGCTGTGGAATGAGAAGCCACCCCTGGAGACGCCGACGAGGCGGTCGACTCTGTCACCTGATTCACCCGAACACCATGTCCATTGTGCGTAGGTGGAGGGAGAATCTGGGGACCGGGGCCGATGGGCTGCGATTCTGGTTGCCGAGGAGGCTGAGTCTCTTCATCTTTAGGCCAGACGCACGGCCTTGAGGAGATAGTGCAAGGTCCACACACAGGTTTTGCCTAGATATTGGACAATTCTATTAGTATTGTGTACCCCTGGCAGAGGGATCAAAGGAGTGTAGGTACCTCGTCACATTTCTTATGGCGCTGTCTACACGTAAGGCTAGAATAGCAGTCAGTCACAAATCTCGTCTCGAAAACCAAACAACAGGGGCGAGACTGAGTAAACGGAAAGGAGGGGCGGGGAATGAGAAAAATCAGCAGCAATCAGACAGATCCCGAACACTGACCACCCTGACTTATTGCGCAAGCCTCTCCCCCTCGATTTTCTGGGCCGTTTGTTGGGGGTGCGTGTGGCACTACTCGTGTTCATAGTCAATCACCCGGCGAAAAGGCTTTGTTTGGATGCATCAGCGAGCGAGCGCGTCTCGGGGATCTGCTGCAGGATCCTGAACCGCTATCCAGTGACAGGGATTGGATGATATGCCAACAGCAGCCGAAGGCGAGGGTAAGTCGGTTGATTGAGCAGTGTCAAAGCAAGATTTGCGTTGTACTATGCCTTTCCCACCAGCCTCGTGATTTGCGCTGCGTTTCGACAAGACGGCAGGAAGGCAGGAAGGAGCTTGAGGGCGCTCTTGCCAATTAGCCGCGCTGATCTCATCGTGCGTGTTGATTGGCCAATGGCTTTTCATCGCAAATTTGCGGAGCATCCCCAGTCCCGTGACCTCTCCTCCAACAGTGCGATCTAGACCAATTGATGCTCTGCAACCGGAAAACATGGCCGCAACAGACAACAGACACAGTACCCTCATGTTCAGTTCCGTATTGTGCTTATTGTGGTTGAATTCGGTTTCATATTCTCTTGGTTGCTTGATAGAAGTCGGCGTACAATATTGATCATTCTTCAGGCACCTGTACCACCCTCTTCCCCAGCATGTTGTTCCAGAGCAATTTTGTGGGGAGCTCTTGAGCTTCCAGTACTACACCAGCACGTTTCTGAACAGGCACTGCCAGGGCGCCTGTGTAGGGTCCGCCAAAGCCACCTCGCACTGGCCTCTGGCATCACCCTCACCCTCTCCACCTATATCCCCAGGAAGAAAAACATCCACCTACATCCCCAGGAAGAAAAACATCTCCTCTCCTCCCTCGGCTCGAGGCCCGTGCTTAGGGCAGGAGGAGTGGTGGCACGGTAGCATGCATGCTAGGCCAAGGTGCGGGGATAATTTGCTCGGAAATGGTCACCCCACCAGTAACACCAATAAATGTCATGCCAGCGCGTTTCCGGCCAGCAAAAAGCAAGCTGAGGTGCCATCTGGATCAAGAGGACTCGAGAGAAGACAATCGTGACTTCGCTTCGAGCATCCGGAGTAGTTTACTGCCGAGCTCGGTCTCCATTTGCTACTCGACGCGCGCGTAGAGAGCGTGTGACCAAACCAAAGCAACCATCCCACAGTTCGGGATCAGCTACATCCATCGCCTGCCTCTTAGTTAAAGCACCGTACCAAGCTTGCCACGTTGACTTGGCCATTTCTCTGCCAGTTTGTTTTCTGCTATTGTGTATTAGCTATAGAGTTGCTCGTTGTTTATAGAACGTCTTTTATTTCTATTCTTCCCTCTTGAGAATAGCTACAGAACGGCGCCATGGCTTCGACCAAGCACTACTTCCCTGATACTGCGGCGAACACACTCGTCCCTCGAGCACTCCGAGCGCTTGTTTCGGCCAACAGTCATCTCATTCTTGACGAGCCCGAGCGTGTCGTCGCCAATGCCTACAATGATGAGGAATGCGTGAGCATCATTGGTGGTGGTGGCTCCGGCCATGAGCCAGCCTGGAGTGGCTTCGTTGGTGAAGGTCTTCTCTCTGCTGTCGCCTGCGGTGACATCTTCGCCTCGCCCAGCACAAAGCAGGTTCTCCGTGCTATGAACCTTGCCCCCTCTAAGAAGGGTACAATTTTCCTCATCACAAACTACACCGGTGATCGACTACATTTCGGTCTGGCTGCTGAGAGAGCCAAGGCATCCGGTCTTAGCGATAACGTCGCTATTGTTTATGCCACAGACGATGTTTCCATCGGCCGTAGCAGAAGCAGCCGTGTTGGCAGACGAGGAATGCCTGGCCATGTCTTCAGTGAGTAATATTCAACCACCATCTAGATGCTGTATTCGCAATTTGGTGAAGCTTGCAATCTCCAGCAGAGCTAACCTGTTCAATTAGCAATGAAGATCCTCGGCGCTGCAGCAGCAGAGAAGTGGTCATACGATCGTTGCCTGAAGCTTGGTTATTCGCTCAACGACGCCACTGTGTCCATTGGTTCCGCTCTCGATCACTGCCACGTTCCTGGTCGACAGTTTCAGTCTATTCCCGCCGACGTCTGTGCCGTTGGTTCTGGTATCCATAATGAGCCCGCTCAGCAGATGATTTCCCCCTTCCCCTCCGTTCAGGACCTCATTGAGCGCCTCCTGAAGCTTCTCGCCGATCCCAACGACACCGAGAGGGCCTTTGTAAAGTTCGAGACTGGTGACAACATCATGCTTTGCATCAACAACTACGGCGGTCTGTCTCCTCTCGAGCTTGGAGCTCTCACAGACGAGGTCCAAACCCAGCTCGCCTCCACATACAGCATCAAGCCCAGCCGCACTCTAGTTGGAACTTTCGAGACATCCTTGAACGCGCCTGGTTTCTCTGTCTCACTTATCAACCTCTCAAACGTCGCCAAGGAGTGCTCAGTATCTACCGACGAGCTTTTGAGGCTATACGACAGCTCTACAACGGCCGTCTCTTGGCCCAACGTGGCACGACCTGGCGCCGACGCCACGAGGACAGTTAGCGCTGACAGTGCCGCCAACACTGCCGAGGAGGAGGCTGAGACTGGCAGCATTGTGGTGGATGGCAAGGTATTGGAGGGCGCCGTCCGCAAGAGTTGCGAGACTGCCATCCTCGCTGAGCCCAAGCTCACTGAGTGGGATATGGTTATGGGTGATGGTGACTGTGGCGAGGCCGTCAAGGGTCTCTGCGAGTCTCTGATCAAGAACCTTGACAAGGGCTCTGCATCCAACGGCAAGGTTCTCTCCTTCCTCACTTCCACAACCGAGTCCGTCGACGATATGGGTGGCACTCTCGGTGCCATCTTTGGTATCCTTCTTTCCGCCTTCACTTCCGCCCTCCGCGCTGAGTACGCCAAGGGGGCTCCCGAAACTGCCCCTTCACCAAAGCTTTACGCCATTGCTCTGGCCAACGCCGTGGAGTCCCTCAAATCACACACGCCTGCCAGGGAGGGCGACCGCACAGTCATGGACGTCCTGATCCCTTTCACTGACGCCTTCGCTAAAGACGGTAACTTTGGAGCCGCTGTCAAGGTCGCTGCTGACAAGGCCGAGGCCACCCGCTATCTGAAGCCCCGCCTAGGCCGTGCAAGCTACGTCGGTGAGGCTTCCGGCCAAGAGCTGCCAGACCCTGGTGCCTGGGCTCTGTACGAGATCCTTTCCGGCCTGGCCCAGGGACTGGATATTGCAGTGCCAAAATAAATAATGAGGGTGTATGAGTGGCTCACGGCTTAGTAAAATTGTGTTGGTATGCGTTGGGCATTGGGGGCTTTTTGAAATGGCATTTCTACTACTTTTAATTATTGCCCAGACATATATATTGGGTAAATGATGATAATTTTGAATCAGGTTGTCCTCGACTATTTCTTGTACAAGACGTGTGATGTTAATGGTCACTCATGGTAATGCATTGCTCCGGCTAGCTCCTTGCCAGATCGTACGAAGCCTGTTGGCCGTACAATTATCTTTCTATCCTAAACTACTGCATTGTTTTCGTCAACCCCTATCGCGTTTTACTTCCCTCATTTACTCAGTTTGTGGTAAAGCATCGCAGGTCAAAACTCGACTTGCCTACCACCTTGCCATCCACCACCTCACACTACTCCCACGCTCAGAATTTCATTTCGGCAGGCGCTGCCCGTGATGGATTGATGTTTGCGATTTGCGATTTGCGACTTCGTTGAAATCGTTTTTCACCACGAAAGAAGTGTTTCTAAGCTAAGCTGATTTGATTGTATTTATCCTTTTTTTTTTACATCTTCAAATCTGCTACTGCAGCCAGCAGTCCATCAATTGCGCTATCTAACACAAATTTATCCTAAAATGAAGCATGTAAAAGTCACAAAATATGCAAGAACTGAACAGAATTCCCTAGATACATCTAAGCAGAGGTAACAGTAGCACCAGTCAAGGTGAAGGAGTAGTCCAGGCCCGCCTTCACCTCGCTGGTCAGCTCGAATCCGTTGTACATGATAGCCTCCTTGGGGGTATTGGCAACAACAAGGCTGACCTCCTCGCCGCTGGCAACCTCAACAGAGCCGGTGTTGTTCTTGATGTCCACGTAGCGGGTGCTGCCGTCGGAAGCGTAGACGGCGAAGGTGGCGGTGTAGTGAGAGGCGGCGGTGATCTCGACGCTCACGGTGCCCGCGCTGGCGGTAAGGGGGATGATGTTGGCGCCCATGTACTGGGGCGCGCGCGCGGACTTGACCTTGTAGGAGCCGGAGCCGGAGGAGTCGACGTTGTCGTAGTTGAGAGATTTGCGCTGAGCCGTGAACGCGGTGTGGGCAGACTCCATGCCAATGTCAACATATGCCATGTGAGACCAATATCTTCCCACGATGTAGTCGAGGCTGGCGCCGGTGGCAACGCGGGCGAGAACATGAAGGGGCGTCTCATCGCTGTTCTCCTTGTACTGGAGGTTCATCTGGCGCAGAGTGTCTGAGCCAAGACCCTCGATCTTGTCGGGGTTGCTTGTGAGGTAGGTGAAGAAGGGCCAGGCCTGGTAGTAGTTGCCGCTGCCAGAGCTGCCGTCGACGATGACCTGGTAAGAGTCGCCGATCGTCTTGGAGAGCTCAATTTCCGAAGCACTGGTCTCCTGGCCAAACTTCTGACGCGAGGCGGCGCAGAGGTCGTGGCTCTTGTAGGTCTCAGCAATCCAATTAGCAAAAGTCTCCCACCAGGCACCTGTGTTGGTCTGGCCGACCCAGGTCTTCTGGTGGTAGTGAATGCCATGACCAAACTCGTGGACGGTAACACCGGGCACGGACAAGTATGTGTCAACAACTTCGAGGTAGGCCATGCCAGTTGAGGCATCGGAATGCATCACGCCAGCGGCACCTTCGAGAGCGGAGACCGAGTAGATGTTAACCTTGGTCTTGGTGCCACTGTCGGAGGCATCGTTGTAAGAGAGCCCAGTGGAGCGGAACCCAAGAGTGTTGATGAAGCAATCAAACGCACCCTCAAGCATCTGCAGGGTTGCATCAGCTTTCGAGCCGCCATTATAGATACGGAAGTGGTCAGAGTCGGTGAAGCTGCTACCGCCTGCACCGATAGAAGGGTTGGCCACATACTCGCCTTCAGCTGTACCTGAAGGCGACGCAGCGGCCGAGGATGAGGGGGTTGCGATCGAGCTCGCAGCTCCGTCCGTAACGCTAGCCGCAGCGCTTGTCGCTACGCTTTCAGCACGGCTGGATGATGAAGGTGCAGCTCCGCCATCGCCGGAGACTGTGATAAACCCGCTTGGAAGCGACGTGGGAGTGTCGTCGACCGAGGAGCTTGCGCTAGGTCGGACGGTTGGAGTAGCAATAGCGCTTGAGCCTCCAGTTGGCCGATCAAACCCACTCGTGGGAGTTCCAAACCCGCCTGAGGGGGTATCGATTCCGCCAGGGAATCCTCCAGTGGGAAAGGGGCCAAATGGAGAGGTGCCAAAGGCAGAGGTGGCACCAGGGCCGCACTTTCTGTTGGTTTTGCTCTGGCTAACATGAACGGAACCTCCAGGGCGTCGTTGGGGGGCAGCCAAAATGCCCTGGGCAGATAAAAGAGCAGTGAGATAAACGAGGGACCGGCCCATTGTGAATGATTGAAAATGGTTGGTGATAACTAGTGATCTACCAAAGGAGTGAGCAGGAGCGACCAAATCAAAAGAATAGAGTGAGAGAAAAGAAGGACTGTTGCTTGAAGGGAGAGAAGAAGAGATTCACGACGTGCTCACAGTCTTCTACTTTATCATCTCTGAGGAAACTGACCTTAGAAAAGCCAAGACTCGGCCGCTGCCTTGGCTGTCTCATCGCCCAAACCGGGCATACCTCCCACCTCTCTCCGTCCCTCCGTCTTCTGTTTGAGGCATGGTCTCCAGTCTTTTGTGGGCAATTCCATGCTTCTGGTTCCCGTACCGAAGCGAAATAACCTTGGCGGGCTTAAATTGCAGGCCCAACAAAACCTGAAACGGAACAGCCCCATGCTCGTTACCTTACTAACACCCCGGCCTGTGTCAGTCTTCGGCACTTTGATTGGAGTAAGAAACTCTTAAACCACGTTATTGATTGTCATTGCTAACGGGAACGTCGGGGTTTGTTGCAATGCACCCCCTGCATTCTCAATCTAGGTTGAGTGTAATGCTGTTTGAACTCCTCATAACTCACGAGCTTGCCCTGTCTTCACTTTGAGACCCCTTGACAACCTGGGACACCAACCCACGCATGCAGCGATGATGTGTCACAAGGTTGGTGCGCTTAAGAGTTCCTCTCTCTCATCTCGTTAATCCTGTACGCCTCGTAACCAACGGATAGAGATTTCCCACTATCCGAGCAATGTTCCCGGGTGGCACCACATAACGAGATGTAGTCCTATGGGCCCATGAAACGTTCATAAAGTTGAGATACTTCTTTTTCCAACATATGTGACGATATCAGATCATCCGGCTCGCTTTAATTCACAAAATGGGCGTTACCCGTTTTGTGCGCCAAAATTCCGATTCTAACTAAGTTATATACGTCATCTATCCAGCTACACGAAGTGCTTCCAATAATCTGATCTTTGCCGTATTCGCATTTTGTTTTTTTAGCAAGGTATTCCCGTTTTCCGAGGTGATTTGCTATTTGATTGCCGTAAGTAATTTCCCACCCCTTGCGATGCAAGTCTGGAAGCACCGGCTCTAAATGCCGGAATTTTAACTTGGGATCTGAAACTAGGCGGGTATAGCCACTCGCAGATGACGATGAATGCTATATTAGCACTAGCCAGGTTGGGAACTCTCAATCTGTCACCTCCATTTTATTCATGTCACAGAAACCTTGGAGCGCGACCCCAGACAGGAGTTCAGACCACTGATTCATAACGATCGCAGTATTAAGCAGGAGAGAGTTCGATTGTAAAGCGAAAAACAACAATAGAAGATGCCAGACCCGACATCTCAGCACAATGAATACGAAAGGCAATCATGAACTTCGCTAGCCTAAGGCTGCAGTCATGCGGAAGGAAACTCGGTAGGCCTTCATAAAGATGACTCACTTGCCATCAGGATGAGCCGCTCGTTGAATGAATGTTTAAACTACCCTCTTTTGCCTAACTTGACACTCGTCTTCAACCCAAACACGTCAACAGACCAGGTTCGAGGCACCCCACCTACTGAGTATCAGTAGCCCCTTGGCCAGAGCACTTACACTGACACGTGCGCAGCCACAGTATCACGACATCGGAATTCCAATTTCTTACAGTTATTTACATGTATTAACCCCCCTCACGGACGTGGAACGTGTTACATCATGAAGGTAGAGAGCCCACAAGCTATACGGGCAAATCCTCCTTACCACATTTCTTGCAAGCAAAGTTATAGCAACCAAGCATACCTTCTCGAAGCACCTACACTGCGTAGTGATGAATAGAAAGTGTATAAAATGATAGAATAACCGGCATAGCTGATCTCGTTATAACATCCCCCACGCTTGTTGGCTGTTTATCCCAGTACAAGTGAAATATCCTGTGGGGTACGGGGTTAGACGATAGAGATGGTAGTTCTTCAAACATTGCGTCTTCCTGGCCTTACATCGGCTGGATCTACGACGACGTTCCCATTTGTTCGATTCAAAGACTACCCATTGCTTCGTAGCAGAAGACGGCGATGACTAGGGGGCTGTCTTTTCCCAAGAATTTTCAGCTAGTCTTTAATATGATCAAAGTTTGATATTTCTTTTCAAAATTGAAAAAGTATAAGATTGGGTTAACTCTTGACTTTTCCTTTACTGTATTTGTAGGAGTTACAAAGCGGTGCATGACAGTTACGGGATTCAGGGTGGGGATGTTAGGAGGTCCTAGATGTGATTCTTAGGGACAAACGACTACTTCCGCCAAATGAAATCAAATACAACGCCTAAACAAGGAGTACTATTTTCTCCAAAGAAAGAGGGTCCACTGGTTTACTTATCTTGCTCTTTGAGATTGTCTTCCTGTTGGAGGCCTCGGGCACTTATGGCCTTGAAAGGTCGTAGTAAGTAAGTGAGAGAGCTATGCAGCTGCTGAAAAAAAAAGGGAAAATTCCCAAACACCAAGAATTTAACAACTTGACACCATACCCAGTATCACAACACATTACTTGAAAGGTCATAAATACTACGATTTACTTTCCAATGCTTCAAATGTTCAAGGAGGGGGACTGTGAAACCGGATTTGATTCTAACTTCAATATCAACTCAAACACCAATCCTCGCCATATCTCCAAACGCGATCGTTCTCACAGACGCACAAGGAGTATTGGGTGTATGTCTCAAGGCGTAGCAAACCGCTTCTATTTAGACTTTTTACAATAGCCAATCTACATTTCCGCCAAAGCTGTGAAGGATACCTCCCCCAGGACCTAGGGATACTTGACTTGCATGCCATGATTACTTTCTTCTATATCCCACCAGGAGACAAAAAGAAACTTTGTATTAATTTTACAATAATTACCTCGAGGCATTTTAGAGTCTAGGCTTAAGAACGATACACTATATCAGTCAATGAATAGGTACAAGTCTCGTCAGCTCATACCTCTAGAAGTAATATATAAGTAGTCTTTCTCTACATCCCCTATTGTAAAAGAATTTGAGAGTAAAAGGAGATAGATAAGGAGGGGCTCCTCCCTGTTATTAAATTATCGTACAACATGAAGCAAGCGTTAGTTTTTCCCATGAGTGTTGACTCCTCGAAAGCTTCATAACCTGTACTAAGAATGATCACGCAACACATTTGTCAAATCAATATTACCTGCATTCTGATAGATTTCACATATCAATGACCTAAATGTTTGAGGTGAAAACTACACGATATCTTGATGCAAAAGCAATCTACTTAATGAACTCACTTTATATCTCTAGAGATTCTCTATCCCTTTCCCTTGTTTGTGTGTGTTAGGAGGCAAATCCGGGATGACTTAATTGGCTTTTAAGGGCTTTAGCGCTATATTTTATTTGGCCCCTTGACACATCTGAGCTTTGAAAAACTTCAGGATCGCCCTTAAAGCTTAGTGAAATCTGCATGCCCAAATCTACGCAACTGTAGTCACAATGTTACCTTACGACAGTAACTTAGTGAACTAGAGTATGAGCCTAGATCGTGAAGCGTCTACTGCAACTCTGGGATTCTATCTCAGGAAGTAGGTTAAAAATTGGAAACAGTTTCCCTTCAAATAACACAGGGACATACGCGTCCTCGGAGAGACAAGGGCTGTCCCATATCATATCGATATATACGAACCGCTGCTGCCGTCACTGTTTGGATTGGAAAGTACACTACGCATAGACTCCATATGGCTAATCTTCTATCAAAAATTGCAGCACCTCAAGTCACGGAAAGCAGAGATCATAAGCCTAGATTTGATGTAGAGTAAAAACCAAGAGCCCAAAGCAAGTTGTTGATGCTAATTCATCTCCTCAGCCAATTTATAGAATAGAGATGACATGCTCGAACAGTCTGCTATAGACATTCTGCCGAAAACATTCTTGTTCCAAAGCTCCTTTTCTATCACCTTTGAAAATCGAAACTGACACCTCTCCTACGGGAGTAGGAAGAGAGAGGTCCGGGTCGACCCAAACAGCTGTGAGGAAACATCTCGGCGTCATAATCTACATAGCCACCTTGTGCACACCCGTTTTATACACTGATAGAGTTTAGTGCTAGGCTCATTAGGTTGGTAGTGGCCTCGGAACAGTCTCCACTTTTACGGCATCACCGTCCCCACCAACCCGGCCTCAATCCGATCTGGAGTAGTTGCCCTCAATGCGCAACCGAGACCGTCCTTGAGAACGCGTATACCATAAAGAGATGTGATTGATAACAAAAATGCTACTTGAACGCCTATGAGTAGAAGTTCAGTCTGTACAGTTGCATTGGTACAAGATATGTCCGACACCCAAAATGCCTCGGCGAGCTGATTGAAGTGATTCACCTTAGAGTGCCATTTTACCCATTATCATATTCCTACAATTCCAGCACTATCAACTAGATCCCAGTTTTCAATTGAAATATAAGAAATACTTCAAAGGGCTTAGAAGGCTGAGCACGCTAACGTACGTGTATACACTATTCAGAGAAGAGATGACACATGCGCTACGAAGCTCCCGAAGTAGAGCAGGACGAAGCATGCCGCCATAGTACTTCATCTTGAGGTCCCAGTCGGATGAGGCGTTGGCTGAGTAATTCAGAGCAGTCTTTAAGAAACCAGAGGATAAGGAGTTAACACGAATGCCATGTTTGGTCCCTTCCATGGCGAGGGCAGCGTGAATTCGGAGGAACTCCCGGGATGGTACGATGGTGGGGCTATGGCCGGGAGCAGGAGATGAGTTGGAATCTTATCAATCGCCGACGAAAGGACATACTGGCAAGGCCTTGCCCTTCGAGGGAATGGCCTTTCATGATCAAGGTCAGGGAGTGGGATGAGCACCTGGGGATCCTCGCCGCTGGTTTGTCCATTCATTTTTATGACTGGTTGTAAAAAAGGTAGCTAGATAGAGAGATTTTAATGTGAGAGGTGTTGATCTCAAATAATTTTCAAGTCTCGAAGCCATCTTACAAGTCACAAGTGTTCGGAGATCACTACCTCTCCCACTTGGTCTCAACTACGGAGGTTTGGGGTTTGCTTTGCCATGAGATGTGGTCTAGAAACAATACGGTCTGGGTTCTACAGTACTGCCAAATCTATGGCAAAGCTGAGCATCTTCTCCTGTTGCCATGTCCTCGGATATGCCTATATGTTTTGTCGTTGTGGGTCACGGCTTCAAATAGACTTGGCTGAGAAGTAGCGGAAAAGCATGCTTGGACCGTCTCGCGGCAATAGAAGCAGAGTTTATCGATAGGTAGTGTGGTAGGTGTGGTAGCGTGGACAGGGTTGTGAAAAGGAGGGTTGCCGCAGGGTTGAGTCCCGACTCGGGCTATCTCTCACCCCTGTTCTTAAATCCAAAGGTCATGGGATGATGAACGCGAGACGAGGACTTTTCAGTGGAGCTGACGACGTCAATTTGTCTAGCATTCAGCTTCGTTCCCAAGCCGGGCTGAACTGGGGCTCCCCCATCCTGGTTGGAGAAAGACTGGAGATTGCCTCCCCCCAGTCCGGCCCCAGCTCCTCTTGACTCAGGCCCAAGATGTCCCGCGGGGAGAGCCCTTGGGGAAGCAATTTGTGGTAATTCAATGCGTCTAGTGTCAAGTCCTGTGATGGCTAACTTTTTGCGGTTCTCTTGGACCCCCAAAAAAAGGGGCTATTCCCCCTCGGGAATACCTCGTCCTGCTCCACCTCTGCTGGCCGAGAACTTTGATCAACTTGACTACCTTACGAACTTGACCCAGGTTTCCAGACCATGCATCTAAACGTCCGTCCACCCCTGCAACGCCTTCTCCATACAGCCCCAGATTAAATGCAACTGCTAGACAGACATTTAACATAAAGCCTGCCTCATCACCACCCTGTTCATCCAGCAGTCTCTCATCACTCCTCATCACCACACTCTTCTCCCTCTCTCACTCTCTCATCCCCCTTCTTCGTTCCATCAGTGTCAATACCCAAGCCGTGTCACATCCTTCATCATGGAGAAGCAGCAGAGCTTCGAGCACGAGGACGTGGTCGCCAAGTCCCAAGACCCTTCTCTCAACGCCGTCGACGACTATGTTCCTGGAACCGATGCTGAGAAGAGACTTGTGCGCAAGATTGATCTCTATCTTTTGCCCTGTATGTGGTTTATGTATTTATTATCTGTAAGTTTTCTATGTGATCTTGGAGTCTTTCACCGGCAGAGGCGTTAACCTGGATGTTTAGTATATGGACCGTACCAAGTAAGTTTTCTATGTGATTTTGGAGTCATTCACCGGCAGAGGCGCTGACCTGGACGTTTAGCATCGGAAATGCCAAGATTGCTGGTATGGACGTTGATCTGGGACTCGATTCCAACAGATACTCAATTGCCCTGATTGTCTTCTTCATCGGCTACGTTGTCTTTGAAGTCCCTTCTAATATGATCCTTGTCCGCACCCGACCTTCCGTCTACCTCGCCACCATCATGTTCCTCTGGGGAGGTGTCACCATTGCCATGGCTTTCACTCCTACCTACGCTGAGCTTGTTGGTCTCCGTGCCCTCATGGGTTGCCTGGAGTCTGGGTTTGCTCCCGGTATTCTGATGCTGCTGTCATCCTGGTACAAGAAGGAGGAGCAGAGCAAGCGTTTCGCTGTCTACATTTCAGCTGCTATTCTTTCTGGTGCTTTCGGTGGTCTCCTTGCTGGTTCCATCACCAAGGGTCTCGATGGTGCCCACGGCAAGGCTGGTTGGCGATGGCTTTTCGTTGTAGAGGGTGCCGCCACCATGGGTTTCTCCCTGATCGCCGCGTTCGTCCTTCCCGACTTCCCCGCCACCACTTCCCTGCTCAAGTTCAACGAGGAGGAGCGCGCCCTTGCTATCCGTCGCCTCCAGAGCGAGTCCCGAACTGTCACCACTGAGGAGAACCGCCTGACTCCCCTCGCAGCCTTCAAGGCCTCCATGACAAACTGGCGCACCTGGCTCTTGGTTGTTGGTTATATGGCTATCGTCGGTTCTTCCACACTCTCTTACTTCTATCCTACTCTCGTCAAGGGTCTTGGCTACGAATCCACTGCCGCCCAGTACATGACTATCCCCATCTTCGGTGTTGCCTTCGTTTCCACTGCCGTCACCGGATTCTTCGCCGACAGATACGCCAAGTACCGTGGCCTCATCCTCGGCGCATGGATGACTGTTGCCATGGTCTGCTCCATCATCATCTGCGCCGTCTACAACTACACTGCTAGATATGCTCTGCTTGTTATCATGGCCTCCGGTCTCTGGGCTTCCAACGGTCTCGCTCTTTCTTACGCCTCCGTTACCTTCGCCACTGTCCCCGATGAGGTCCGCGCTATTTCCCTGGCCTTTGTCAACGCCATGGGTAACCTGGCCCAGATCTACGGTGCCTACCTCTTCCCCTCCACTGACGCCCCCAAGTACCTGATGGGTTTCGGTGTCATCAGCGGTCTCTGTTTCACTGGTGTTGCTTCTTACATTGCTCTTCACTACCTGCTTGCCCGCTACCAGAGCCGCCGCACCGGCCAGGTTTAAAAGATAGACTTGCATCGCTGTTAATATAAAAACTATGGAGAGAAGGAATTGTACATCATCTTATACAATGCAATACTGATATTTATTGCTATTGATGTTTACATAATTAATGACCAGTATATGATCTTATCTATTCAAATTATCTTCATAATTTGTTATGTGACATGCATATTCTGTTTGCGACGATGCTTTCATCGACATCAGGCTGCGACTTAGAGATTGAAGAAAAAAACCAGTCTCAGAATTTCAATTTTCATATCAGGATTAAACTAAGTTTTTCGTCATAACTGCTACTTCTTCAAGATTTTGATGATGGAACATGGAATCTCGACGACTTCGAATAATGAAAACACACTCCCCGGTCTGTGCGTGATGGTCCTGTACCTTGCTCATACAACACGATTTATGCAGCCGGGATATTATCGACTTGTGCTCGTGTTTCATTCTTGCCGCAGAACTCAGGGATGTCCTGGCATCGCCATGTTACCCGAGAATATTGAAATTTTCTTCCCAGATCCACATGTACATTTCCTCATTTTCCCAGAGATGATCAATAAACCAAAAACTATCCATCACCACGCGCCCGTATGGCGTCTATCACGTTTTCGTGCATATTACGGTAGAGGAGAATAGTCTGGTGGCCCCACAGATACTTTTTAAGGGGCGCCACGGGGGTGGCAAGGCAGAGAGAAAAGAAAAGGTGGTGAAATAAACAAACACGAGTGAAGGCGGGCGTCAAGTGGCACCTAAACTGTGGGAACCCTTCCCACCAGTAGCCAACCCGCGGCTGGAGTTGCTGATGGAGGGTGAGTGACTCGCAACCGGCCCACCACTACACCGGGACGTTGAACTCTGTTGGACGTTCTCTGTCTGTGCCGTATTAAAATGACATCTTCTCTCCCCAAAAGGTGGAGTCACCCCAAGGCCATGTAAATTGCAATGGGTGGATGGAGATCGGCCAGGGAACTGGGCTCGGATCACAGGCACATTTAAACGTCTTCCTGAATCCGGACACATTCCATTGTAACATATCGTGGACCGGATTAGTTGCTCATCGGATCACAGCTGTAAGACATCCTTCAGGTCTTCTGGGCATAGGAGTTATCCTGTTATAATGGGTCAATAATTATGGCTCCTCACTGAAATTGGGCTGCTGTCTTTGCCAGACGCCATGATAGCATCAGATGACCAACTCTTCAAAAACATCCCCTGCAAAATATTCAATAATCTAACATAGTCGGGGCATCCGCTTTGTTTAAATTATAAGGTCTGTGTGGGTGGCGGTGGCGGATCTGAATCCCCCCAGAGAGTGCGAAATCTCTAAGTTAGAGAGAATCTTGGAGGGTCTAGCATGAATCTGGGCCCTCCAGAGTTTAAAATCTCTACAAGTCTGGGCATGACTGGACTCTCCCGATCAAGTATTTTGGTCGTCTGGTGACACGGGTGGCCTGGTGGATTCCGGAATTGTCGCGTGTGGGTTCGCCTCTACACGCGGGCAGCGATTTGGCTTCGTACCGAGGGCATAGGATGGCAAACCCCTAGCAAGTTCGCGGGCATTCAGCTTGGGTAGCTGAAGGGGTCATGCTTGGCAGTTAACAACTCCGGGTTCCTTCTTGAGGAGATTAGCATTCTTAACCGAGGTTCACTTTGCTTCGAGAACCGAGGAAAGGCTCGATTTATGCCTTCTTGATATTGTTTCCATATTACCAAGATCGTGGTGTCAAAGCTAACGATGACGACAAGCAGCGGACGTACTTCGCGTGTTCCCCCACCGACAAAACAACCAGCGACAGGAAGAAAACTCTTCAAATCCAATACATACCGAATTAGCATAATCCGTGAAGTTTCGTGTGATGGAAAATAATCGAGAAGACCCGTCCTGTCCTACGCCTGTAGCCCGATCCCCTGCTGAGTGGCAAGTTACACACCCAGCGATGTCAACACGACCCCTTTTTTCGGGCAACAGCAACAACCCGCACTGAATTTGCTAGGACTCATAGCATATCATTCTACATGTTCTTACAATGCATATCGGGGCGGGATTTTTCCCCCTACGTGCTCTTCGAACGTTCCTCAGACCGCCCCAGCCGACCGAGCAACTGAACACGAAACCGTGTAGACAATCCTTACGACTTGAACATCCGTGCCAATCGAGAAGCGTAGCGACATGCGAGATCGGTTAGAAAGCGTACAGACCAATATAGATATATCAACCTTCATGGCTTCATTGCCAACAATTCGAGCGAAATGACGCGTGCTATAGATTGCCAGATTTTGCGATGCCAAACTTCCTACGATCTCAAGTCTACCAATGTCGATGACGAATCCAAGAAAGCAGTGGACGATGATAGAATCAACTCGAGATTAGTTTCTATCAAATACTTCCAATGTTATCGCTTTTCGTCAACACACAGTCGAACGAAGCAGGATACATCCTCTTAGAACTCCGCGCAGGCTTTGACCAAATACGTGGAGGCTGCATGCAGTACCGTTATTGCGAGCCTGACAGCATATACATCGCAACGACGGAATATCATGTCCGGATTGGTTTCTTTTCAAATAAAATCTACGCCCCCGTATGACAGCGAGAAACAAATCCTCAACAGTTGGAAACAGCATCGTTGTAACTGGTACCAGACAGCTTGTTGGCCCCCGTATTGTTTCACCTACCCTATATATGCTTCAAGCAAACCAATATGAGTTGTGAAGACCCCTAGTAAAGTCCATGCAGTACCACATCAGTGTAGATAAGCAATTAATAATTCAATTAAATTTACATTTGTTCTATTTGGATTGAAACTTTTAAACTCTAAACGTCATGTGGAAGATATCTTCCCATTCGAAACGCAGAACTAGCTTGGTAAAATAGTTCGAATAAGGTACAATTGATAGGAACGGACATCATCACACATGAGAGCCGAATTTGCTATGCCAAGTGTCAAATCACCTCAATAATTCAAAGTGAAGGACATCACATGGGGCATTAGAAACAGAACCATTAGAGAGCATCAACACATACCAACATCATGGGCGCCTGTGTGGGGCCGAAGGGCTGAATTAATGTGGTGTTGGAAATTTAGGGTGATGCTCGTACCAAGCTAGAGCGGCATCCGATAATTACACTTTCCCGTAGAATGACGCCTGGGTAGGCACCGATAAGAGAACGCCACAAGGCGGCATAAAGGGGCAGGGGTACAACGTGTTTGCCGACTTCACAAAGGCAAGCTAACCTTCTGCTAGACACTACTACTCCTGGCTGTCGTGTTCAGGAGAATACGCGTTGCAGGCCGTAACCTGTGTATGTTAGGGAGGTGTCAGTGAAATCCCAATTTTGTTTCAAATCAGCTCACTTTGGTTCAGTTGACTTTAAGAATACGGCGGAGGCTAATCTTAAGATGAAAGACTGATCAAATTTAGACAGATAACATCTCATTTATATTTATTTGAAAGTCAATGTGGAAGACGAACCCATGAACCTAGCAACTGCATAACTCTACAACTGTCTGTGAACGTTGGGAATTCTGTCCTCCTCTTTGCATCCGCATCTCTAGTTTCTAAGTTTCAAACGGTCAACCAAATGGTTTGAATTACCGGCAAGCCATACGCTTGCCAGTAATCCACCAACTCGATATTCAGGAGGCCATGTGCTTTGGCCAACAATGGACTCACTGTATGGTTGAAAATGATGCTTTGGTTTGAGGAATACCTCGAGTTTGGGAAAGGAGGGTGTGGAAGAACGGGCTTTTCGTTCCTCAAAGGCACATCAGTACTTTTGCTCCTTGGCGCCCTGATTCGTCCTGCCAAAGATGGTTTATTAATGCTCGAGTTGATTCAATAGTCATACCAGTATTTATTTGTGTAGAGAGAGAAAAAGAATTACAAGAGCTAGTCAAAAAAGCCATTTCTAGCATGGAGACAACTGGATACAACCTCTTGCCTAAGTTTCGGGCCACAAACAAAACGTGCTGTGGAAATTCCGAATGAGATGGTTATGCCTGTCTATTTCATGCGATTTTCTTCCCGCTAAGTTCACGAAATGAGGTCCATCGCTTTATTCGCGATTCCGACTGGAAGAGGTTGCCGTTAGATAGTAGGGCCGCCTTCGTTGGCCGCTGCAGTGAGTGAGTCCCTGAAGCTTCACTTCCTCCAGCCCACGTTCCAAATGACGTTGGCAATGTCATGGGCGGTATTGACCGTGTCGATAACTCGACCAGAGATGCCTTCGTCGTTGTTTAGGTCGCCCTGTTCATAGGGCCTCAGCATCCCCGAAGATGTCCGGCTCATCTCGATGTGTTCATCGCTCACGTTGTTATGTGGAGAAAACGGCTTGTCAGAGAACGCTACCGGGGGAGGGGGAGATGACCAAGACGAGGGGGGGCTTAGGAGTGCATCATCCAAGCCTTCCTCCTCCTCCTCATCGTCTAAGAAGAACTCTACAGATGACTTTGCTGGTCGTAGTGTCTCTTGTGAAGATGATGGAGATAAAGGTGGACTGCGTAAGTACTTCGTAGCTGCCTCCTTGGCCTCGGGTGCATCCTCGCGGTATTTAAGGGTCGTTGAGGGAAGCTTGGCAATGATCTTTCCCTCCGTTGACTTTGACTTGGCAACTCGCTTCTTGAGGATGGATTGCTTCTTGGGTTTGTCCCGCTTCAGCATAACATCATCATCTGAATCGCCGTCGTCACCGTAGCAATCTGAGCTCACCTCCATGCCCTTGACATCAACAGCCATATACTGCTCAACTTGCTCGTTAAAGTGAATGTGCTTCCGAGGTGAAGTGATTCCGGAAGACTCTGTCGAGGTTGTCATGTCGCGACTTTCATCACCCATTCTACTTGAAGAGAAGGGGTAGGCAAAGTAATCGGCGGTTCCGCGCCTGCTGTTGCTGGGGCGCATGATACCTTGTGCTTCTTGGGCCTGGACGGCCGCTGCGGCCTGCTTCAGCAGTGAGGCATTGGAAATTGATCTCTGAAGCATGACCTTAGAGATGCTCCTCTTTTTGAGGATCGGCTTCGTGTGCAGATTGGCCTGCGAGCCCGTCTTGAACAATGAGTCGCTTGAAACCTCTGTGTGGGCATCGTGGACGAGCTTGGTCTTTGATTGTAGTGGGCCGTACAACCAAGTAACATCACAATCCTTGAGCCTGTGATGCGTTAGCGTTTTATAACCTTCAAGACAAGATGACTCGGATACATACCAATTAAGAGTTTCAGGCGAGACGGTTTTTAGCTTGTATTTCACCTTCATCCATGTTCTCCAAGAAGCATTTTCCAATCGCCCGCTATGTTCAAACTCGCCGCGCCGAGTCACAATATATCTCCAGGAGGACCAAATATCCTCCTCCTTCCAGTCATGGGACAAGTAGTCAACATGGCGTGACGGCCTGCTAGAAACGGTAGTATCATCCTCGGCGTGCACAGTGACTTCGGGGGTCCCGGGACTTGAGGTTTTATTAAAACCGTCATCAGATTTCTTGCGGTCAACAGGCCATACCGTGTAAGAACCGCCCGTCTTGGAGCTAGGAGGAGGGTCGAGGTCGTCATCTGGGTGGATTTCAGGATGGACAAAAGGCTTCTCCTGGGAAAAGGTAGGAAACATGAAGTGATCTTCGGGATACTCTACGAGACTTAAGGGGCCGTCGTAGTTAGAGGTCATTGAGAGACTGGTAGCCGGAGTAGAGGCACAGGAGATATTAGAGGCAATGGATAGATGGGTAGTTGGGGTAGAGGTAAAGGAGAATATGGGTGGGTTTTGCAGCGCAGAATGCCCGGTCAAGATGGACGCGTTCATGTCGAATATACTCTCAAGTTTGGCACTTGCCATATCGATCGTCGTAGCCAGATCGACAGATTGACATCTCAGGGTGTCCGTGATATTGCTGAATGCTTCAACCAGTGAAATGACGTAACCTCCGCCAAATGCATCAGCAGCAACGACATAGCCATACACCTCAAGGGTGCACTCGTTGACCACCCATGACCCTGAATCTCCATCGAGAATCTCTGCTCAATATTAGTTGATCGATTCCAAAAGTAGAGTGAGTTGGAAACGTTTCCATACGTTTATCGTTGTCAAGGTTGAGGATGAGTGCGTCGATAAACTCTTTCCCAGGGCCTAGAAGGAGTCTCGAAGGTAGAGCCGACAGAGATCCCCGCTTCAACCCTTCTGATCCGCTCGCAAGGACGACTGATTGTCTCTTACCGTGCCTGCTAGACGGTGAGGCGGTTACCACGAGCTCGAGATTCCCGGACTTGAAGGCTCCATCTTCCTGCACCTCGCCGTGTGGCAACTTCCTGGGTCGAATAAGGTTCGGCTTGTAGCTGACCATATCGATAAGAGCCCAGTCATAGTAAGCATCTGGCTCACCGTACTTTGTGTCGGTTGCTGCTGATTGATATTCGCGCGAGTCCTTCGAGATGGAACCTATCTTGCCCAGCTCGAGGGCCGTCCAAGACGCACTGCCGTCTGCTAAACCCAGCTGGAGTTCATCTATCACACACAATGGTTGGGCCTCATCATCCGGCTCTTCTTCAGCCGAATCAACGGACTCGTCCTCACTATCAGAATCCGAAAGCTCGAAACCCCAGTCGTCGGAACTCCTAGCCTGGTCGCTCTCCGTGCTGACCGACAGATCGTCCGCCAAGTCGCTCAGGACGTGGCCAACGGTTAGCCCGTATAGCTTAACCTCTCCATTCGACCAGGTAGCCTTTATGACACCACCGAAAGTGCACCTTTTGTCGACACCGGAAGCCTGCCGGATAACTATGGGCGCTCCGCAGTATGTCTCGTTTGTATAACCCTCGCTCTCGCCAACGATGGGAATGAGGACGTCAATATCTCCGTCTGCCTGTTTCGGCTCCGGCGCTCGACCGACGACGAAGACTTCGAATGAGGGCTGGCCGTCTTCGGGCAAACGCACAGCCCTGACGGATTTCTTATCGAAAAACTTCCTAACCTTTTTCGATTGCTGCTCCGGGCACAAGACGACAATGCACGGCTTCGCATCAGCTTCGCAGCGCCCCAGGACCATCAGTCTTATGGAAATCGGACAGTATTTCTTGCGAATTGAGCCGCGAATATACTCTAACAGCGGCTTCTCAAGCATCAAATGCACATGACGGAAGCGGGAGAGCGTGGCGTTATCGACACTCTTATCAAATTCTGTGAGGCCGGTGATGGGCGTGGGGGCAGACGGAACGGATCGGCTCGTGCCCTTGGCGCTGAGGCGCCCAGTTTGTATGGACTCGACTACTACAGGTAGTTTGCCGTCAGGAGATGGGAATTGGGAGCCATATCCTGAATCTTGCCGGTCGTTGGCCATTGACGGTTGGGCAGATGCGGGGGTGATGTCCATTGCTACACCGGCCATTGTTTCTCCAGCTGGACATGGCAAGGAGAGGCATTGAAAAAGAAAAAAAAAAGAACAAGGGCGTGTAAGCATTAAGAGGTCTCATCGGCGAATAAGAGGAACAGCAACGTTCTACTCAGGCCGGGGTCAGCAGCGGGCTCCAAAACCCCTCACTTATGAGATGTTTGGTTGGGCTCCAATAACTGCTAAGCCACAATCCCATCAGATGAGCCCGTGGGAATGCCTTACGTTCGCCTTACCACGGCATTTCCAAGGCGGGCTTTCCCGGCGCCTAAATAACATACGTAAATGTGTTGATGTGCCCATATTGAGTGACTTTTCGTTTGGGAATGAACTGGCTGTCACAACTAGGCTCTGAGTATGATCGGCTCTCTGGCATCTCCTTACCCGCTCAAGAGCATCACTGACGCCGAGCTACAACAGCTCACTCAAACACTCTGGAACTGGAAGATTTGCGAAGCGTGTCAGAATACCGAAACGTGTACAAACTCGAGATGCTCATGGAGGCGATCGGCTCGGTTAGAACGTTTCTTCGACTTTTACAAATATGTTACGTCGTCCTATGTCCCAGACCTGCTTCCTGCCAGCACCCCAGCGTTGCGCAACCATGAGGACGTTTTCGGGATCATCAGGCTGCTTCAAGCCTATCCTGATACGAAGCGCTCAGAATTGACGCATGAATATTTCTCCAAGAGGGATAGACCACCTCCGTCCAGTGATCAGCATTGGGCATTTAATCTTGCCGTACAAGTTATGTCGATGGTCAAATGTTCAGCCGAAAACCAACCCTCTGGCCTGCTAGAACTCGGAACCCAGCCAATCCAGTGGCTTTACGATGAGTCACTGGCTGAATTCATATCAAGAGCGTTTCCGCAAAAGGATACAGGCAATCTCCATATATACGATGGCTCGGGCGAGATCAGAGATATAAAATCGGCCTTGTCAGCGAAACGTCTAAGGAAAATTGCAGGGCTGAGGTTCCAAGGGACTGATGATCTACGAAACCATCTGAAAATGGACGTCAAAAAGGGAATTGTGGAAATTTACCACCACACAAGCGTCCTCAGGGAGCACTTGATGGCATCGCAAGAGTTGCACAACCCCCTAGTCTTTGAGGACTCTATTTCAGCGTAAGATGGCCTTTGATGAGAACTGTAACCCCTAAAAAGCAGGCACTAATGTTCTAACTCTCAGAGGAAATATTCCCAGGCAGATTGCCCTCGATGCTCTAGATTCAATGCAAAAGATCCTCTTTCCTTTTGACTCAGACTCGGAGCAGATTCTCCGCAAACTAGTGTCCAAGGAATCCTTCGACCCAGATTGCCTGCGGTACGACTCGGCCATCTATCGAAAGGAAGGTGAAGACACATCGTACAACTATTTCGGCGGGCGACTTGTAGACTTGTTCAAGGAGCTGGAGGATCCCAGCCCGCGCGGTATCCTGGAGAAATGGTTCCAGCGCAAAAGCTCTGCCCGCTATATGATGATGGCTACGCTCGTTGGCGTTATTATAGCAATTGTCATAGGAATTCTCGGGCTGGTTGTTGGGGTATTCCAGGCTTGGGTGGCGTACGAAGCTTGGAAGCATCCTGTTAGTTTTGGGAACTGATTCGGTCTCCAAAACGGTGAGGAAGTCTGTAGGGAATCATACTAACCAACCCACGACGGTTGACGCAGGACTAGATAGCAGAGCATTTACAAGACTATATTCGGAAATCTCAATGGACAAAATAATTTACAGTTCCCATAACTAACTGATACGAATTAATCATTTTCCGGTTATCTTAAAGTAGGCATGGATATAAATGCTCTCGCATTTTTACCCAATTATGGGCGTGGCTAGTCTCTACTTACTTGCAGGATTTGGGACTCTAAGCCTTGAGGAACAAAAATCAAGGCAAGACGTTTACGGAAGAATAAAAATGAATTAAGAAAGCGTTGAGGTAAGTTGTCTATCTTGACTGTAGTAGAAAGCGAATAAATAACCATCGGTAAACAACCTTCGAAATATACTTGGTATCGGTCTATAATTAACTCTTTCTATGGCTGATTCAACCTAACCTATGGTATCATCTAAATATACCCCGATTGTTGTGTCGTCATGTATATTTCGTGATATATAATTAAATTCATGCATCTCTACTTTCTTAACAAGAAGTAGCTTTCAATAAGGAATTTTCTCATTCATATCGATCCGCGTAATTCTGAACTAAGAGGATAACAACTCCCTGGTTTACAGGTTCTGATATCCAACTCAGGCCTCCAAGTAGAACTGCTATCTGCCCTTTAGTTTTCCTTTCTCAAACCTTGTATTTGGATATAGAAACTAGAAATACAACTCTCTGCTTTGGATGTAGCACCCACTCCCTAAAAGAGAATCCGACTTAGAAAAATAACTGACGCATTATGTGATGAGAGCTATCTATCAAGAGAATTTATCCCAAAAATTAGATTCTAATCATTTTCATGCCGCATAACTAAACCCATGGCTTAGCCCGGCACACTGAACCGCCATACTCATTGTAAGCGTCGCACAAAATCTCTTGTGAAATTAGCCGAGATTTGAGTATTCAAAGCTTTTCCATGTTTGATAAGATGGCTAAGTAACCTTACTTACTCTTTGATAAAGCACATATGGTCGGGTACCTACCTTAGCAGGATGCCATCAGCGTGCATTTAGCACGTCATAATGACACAAGGCTCTTCATGAAGACCTCTTCTCAGACCCAGGTAGTTTGACCTGTCACCCATCACGGATGTGTCTTAGCCCTAGATTTCCAAACACTATCCTAGGTTTAGCCCCCAAGATGAGACCTGTGCTGAGTTGTGGCTTCTAAGGGGCCGACCCCTATCCGGCGCTAGGAAAGGTAGGTACGCTGCATTCCACGCTGGGTGACTGATCAGATATATCAGTGGTGCCTTGAGTTTGGAATTTGGCGGTGATGGAGCATACTTAATATAGGAATATAGGCCGAGAAGGAGAAAAAAAAAGATTAGAGTGACTGGATGGCTGATTTGGTAGTTTGGCGACATAAGATAGAAATGTTTAAGAGATATATATTAGAATTGGGGCTAACTTAAGCCTGGTATCCCTAGTAGTTGAAACGCCCATTATATGTTTGCCTTCCTGGTATTATTTGATCCTGCCATAATATTGTACCATGTGGTTGATATACCGTAACTCCTTTCCCACCTAATTTTATTTCGATCGGTTGCTAGGGGGGCTGATGCTTTCCTGAAGCTTCAGGACATGGGTTGTTATTTTCCCCCGATTCTTCTCCTGCAGGTCATATGTTTCCTGGAGAGCCTCGACCATGAAAGGCCTGAGGTTGGTCCGCTGGCCAATACGGTAGTCGTAGACCACTAGCTCCTCATAGCAGCGAGCTGCCACACGCTGCTTTTCATTGGAGATGATCACAGCCTCCATGAGAATTTTCTCAGTATCCTTGTCGGGGCGGTTTACCAGCCTATGGAGGACCGTAATATTATCAGGATAGAAAAGAGGCTGGCGTATTATAAGTGATTAGTTGATAAAGGAATTTACAACGCAATGGCAAAACCTGCCGTTCAGAAGACTCACACATTTGTATTCAGTACGAATACTCTTTAGGATCCAACCGATGCTCCTTGGAGTAATCAGCTCGAGCCAGAATTGCCTGTGTTCTTCATCTGAAGCCAGAGCAAAACCTCGTAGGTAGTTGAGACGCGAGGACTCGGCAAAACGATTGTACATCACATTGTTGACATGTCCCTAATGAGTCATGGTCAGCGTACATCAATCATTTCGATTTGGAACAAGATCAACTAACCATGCTATCCTATTGTTTCGAAAATGAAAGTCAGAGAGGGGTTTTTTTTTTTTTTGATATACGGGAATGAGCAACTTACCATATCGCCCCACGAGATTTGTTGGTTGGCCAAACCAGTCCAGCGGGGACCAACCAAGTATCCTTCTGATCCAGCGAGAAGATCCAGCCAATTCTCGTGGAGATGACTCAAAACCCGCCTAGCACTGTTGACTGTCGGTCCTTGTCCTTCAGTGGATATCCGTATCTGGGCCTGTGCTCTCAAATCTGACAACCATCGACTGCTGAGACTGGGCGGGCCCACGCTCTCCTCGGTGATAAGAGGCTCTGGAGCTGCAGGGGGAGGCGCTGGGTGCCCAGAGATATGAGGGGATAAACGAGGATTGATCTGGCGCTTGAGATGTGGCGGTACCATATGAGGTGTAAGCAAATGGAGAGGTGGCGGGGAGAGAGCTCCAGGCTGAGTAGCAGGTTGAGGGTATCCAAGCCATCTTGCAGTTGTTGCAAGATATCTATGCTGCCTGATGCGCAATGCCGGGACCAGCCTGGCTGGTAATGAAGAGGCGGGATGTCTGTTCATTGTGGTAAGAATAAGATGTAGCGATGTGAAACTACTGAGGCTGGGCAGAGACTGTCCAGGTTGAATCAACACAGGTGCTCAAACATAGACAGATCCTCGGCCGCTGGGGACTGGGAAATTCAAAAGAAGTCACTCATCAAGAAATGGTCTCAAAATTCAGGATTAAATCATGGAGCAGGTTGCTGAGAAGCTTTGCTTCCAGCGAAAAGCAAAGCGAATAGATGAGAGGGGGGATGTAGGTATGAATGGCTTGATGCGAGCGAGGGTCCTGTAGAGTAAAGGCTAAAAATTGGAAATCATGCCAGAAATAGAGGAGAGCTATTAAATTTGAGACATTAGTAAAGTTAAAGTTCTCCATAGTGTCTCCCGGCGTGATGAGTGAGCTGGATGCAGTTATGATGCTCATGCCTGCCTGGTTAAAGGCAAGCAACAACTCACCATCTTAGTGCCGGTCACGTCAATTCATAAGACCACTCAAGCTGAAGTTTGGCCACTGGAATGCCAATACCTCCACTATCAACGTCTGTTCCGGGTAGTGTGCTCCTCAATGTGCTGTCAACTTTGGGCCATTCCTAAGCCGTCGAGGTTTGTCACATCCTCATTTGAGACAACCTTCAACCGAGACATCATCAGATGGCTTCCTCGTTCTGCAGATCCCAAGTCAAATATTACTTTCCCCCTCGATTACTAACCTCATCCTTGCCTTCCGCTGAGAAAGACTTATCAACCGCTATCCATCATGCAACAGGGGTCGAGCCATAAGTCTCTTCCTGCCAAACTGGAATGTGATTTCATAGCTTCACAAAATCCATATCCTCTCCACCACTGATAGATCTTTGTCTCACTTCCCACGGATGCGGCTGGATTTACGTAACTCACTCACGAAGCAACGGCGGCATGCTGGATGCGCACCAGCTCCACGGAGATGTCGATATCCACATGCGATCCCACTGGCATCCAACGTCTCTTATTGGATTCCGATTTCGAAATATGTTGAAAAGATGTGATTGCAGAAGCATTCATAACATCGATCCGTAGTGGAGGAGAATTCTTAGAGAGGAATCCGCGGAAGAGCCAACAGGTACCCGAATTCCAGACTTGAGTTTATTCTTCTGCTTTGCCGAGTGCTCTTCAAATTGACTTCGAGGATCCATACCACAGGTACCCCATATCCAGGGGGAGATGCTATGAGATATTTATCCCTCCAATCTGCAGGGCCGAAATAGAAAGCCAATCGGATTCTAGTTATCCAACGTCCAAGACAATTTCCGATCCATAATCCCCCACGTTTCTCAAGGGCAAACTGTTACGAGTTGGTAGAACGGGGTGTCTTATTTGGTTTCACTTACCATGACAGCATCTAAATTAACAGCATGATGCAGATGCAAAACGCGTATCGTTCAGCCGCTGAGTCTATCTTGATGTTGCACGTGCGTTTAAATCAGTTGTTTTTAAATGACGTTCTTCGTTGGTAGTCGGGAGAAATTCTGGGTACAAGTCAACAAACTTCCATGGTCATCTAAATTCCACCAATGTAGCTGCTATATCGGCACTGGTATGGTAGATACTGGTATGTAGTTAGTTTCTCGTTTCGTCCTTCCTTCTCCTTGTTATGTTTAACGCTTCCTTGCTGTTGTTAAAAGAATTAATTAAGTTATTATGCATTCTTATTTCTGCAAAGTTGCGATCTATTTAAATGTGTCAATAAATCGAGCTAACGAATCTGCGTACGCAAAATGAACCAACTATTGTTTATCAGTGCCGCTTGTCTAAATGAGAACTCCGCCATTTTCCGTGCCTGAGCCGTCATCATGATCCCTTGCCACGCTGGAAGTTTCGCCATACAAATCCCATTCCCTGTGTCTATAATCTAAACAAATCTTCTCGCTTGAAAAACACTTTTCTGAAATGGTAAATTAGCACCGCCCAAGTCAAGATGGTCCAGCCACATCATCTGGTTCCACCAACGGGGAGGACGCAATGGTGCTGGATAGATCGGTCAAAGAATCGGGGCGCCAACAGGGAGCTGTTCTGCAGTCCAGTATTTCAGAAATGGCATCATAAACAAGGACGTTGACCATCTTGCTCAAGATTTTCCGTTGCTGTATGAACTCGGCATGTCCACTCTGATCGGCGACTGGCGGCAAGCTCCAGTGGATGAAGACCTTGTGTGATGACTCCGGAAGTACCATCCGGGCAGGGTGGTACTTGAAGTATAGGTAACAGCATTCACAAGAAGGCTTACTGCCGCCAACGAACTTGTCGTTGTTGGCAAACCTGAGTTTCTTTCTATAGAAATGCTCAAGGATCTGAACCTCCGCGTGGACCCTGGGCTTGAGATTATCGTACTGGTTTGAAATGTTATCGAAAATCTTACACTGTCTGTTCAAGTCATCCAGCCGAGATTCGACTTCTCGTCTCTCAGCGCCATCTTTTATCCCAACGAGAAGCCCCTTCAGTTCTGTGTGTATATTATATGTCGATTCTGCTGCCTGTTCGAGAGGATCAATCTGCCGAACCACTGGGGCGCGGATTATTTCCTCAATCAGGGGATCTTCTACATAATCGCATAGCTGATTGAGCGTGCGAGTATGAGAAGCCAAACGGCCAATGTAATGCCTAACTTCGTCAAAGGCATTTCTTTTGCCTCGGATATTTTCCAGACTTCTCTCAAACTTTGCCCGAGAGCGGAGAAGTCTCAGCATGTGATTTTCCTTTGAAGCAGTGAATATAGAATCACAAAGCTCTACATAGGTCATACTATCAGCCCTGTTGAGCTCAGACATCCATGAAGACAATTCTCGATCTAGATATCTTGTCAGCAATTGAAGATTTCAACCCTTGACTCAATTGTCAAACACTCACCGTGCTCTGTCTTCGGTGTGGCCAGGATACTTTGAGCCTCAGCAATGGATTTGGTCAAGTGTCCTTGATACGTGTCGATCCGCTTCCCTGCTTTCGAGAAACACATTGCTTGCAAGCTGCGTCTGAGACGCCCTTTATTGTCCTCTGGAGCATCTTTCAGTTGCTTAAGGCGGCTCAGCAAGTCTCCAAGGAAGTCTGCCAAATCAGGTCGATACTTGTTTGAGGCAACCCAGAAGACATATTCAGTCTCGGCCTCCTCGAGGCCAATACCCGTGTATGTATCGCCCCCCTTCTTGAAGTCGCAAAAGTATGCTAGACCTCGCAAGAAGTTTCGGAGACGTTCTTTCCTTAGGTTTTGGCTCACAGGGAATCCGTCGTAGCCTTCACGAAGGCCACTCAGAGCTTTGAGCAGCAACAAGGCTTCGTAGAATTGTTCCACTAGGGTTTTGTAATGGCCTGCTCCATGCTGCTCGGATCTTTCGGCCATGGCCTTTTCGGATCGAGGCGACTTCCCTTTCGTTGATGACATGGCTCTTGCTGGTGTTGGTAAATTGACAGATATGGGATAGTTTGATAATGAAGTAGATTAGAATGATTCTTTAGCTATTCCGAGAAATCAAGTTCAACTCATGACGTCCATCGAGGTCTATATATACAGCATGCTACAAATGAATTCTCCTTGTCTCCAACTTGTCACACCATCAGAGGGAGACATGGATGGTTTGTTGAGCCGCAATTGCACCTTGCCTTAGCGCGATGGCCATGTGTCATGGCAGAGTGGTTCTGACAGGGTTTTCTCTTTCAAGCTATCCATATGACCTCAATCAAGGGGGAGATCATGCAAGGTGCCAGCTAACCATGCACGAGGCCATCCAGTGTCACATGTGGAATCTGCAAGCCTGAACGCTTTCGAGCGGAATGGTAGCAACCAGCGGCACTCGGGGAACATCCGGGTGCCCGTCAGCACGCTATCTCGGACCATTGGCGCCTCATGCATGACACGCAAACCTTCACCGTGTTGAAATGATCAGTTTAGGCAGTTGGGCCTAAACCCAACTCTGTTAAGGTGGGAGTGAGGCGGACGCAGCTAGCCATCAGGTTGGGCAGCACGGCGCTTCCATCCCTACAACCGCACCAACAAGGACTAGACGCAGCAGACGCGGGGTATCATTTCTCAAGGATCCCTGGCCTCCCTTGTTAACTCCGTCCTTGTACAAATCGGATCCAGGGGATTGCAAGCGCCCTGGTGGGACAAAGGGTGGAGGGGGCTGTGAGATTGACGTGGTGTCCAGCAAAATGATGCATGCGGCTGAAAATGTGACGACTCCTCCCAGACGTTCCATCATGAAGCGCGCGCTGCTGGGTTCACAGAGCTTCTTATTGGGCATCGTACAATACTACTTACCTTCGGTGGATTAAAATGGCCTTCATTCTGGCCGGCCTAGTCATGACAAAGCAGCTAATGTCGCTATCTCGTCACAAGGTCGACACGTCGACCCGTCGAACATGCAGCTACTCCCACCTTGTTGTCCACCGGTTGTCTCATATCCCAGTTTTGGGAAGCTAATCCTTCCCCGAGGTATCATTGATGATTTGGAAGGGTTTGCCCGACCTTGGCGTTACGCTGCGAATTGCCCAAGCTAAGACGTGATCTTCAACATTGGGTCAACTTGAGCGTCCGGTGGCTGTGCAACTAATTTCAAGGTTTCTTCACGTTGCAATATTGAATTGCTGAGTTCGATGATACGAAGATATGTGGCCTGCTGTGTAGATCAGACAGGTAGCATACCAATGGCCCTCATCTCTTTGCAAATGTTACGTGTAGCCCAAAAGGGGCATACCGAAAATAGGTGGTAGGGCATCAAAGCTACCTTTGTCCCTGAGTAGCATCGCAGTTCTATGTCATTCGTATTTTTGTTGATTTATGAGATATGACTAAATACTTTTGGGATTCAGACAGAAAGCCCCAACACAGATATGCACTGGCCGCAGCACTGTTGTTGCACTTTTTGTCTCTTGTTGCGACCCTTTCACTCTAGGAAGCCTAGATTCCAGCCACGTTTCAAGGGGTTCTGAGCACTTTGCGGCGCTGTGATAGCATGTACGTGTACATGATGTAGCTCGCTATTTACTAATATTAGCACTTGAAACTCTCCTCCACCAAAAGCAACTTACCAGGAATGTAGCTCAGAAATCCAGCAATCAAATACGCTCGGTTTGGCAAGCTCACATTTTCGGCCCTAGACAGACTGAGAAATACAAGGCATGCCTCACTGAAAAGCCCTGGAGGGTACAATGCGATAAAAGCGCTGTATCTGCGGGTTTGATGAGGCATAAGCTTCGGAAACGAAATCCAGCTGAGGGCCTATAGGAAGGTGACATACCTAAGCCACTTGAGCCAAGACGGAGTATCTCCCGTAAGCAACAGCACGGTGAAGTAACCGTATCTAATAATCTCGGACAAACTCCAGAATACCACGCATCCAAGAAATCCCCATATCCCTACTGAGTCCTGGTTCGCCTGACCGACAATGACTTCAGGGAATTGAACCATGACCGTCCAAACCACCAGGTTCTTCCCGATTACTTGGATGGCAGTCGTAACAGGTGAGGCCCTGACCAGTCCTGCAGCGGCATGTACGACCTCGATGGCCGCCAGTGATTGGGTCCCGGTCAGGAAGGGATATAGAAGCGCATCGTAGAGGTCATACAGACGGCCTTGCGCATATAGCGACGGTCCCAATTTTAAGCTGAGAAACGCCAAGTACGCCCATAGCGAGAACGAAGCTGCATTGTATACAGCAAGGTATTTCGACGTGAGCGACATCTTCTACGGATTATCTGAGTGAAAAGACCTGTTGAGCAATCGTACCCTGTACTAGTGGATTTAATTTTACCAATTTTCACGGGTAAAATCACGTGATGAGAAACAACACTCAATTATATAGAAGATTCGAAAGTTGTACAGTCATAAAGCATTGCTCAACATGATGCTATCGCCATTTTGTGGTCTCAATTGGAGAATGCTGAGAGTAACACTTTTGTCGTCGCAGGAAGCCACGAACAAAATGCACAGAAACCCCAGAGCCATCCCTACCAGATGACTTTGTCTCACATGATCGAATTGAAATCATAGGAAAAGAGATCAAATCAGCAAGAGATTTTACATGATAAAATATCTGACTAAAGGAAGCAGAAGGCCTATATTCCTAACAAGGATTCCATTGGATCCGTTGCTTCCGGGGTTGATGCTGCAGGGTAGCTGAAATACCAAAGGATTGACGATGTCATTCGATTTCGGAGCTTTGAGGCCCACTTAATTTGAAGCCATCCAGGCATATGTCGGAACCGTACGACTTCACCTAGATTCCAACTTCTGTATTTCTCAATTGAAGGGGAGCAATTGTATTCATGGAGGTGGCCGCATTGAAGCTCCGCCCGCTGTGCAAAGCACAAGCAGTTTCGCGCTCCTTGGTGAGGACATGCGCTGTGTGCACCACACCATCTGCCCGACCCTTCTCCGTTCTCAACCGTCCGCCGCCCAACTATCCCGGTCATGTTCCGCTCACACGAGTTGAGCGGGCAGGCATGGCCGTGAGCACTGCGCTCTGGTGCTTCTTCGACCCATACCGCCATGGCATGCACCCTCCCAAGCCGCTCGTTCTACGCTCAATTGGCTAATTGACTCGAACTAGACCTGATCGCCGCCCTCGGCGAGGCGACTGCCACGCCGTACTTCATCTACCGCCTTCGTGACGCCATGCTCGCAGACCCTACCGGCCGCCGAATCCTCAAGGACCGCCCTCGCATAAACTCAACCACCCTCACTCCCGAATACCTCCGCTCCCTCCCCGAAAACTCCGTTGGGAGAGCCTACCTCGGCTGGCTCGAGCGCGAGGGCGTCTCCTCCGACACCCGCGCCCAGGTCCGCTACATCGACGACGAGGAGTGCGCCTACGTCATGCAGCGATACCGCGAGTGCCACGATTTCTACCATGCCATTACCAACCTGCCCATCGTGCGCGAAGGCGAGGTCGCCCTCAAAACATTCGAGTTCGCAAACACCCTCCTCCCAATGACGGGGCTGAGCATGTTCGCCGTCGCCACCATGAAGCCCGCCGAGAGGAAGCGTTTCTGGAGCACATACTTCCCCTGGGCGGTTAAGAACGGCGTACGGAGCAAGGAGGTCATAAACGTATATTGGGAGGAGCAGCTGGAGAGGGATGTGGACCAGCTCAGGGAGGAGCTGGGCATTGAGCGTCCCCCGGACATGAGGCAACTGAGAAAGCGAGCGCGAGCAGAGAAAAAGCGGCTGGAGGAGTTGAAGAAGTCGCGCGCCATTTGAGAGAATGACCGTCTATACTTGGGAGCACACTACCCCCAGATGTCCAGACATTTCATGTGTGTATTTTGTAACAAAACACCATAGCAGCGTGAGCTTGTATTACTAGATCATATCATCATAATCAATGAATAAAGCATATCGCATTCATACAAATCACGGCCCTAGGCCAATCAATTTTTCTCCCAGTTTCATGTTTTTCTCAGCCAACGACTATATCAAAGCCCCCCGGGGTATTTCAATCTTTTCAGATTTGGGGTTTCTGCGAGCCATGATCGAAAACGCTTATAAATCCAACAGGTCGTCGTCATCGTCGTCCCAGCCCTTGCGCCTGCTCACGACGATCTTCTCCTCCTCCTTCTTGTCCGCCACGGCGTTGAGGAGGTCCTTGAGCTGCTCCTCCGTGACCTTCTGCCGCAGCTGGCCCGACTGCGCGAGCATGATCAGCCGGTTCTCCACGTCGGTCGCGCGCGACTCCTTGACGAGGCGGATTCGGCCGAGCCGGTCGGCTGCCTCGGGGTGCAGGATTTGGTTGAGGATGTGCTGCCGGGCTTCTTCTTGCCTGTAGGACGAGCGACGGTTAGCCTCTCGTTATCTAGGGTCAGGATTGGAGGTGTGTTCGTGAAGCAGACGTACTTTCTTGAGTTTTCTTCGTCGCCGCCGTTGCTACCAGATCGCCCCCCACTACCACCACCACCGCTGGCTCCCTGCTGAGCTTTGAGCTGCTCTAGACGCGCTTTTCTGATCTGGGAAAGATATCAGTAAAGAAAAAGAACAACGTGAAGTCCTTATTTACCTGTTCCAAGTCTGAGTCCGCCATTTTTACGCCTTAGCTTGTGTTGTGTTCAGGTTCATCGAGGGGTCGAAGCAGGTATGGAGGGGCATATCGTGACATCACATGACCAGATTCATGGGGAAAGTGCCAAAGTGGTGCCTGAAGCCAGGGTCCTTGAAAATGGCACGAGCTCAGCCTGCCACAGTACACGAACAGTTGGCGACGAGCTGCGTCCCTTTAAAATGATATTAAATCCACAGGAAGACGAGTTCTAGATCTGGGCCAGGAGAAATTGGGGTTTGACATATCATTGTTTATTTTAATTTTTCTTTCTATCGTGATCCAGGACGCCCGCTATACAATGCTACCCAAAAATCAGGACAATAATACATATATCAAGCAGTCAATCAGTCGCTCATGCGCTCCAGTAATGCCTGTAGCTGCTGCCTTGATGCTGCGGCGACAGCGACGTTTCCTCGATGCGAACGTCAGTGTTGATGCGCTGCCGCGTTTGGAGGGTTTTCGCCTTGACCATGTCTGTCATTAATTTGTTCATCCTGAGGTCCAGCCCAATACGCTTTGCTCTCTTGAGAAAATATCCGTTCAGGTAGTCGATGTCGGTCTGGTGCCCGTGCTGTACCTGGTAGAGGAGTGAGCTCTGAGCGTCCCTCTTCGCCATGATGTTCTTGTACAGCTGGCGTTTGATCAGGTTTCCTCTAACATAGTCCCGCACTACCGTCGAGGACTCAAGTTCGGGTAGCATTTCCAGCGTTAGGGTGATTTCGTCCAAAAGCCTCTCCATCATGCGTTGGGCCGGGGGGTTCTGCAAGAGTCCATGGTATGGTAGATCGAGTAGAACACATACTGGATCCGCTACAGCAGCGAAGATAACGCTTGGGAGTTTGAAGCGAAGCCATGAATCGTATTCCGTTATAGAGCCTCGCAGCTGCCTGGCCCTGCCGAAGCTCTCCACAAAGTTGGTACGGTTCTCTGTCTTGCGCTCGATCGAACTGTGAGAGACTGTCGTCGTTGGCAGCGGTGTCATAAGAAGCTGGCCGCCTTTCAGCTGCTTTACTGAATTGTAATTTCGGTTGAACGCGAGTTTGTGGCTCATGTGCCCGAGCAGCATGTTGGGCATTTGGAACGTTCCGTTGAAGATCTTGGCCCGCACATCGTCCAGCACCCCGAGCCCCTCGGTCATCACACACACGGTGGTGTCTTCACGGAGGCGATGCTTGTATTGATCGAGGCTCGATTCGGCACCAAACGCCTTGGAGCTGATCACAAGGTGGTCGATGGGTGAATTATCTTCCTCGTCGGGTTTCTTAAGTTGGATGGGGTTCCGTTCGAACTTCGACGTTTCGCGGCGATGTCCTTTCGATGTTTTCTGAATATTTGTGTAACGTGAGGGCGTTCTTTTCCAGCCCAAAAGTTCCACCGACTCGTACACACCCGAAAGAGCGTGCGCTATAAATTTTGATCGCTCGTCTTCTCCTAGAATATGAATCTTGTGAACCGAGGGAGATTTCGAGGCCTCGGCTGGTAACAGAACAGAAGGAACGTAGAATTTAGGAGAAGGCTGCGGCCGTCTGGTCGGTGTATCCAGAGCTGCCGCCCATGGAGAGCGGCTGGCCGGTCTTGCTTCTGGCAGGGCGGCTGAGGCTTTCTGCCTCTCTGATTCACCTGAGGCTATGGTACCATATTGTCTGCACGACCCGCAACCTGCTGCAGGCTTAGACCGGATGCATCGCAGCGGTTGGCGGGAGATGTGCGCGGATAACCGCGCGATCGTGAGTCTCGCCACTTTGGCGGTTGTGTTGTGTGGCTCGAGGGTGTTTTCGATCGACGGGACAGAGGAGTAGGAGCCGTCGTAGAGAGAACGGGTCGTCAGCACACCATTGCGGTGGAAGAAGTGGTATATTTTAATCGAAATCGAAGTTTACGTGAGGGCCGAGGAGTGGCGATTGAGTGAAATCATAGAATTGTTCGTCCAGTGGTGTCGCATGCGTATTTTGTCCCGTCTGGCCGGGTTGAGCGGTAGATTATCGCTTTAGCTGAAAATCAATCTCCCAAGAACCGCACTTTTCGTCGGCCCCACAAAAAAGAGTCGGCACTTAGCGCCTCGATATATGAATTTTCACTGGATGTTCATCAATAACGAAAACATTATCAAACATCGGGAGGAAGGTCAACCGTCGGAGAACTCAACATCCACGCGGTACGAGAGCAGCTAGCGTCCAATATTCGAGATTCTTTCAGATAAAGAAAAATATCTGACGATGTCGGACGTCAAGAGCCTGCAGCCAGACCTTGACAGGTTGGACGCGCAGATTGACGGAATTGAAGATGCGCTGCAGCCTCTTCTACGTACGCTTGAAAAGCCTTCCCAACTCCCTCTCCTGGACAAGGCGAAACTGTTCTCACTCACAGCATATACTATCGAGACATTGCTTTTCTGTATGCCGATCTGCTATTACCCGCCACCCACTGCCCCGATCCCTCCATTTACTAATGCGTTGACTATTAGCGTCATTAAAGCTGCAGAATGTTAATGCCCAAGAGCATGCTGTTTTCACTGAGCTCAAGAGAATCCAACAGAAATTTGCAAAGATCAAGGCTGCAGAGGCGCCTCAGGAAGAACGGAAAACAACCGTAAATCAGGAGGCCGCAGCACGTATCCTGAAGGCCGACCTGGTATGCACGAACTTGACTGTTCTCTCTCTTTCTCAAATTTTCACACTAACAAACAAACAGGGCAGCAATAGCAAGACTCTGAGCAGCAAGCTGGCGGAGAAGATTGCCGAGGAGCGAGCCAAGGCGCTGCTCAAGTCAATGGAAGCTTCGAAAGCAGCTAACAAGAAGCGGCCTGCGGAGGATTCACCTGGTCCATCTGCATCAGCCACAGCAGATGGCTCCAAGGGCGGTAAGCAAAAGAAGCAGAAGCACAAACACAGGGGCAAGAAACATTAGTGGAGTTCACGCTGATGCATCGTCTTTTATTCTGAATGACGACTTTCGGGTGTTTTATTCACGCGCTGCACTTGTACACTGCATCGCTGCATTTTGCTGGTTATTGGGCATTGCTGGTACTCGGACTGTGAACAGCCCACAGAACAACCAACACTGGCGTTCAGGCATGGGAGGCTTATGGCCCGGAGTTAGGAAATAATTTTGCGTAATACCACTTTTAAAGATTGGACATAGAAAACAAGAATCATTTTATCTAGAAACTACCTAAGTGAAGAGTCATGGGGTTCACTGAGGCCCATCGTAATTCGTAGATAGGTAGGTCACAAGGATCAGAGTGCCTGGATCACAGGCCAAGTACCGATTTGCGGTGAATGCCAGCAAAGAGGTACAAGCTTAGCCGCAGGCTTCCAGATGCATTCGTGAGCCAATCGATGCATCAAACGGGGCGGTAGCTGACAGCATGCAAATCTCTGTTCTCCCATTGGCCAACCCCAACATCGAAATTCCGAGTCTCCGACCTCTAGCAGCTTCGGCTTTCTTCCAGCAGAAAACCGTCAAACTCCGCCCTCCAACCGACCCTTCTCATCACCGCCGATTTCCTCGAACTCGCTCGCTTTGCTCTTCCTCCTCACCAAATCCAGAAACAACACAAATCAGTCACAATGGCTCGCAACCGATCCGCCGGCCGTGCCCCCGTCTCCCGCGCTCCTACGCGCCCTACCGCTCCCGCTCCCGCTCCCCAGCAGCAAAGGCCTGCCGCCACCATGGCTGCTCCTCCCCCAATGCAGGCCCAGGCTCCTCCTATGCAGGCTCCCGTCTCTCAGGGCCCCGGCCTGTTCGGACAGATGGCCAGCACCGCTGCGTAAGTTGAATTGCGATTCATCCCCCGAGGACCGGCCTATATATCTGGCATCCGGGTGCCTTCCCGAGTGACCAAGCCTCGGTTCGAGCATTCCAAGCAAAAGAACACATGGCTAACGTAATGTTTGTCTCTTATAGTGGTGTCGCCATTGGCTCCTCCGTCGGCCACGCCATCGGTGGCCTCTTCAGCGGCGGCTCCTCCGAGCCTGCTCCCGCTCCCCAGCAACAGGTCCAGGCGGCCCCCGCACAGCAGGAGAACTCGTGGGCTCAACAGAACAACTGCTCCGGCGCCGCCCAGTCGTTCACCCAGTGCATGGACGACAACAATGGCAACATGCAGATCTGCAACTGGTACCTCGAGCAGCTGAAGGCCTGCCAGACTGCCGCCAAGAACTACTAGTTCAGGATGGCTGTCGGTTGGGATTTCCTTTTTCATACTTTCACACAGAACATCATGTACATTATGGAATAAATCATGGGAGACGAAGAAAAAAAGATACTTTAGCAAGCCCGTACAGGAAAAATTATGCGCTTGAGCAATACCGCTTGAAGAACATTGGCGGGAGGATCAGACAACTCTGCTCCTGATATTTTGTAATACAAAAAGACAATTACATGGCATCCCTTGCTTCATGGAGCTGTCCACATCTATCATTTCTCGTCTTCATCTGGCCGTGACTCATAATTTAGCTGTGATACAGTTAGTCTTGGAATCTGAAACTGCCGTGGGACGATCTTCTATTGCTTACCGAGTTTCCATTGTACAATGGCTGGTCTCGCCTTCGATCGTTCGGATTTTGGAAGCCTCGGACCCGGGACTGCGCTCCGGTTGTGGTAGCCTCTGACTCTCCAACCCCCTCCCCTTCCCGCGGATCTCTCCGGCCATCCCCGCCTAGTCCAAATAGGCTGAATAGCCACGTAAAGAATCCGAAGATGAGTCGTAGAAAACGTGAAAAGATATTGCCAGATACAATGCTTCCGGATTCGTCCTTGTATGCCGACGAGAAATTGGTTACGGGAATCAGCAGGAGAGTGGAAGATGGGGACAGGCCCAACTCCCCTAAGTCCTTGGACTCCTCTGTGCTGTCGATGTTTCGGTTCGGTAGTGGAGTCAGGACTTGCTTAAAGGTGTATGGTAGATTTCCATCATTCCTAGTCTCATCAACCCATTTTCGTATGTCTTTTAAGCTTGACGATGTGTCGAATCGTGATCGAATCGTGGAACCGTCAAAGAGCCGAACCTGAAGTGATGTCTTATTGCTGGGAGTCTTCTTCACCGGCAGCTTGCTCTCAGCTTCTTCCGACTTTTGTATACTCAGTCTTCGCTTCTCTCGCTCAGCAGCATGTTGCCGTCGCTCTGCCTTATCATCCTCGATGCGCTTGAGGATCCTTTGTCGCTCCTCGTTGTCTTGCCTTCTCTTCTTCTTCACCAGCTCAGCCTGCGATTGAACTCTTGCCGCGTCGGAAGTTTCGGACTTTTGTTGCGCCGCCTCGTTCGCACTGGCCTTTTCCTCCTTCAATTTGCGTTCCGCCTCGTCTTGTTGCGCCTTTGCTTTCGCGCGCTCGGCCAGGACACGTCGCACATTGTCGGATTGCTGCGCTGCCTGACTGGGACTCGTAGAAGATGGCTCGGAGCCTTCTCGGGTAGCGGCTGTTGAGGCAGTGGTTTGGTGGGTACTGGGCTGAGAGGTAGCGGGCGGCGCAGCGTTGAATGCGCCCTGTACTCGACGGATGAAGTCTTCCTTCGTGACACCGGGGGTGATGTACTCTTTGAGCTCGCCATTCTTGATTATCACAACGGTTGGGGTTTTTGGCAGTGGGAAGATTTGTGCTAAGTATCCGGCTTCTTCGGACCCAGCCTTGAGCCGGAGCGCGACTGCTTGGTTGCGGAGCAGATCTACTACCTGAGCGCCCACATGCATCAGCGGGAGGGTGTTTCTAATAAGAGTGTCGTGAGGAGCTGCTTACTGATTGGTCTGCGAGGAAATCTGTCTCCCAGGTTTGACTCTCATCATTTTCATCTAGTCATATCAGCAGTGTCCGTAGCGGCGCGTGGGCATTCCTTGCACAAACCTGTGACGAAACAGAGAACGAGCTTTTGTTGGTCAACGGCAGTGGAGATGCCTTCTTGCAATGAGCCTTGGTAAAACATGATGTATATCTCTCAAAAAGACAACAGATCTAAAGCTGGGATTGCGAAAAAGAGATCAAACAGAAAAGAGCAGATCCAGTGGTGGCCGAATTTCTAAGAACGAGCTTGAATAATGCCACCTATCCCTCACGCGGGCAATTGCGGTGTCGTCATCCAGGTTAGTGAATTCGTGTAAGTTAAAAAACGGATTACTGGGTAAACAAAGGAAATAAGGAGTGTAAGGCGATAAGCGTGGCGACGAGAATGTCGGATAATCAGATAAGCGTTTGCTTGGCCTTCACTCAATCACAGGAAGCGCTTCTGAATCGCAGTCCATGACGCAGGGTGAAGGTTTGGAGCTGCGATGCCTGCACGGGACCATGTTCTCCATATTAACTCGCATGCGGGCCGGCAGTATGGAGGCTAAGGGAGGCAGGCGGTGAGAGGCGCATTCAAGTACCTGTTTTCAACCATGCGCTCCCGGGCAGCACCTTGGAATGATTGGTCTGTGCTGCTCATGAGCAGATCAAGAGGCCAGTTAGCCTCGGCATGTGCTGATTTACTAGAAGTGCCCAGTAAGGAGAAGAAACAGCCATTGCTCAACAATCAATGTTCGTAGCATGTACATGTCAATCCCGGCCTGGGATGTCGATCGATCCAACGCGATCCAATGGAACAGATGAGCTCCCGCGGCAGGTACCAGCTGTCCCGCCTATCCCACCTGGGCGGCCTACATGGCACTATTTACAGGGCATTCGGAGCGCCCAAGCACCCCGTAGCTCATGGCCTAATAGTGGAGGTGACGGCAGGTGGGGTGGCCTTGGTCAACGGCTGATTCGACCTTCGGCAGCACGATTTCTTCGAAGGGTCCGGAGAGGCATCATCTCCTGATCAGTATCTACGGCGACTGCCACCCTCACCAACTATGAATCCGTCGCAGTCCCTGCTTCGCGGTATCCGCGTGTCAGGAATCACTTCCAACGCACCCAATTGCGCACGACTGGCCCGCAATGCGACCCCTCGAAGACTATTCTCGACGACCAACGTCCGGCCGAACCGTCAGGCTGCCGATACTCCAGAATTTGTCTCCATCGCGGATGCACCGCCCAAGCTTGTCCGAGCGGGCAAGAGACACGGCCCAGGCTTGATCATTCTTGGTATGGACATCTCACTGTCACGGTAATGGTTTCTTTTGATGCCCAGAGCTGACATCTTCTCTTGAAGCAATCATCCCAATCACCGCCTTTGCATTGGGAACCTGGCAGGTCCAGCGCTTGGGATGGAAGACCGACCTCATCGCCAAATACGAAGACCGGCTCATCCGCGACCCCCTCCCCCTTCCTCCCTCCATCGACCCTTCTGTCATTCCCGATTTCGACCACCGCCGTGTTGTAGCTTCTGGCCATTTCCGCCATGACCAGGAGATGCTTGTTGGACCCAGGATGCGCGAAGGCACCGAGGGCTACATGGTTATCACGCCGCTTCAGCGCAAAGACGCCTCAACAGTGCTGGTGAATAGAGGTTGGATTGATAAGAAGCACCGTGACCAGAAGACGAGACCAGACGGACTGCCCACGGGAGAGGTCTTTGTCGAAGGCATGCTGAGGGAACCCTGGAAGAAGAACAGCTTCACACCCGATAACCGACCTGAGAGGGGGGAGTTCTTCTTCCCCGATGTCAAGCAGATGGCTGAGCTCACTGGGAGCCAGCCCGTATGGATTGAAGCTACTTCTGGTGCGTCCCTGCCACCTGCTGCCTGTGGCCCGCATCTCGTACTAACATGAGTGCAGAACCCGACTTCTTAAGGATGGTCGACTTTGAAGCCCGTGGTATTCCCTATGGACGGGCAGCAGAGGTCAACTTGAAAAACAACCACGCCCAATACATTTTTACCTGGTATATACAGAACGCCAAACCCCGAATCCCGTTTATCCTTGCTTGCTAATTCATCAAAACAGGTACAGCTTGGCTGTGGCCACCTCCATCATGCTTTACATGGTCATCAAGAAGCCTTCATCAGAAATAGTCCGTCGTGCCAGACACAGCAAAGGTCTGTAGTAAAACAAAAGCAACTCATAATACCCAACCGTACCCTCGTCGTACAAACATCAAAAAGAGCGGAGACGAATCATGTTGCTTCCTCTCCGTTGTCATCTTCGTCTCGCGCTCGCTTGGACTGGCGCCGCTTGACGGGCTGAGGTGGCGGCATCCTCAACTCCTGAAGGAGTTCCCTGGGCAGATGCTTCTGTGCCAGGGAAAATACTGTAGAATTAGAACCTACTTGGCGTTGCCTGTGGAAGAAATAAAAGTCAACCTAGGGCTCCGAAATAGGATGGGATATCCGAGAATCTTTTGTATATAATCTGACTTACCTCCTCATCAGGGTCACCACGTCACTCTCTTCAATAGTCTTCCGTTTCGCGTGACTTGCGTAGGCTTCAAGGTCATCACCCAGTTGCTCGAAGAACCAGTCCGAGGCCTGCTCGAGCGCAGCGAGGGTGTCTGCTGATATCCTGGTATTGCTAAGCCCGGAGTTCTGCAGGGCGTTTTGCGCGACTCGCTTCACGAAGGTGGACGGCAGCGAGGGATACTCGATGCCGTGTCGGGAGATCCGCTTCCGCTTCTTCGCCGGGTGCCTGGTTCTCTCCGTTCGTTCAGAATCTGCGGCAACGGCAGATATTGCTGTGATATCTGCAATGTCGCCAACCGTATGATCGATGTCATCGAAAGCAGCACCGCGATCATCTATTCCATCGTCTGCTCCTGGGACACCCTCATCACTGGATGGGAAGTCCTCTATTTCCCCCCTGTCCGAGCCAAAATCATCAAAGGCCGGAGCAACCTCTGGCTCTACACCAGCTTCCATGACATCCCCAGCTGTAACTTCTAATAGCGAACGAGCCTGGCTTGGCGAGCGCTCTGGGGAGTCAAATTGAAGGGCTGGTGCATCATCCTCCGCTTCGTCAGGGAAATCGGGGAAGTCAGGCATCTGAAGATCGAAGCTAGAACGGCGAGTCAGATCGCCCTCAACCGTTCCTCTGCGTCGCTTTGTTAGATTCCATGCTCAGTAAAAACCCTTTTCAGCTTGCGTGTACGTACCGGTCAAAACTCAGATTTGTGCGATCTCTATCCGGCGCGCCTTCAGAGAACTCTGACGGCATATCGACCTCGCCCGTTGGGTCATGATTGGGAAAATCACCCCCATGTAAGCTCCCAAGACTCATCCGCGGCATCTCCGAGTCTCGCTGGGGAGGTAGGAATCTTCGGGGGAGCTCGACAGTCTGATCCGGATCGAGCTGAGAGAGTTCGGGCCGCTGTAGATCCTCCTCGTCGTCGTCATTATCGATGGGCAGGCTCAGACGGGGTCGCGGGAGCGGAGCGTCGTCGTCAAACTCGTCGTCGTAGTCTATGGTCGCGCTCATCCTAGACCGGATGCTTGGGCGCCTCGTGGCAGGCGATGAAGCCGACGAGCCTGAGGAAGAGCTACTACTAATGGGCTGGCTCGTGGGGGCCAGCGCCCTTCCTAGGTTCTTCAGAAGCTGCATCGCATCCTCCCTCTGCCCCATGAGGCTCTGCCGCCTCTTCTTTCCCGGAGTGAACATGGCGGTGCGGCGGTCGTTGAGCGCCCTCCGGGCGGCTTTGGCGTGGGGTGTGGGCGCATTGTTTAGTCTGCGGGCAGAGCCTGGGGTTCCTCGGCGGAGAGAGTTGAGAAGGTCGCGGGGAGCGGTGCGATCAAGGGGTGTGTGATTGACACGACGGGAGGATGGCGGCTCTGCGCTCGTAGCTGGTAGTCTGTTGGCTGGTGTGCGAGAAGGTGTACGGTCTGTCGGCCTGCTGCCGTTGTTGGCGGTGGGAGTTGTCGCCATGGCGGTGGAGGGCGTCCACGCGCCAGGCTGGGCGATGTGTGTATTGCGTTTGATTGGGAGCTATCTGCAGCGATCCCCAATGAATTCAGAGCTTGCAGCCGGCAGAACGAGGCGACACCGGGGCTTAGCTGCGAGTTCTTGGTTGGTGGAAGTAGGTGCGAGTGGTCGTGGACTTTTGGGTTGATGCAGGTGATCTCGAAATGTGACGCGCCTTGTAGCTCTAGAGGGGCAAAAGCGCGTTGATACTGGATTGTTAGCGCTGTATTGTTTGCCTTAATAGGCAATGTGGAGCGCCATCCTACTCGACCCAGTGAGTTGAGGTTGAGATGTGATGATGATGATGGATGTAGGTTTCATAATGTGGTGCTCAAAGGTACATTTGGAAGCCCAATTCCATTCTTTATCAATCTAAATACTTGTTGTGTTTGTTTCCTCATTACTAGAGAAGGCAATGTCATCTTAGTGTGCTTGACATCATCTTGAGCTACCTAGGTACCTCATAGTAAAACAACTACTACTGACTTATTCCATGGGATTACAATTACCCTTTGAGGTTCACCTCTAGTTTTAAAATTGAAATTCCCAGGAAACAGTATCTGCCATTGACTACAAAACCCATCTCGGGCTTGGTAAAAGGTTTTGCAGGCCGCTCTTGCCCAACGCCTGGCGAAATGATCGTCCAAGCGCTGAAGAAGGCCTGAGCACGATTTCAGATGAGTCGGCACCAGCACTGAGCACATTGTAAGCATATATTAGTACCTATGTATATTTCAAAGCTGTGGCATTTTCTTTTGTTTTGTAAAATCACCTTTTATTCGAGAGTTGAATGTCAAATGTACCTCCTCATACATTCGGCCGTTCTGGGTGAGAAATTTCCGCCGTACTGTTACTATACATGTACATAAAAGGTATAAAGTTGGACGAATATATCCCTAAAAGGACTTCTATCATGCTAACGCCGTCATGAATTCGTCAATAAAAGAAGAAAGGGAAGAAGAATCAAGGAGACAGGCAATAGAAAAACGGCACAAAAGAGGCATCATCGGCCAATTATACTCTTGGAATGCCGCGGGCTCTCCTCCCCCTCGTAGCAAACCCGAGAAAATTCACTGGACCACCACCACTCGAGGCGGCCATAGCATTTCAGCTCCATCTGGATCTGGGCCCACGCCGGCTGCTGCCTCGTAGCTATGCATGTGATGTACGGGTCGGTGCCAATGGTCAGGACCTCGAAGCCGAGATACCACGGCTGGTCCGGCTGCAAGGGTATCCTCCGCTCAAGCCAGTCAAGACGGACGTGGCCGACGCTCTCGCGGTGCCCGTCGCAGAATATCAGGATCAGTCCGACGATGTCGCAGCGCACCCTGGAGCGGCAGGGGATCAACGCCGTCAGACCCTCGAGGTCGGCGAATGTGAAGACATAGCCGTCGTAATTGCTGGATCTGGCGAACCTGGACTTCGGCGAGGAGAACTTGCGCGCCACGGGCGATGGCGAAGGGCCTTCGAAGGCCAAGCATCGCGGTCCCTTCCAGGAAAAGTAGCAGCGCGTTGGTCGGCTCTGGCTGGGCACGTCTGCTAGGCACCATGGGCCGGAGCCTGATCTCGAGGAGCCGAAAACCTTGACTCGCCCTTGCGATGTGACAATCTAACCAGGTTGTTAGGGAAGCCCTTTAGTTCCAAGTGTAAAAAAGATGTCTACTAACGCCTAGAGCACCCAAGTGACCTCGAGGGCCTGAACGGTACCAGCACTCCTCAATTCGCTCGCCTTCTTCAAGAGGCATGTAGTGCCACAGAGGGGAGTCTGAATACGACTCCCAAGCATAGAAATCGGGCCGTTGATGTGCCGAATGGACGTGGATGGAAGCCGTCGTGCACTCCCAGCAGACCGAGATGCCACTCATACGAGGAACGTTGAGCAGGACACTTGACATGAGATCGGGAGGAGTAGTTCGTGCTCCGAGGTAGCAAAACCTCAACGGTTGATTGAGAGAAGGAGGGACGGACCAATAAAACGAGCAGATCGGAGGTTTGAGGTCAAGGCGAGGGAGTGGGACGAGGCTGCGAAGTTTGAATTCCTATTGTGTCTGGTCATCAGCATGATAGCGGGAAAGGTGGAAAGGTGTAGCAGAGACAAACATCAGTGGTGCCAGATATGCCAACGGAATCCTTGAAAGGGTGAATCTTCCACCAGACGCCACGAGCTTGGCTAATAACTGGAGGGTTGTCTGAGTTGCCAAAGATGACCTGCGTAACGCCTGAGTGGTTCTCTGCGACGTAGAGAACGTCCACTCCCATACCCGGAGTGAAGATAGGTTGGGAGCGGGCACCTATTCTGGTCGTCCGCAAAGGTCCCATGTATGTTGTGTTCTCGTAGTCAATAAAGTCACACCAGATGGGTGTTGTCAACGAAACCTCGAACCTGGTGATGGGTTGCTTCCTTGCAGCCGTCCTCCACATGGCCACGGTTCTAGCCGAAAGATACTCGGGGATCAGATGTAGTGCAATGTTCATCAGAACCTTGATGGGAAGTCGCTGTGACTGAAACCACAAGGAGGTCTTGGACGAAGACAGCTGCTTTGCAGCCATGGATTTGGCCCAGTCAATGCGTCGCTTTGTCTCCGCCGGCGAAGGCTCATGGCGATATGCGAACGACTCGGCAATGCGCAGCGCATCTTCCGAGGTGGTGAAAATCAGGCATCTTGGGTGAAAAGGGTAGCTTTGGTAAGAATCTTGGTCCTGGGATGGGTAGGATGAAGAGGAGGCTGAGGCTGAAGTTGCGTTGCTCGCCCCTGCATCGAGCCTCGCTCTCTTCGGCGCTGGGCTGATAGGGGAATAGATGACCCTATCGACTGATTTCAAACAGATATGGGTCAATTTCTAACATTGATAGAGCGTGAAGTGGGTATGGTTAGGGCTTGGAATCCTGCCGTTCATGCATGATTGAGCGAGGGTTCCTCGTTCTGGAGGATGCCATGCGCCCAGGGAACTGTGATATGGAGCCCCAATAGACAACCGGATAAGGGGGGACATACGGTATGTAAGAGCTTCATCTGGCGCGAAGGCGAGCCTGCAGAGACCGCACCGGTTCTTGGATGTTGGCCGAGGTTGGATTTCAAAGTCCAAGGACATGATACACCTGATTCCAGCCAGCTCTTAGCTGAACTGGAAAAGTGGGTTAATGTGCGAAGCAGACCATGGAACGTGAAGAGAAGGACCGAATCAATCGATCAATGGCATAAGTGTTGAAGGTGGGCGTGATGTATGGATTCAACGCTGGCCAGATATATTAACCACCCTGCCTTGACTAATCATAAATCAGAAGGGGACAAGAAGAGTCTCGAATGAGAGACAAGAAGTCAAAGTGTAAATACGTACATGGGTAAGAGACGTACATACCCATGAGGCACGTTGAACGTTGAGATCCTAGTCCTCGACCCCCCTTTACTTCCGTGGCTGGAGTCTGAAGATCTTCCCGTGTGTGCAACAGAACCTAGAAACCTCCCTGGCCGATCTGGCCAGGCCAAGTTGCAAGCAGGGGAACAGTTCACTCATCTTCGCTTCTCCCCACCCGTGCTCCAGCCTCTTCGCTTGCATGCATACGCGGGCAAACCACGCACTGTAGTAGTTTATCGGTGTCACTGCTCTATAGTAGCGGTTATGTATGCTTACGTCCACTAAAAGGAACCTACATGCACATAGGGGCCATCGTTTATGCGGCCAAGTAGCTCAGTGGGCATTCAGCACACCAAATGCGGCTGTCGTTCATCATGTTGCAGTGGCCAGCCGCAGTAGGGACGGAGCATATATTGCTTCTGTGACCGCAATTGTCTCCGAAATTCAATCCACTGTCCAGGTTTAGTTTTACTCCTCCAATCGCCCACCCCTTGAGGAGCGAGTGCTGCAAGGCCTGGCCAATAGATTGAGGGCCCATCTACGTACGCCTTTCTTTGCTTTTCAGCAGCCTCGATGTCTCAGGCCGCCTAGGACCCATGGTCTGAAAGTTTCCTCTCAGCCTTGCTTTTTTCCATCCGACCGATGTGGCTCCAGCGTCCTTTGAAGCTGCAAGTGTACTGGCACAGCTGACGGGAAGCGGCCTGTGTGCGTGTGTGTGCTCACAGCAGCCGTGTTCTGCATTGTGGTGGATCAATCAATGAGCAAGGAGATAGCTTTCAGCACGTCCTTGAGGCCTTTCAGCTCCTCTCAGCTCATTTGGTCAGAGTGCCAATGAAATTGAACGCTACCTGCGGCCGATGTCTCAGGCTTTGCCAAGTGTTCCTCTTTCTCTCTGGTGACCCCTCCAAAACCCATTCTCCAACAGCCACGATAGATTGCAGAATAGTCAGATTGGGGACAACTTAGTTATCACTGTGGTTCAACGTATCTACCTACATACGGGATGTACATCGGACTTCAGCCAATGGCTCCTCTTCCTCTCAGGCATAAATGTGGCCGGTTGAGACATTGATACCTAACTTGTAGGTAACAATCGACGGACGGAGATATTTGGGTAATTGATGTGCGTCTCCGCGAATAAAATCTGCTTGTACCTGCGATTGTAGGGAGATCCGCGTCCTAAATGAATCAGCTTGGGATCTAAGACGCCGTTTGAAAGGGGGGCAAACAACGCTCCCGCTCGATCTATTTGCCCCATCGTGTCTCGAATACCTATGCATCACTGGATTGATCGGCATATTCACACACAGATGTTTTTCTTCTATTGAGAATAGCGCCCTACTCCGTACATTAGTCGTATGCACACGCTCTCGCGCCAGCCGTTGGATCGAGGCCCGTCACCCATCGAGACCGGACTGATCGTCATCAATGACGGAGCAACCAAGCCTTATACAACACGGGATAGATGGTCCAGGCTGATCTCTCAAGCCGCTCTGGCCAACGTAATTGCCAAATGGAAGTGATATAGCAAAAAGTTCCCAACTGCTCAGGTATCATTTCCTACATCTGCAATGCACGAAGCAAGCGCGGGCTGAAAGACACTAATGCGGCCAGTCTCGAATTTTGCAGCCCACGGCCCCCCGGCCCGTGCCTTGATAGACGTTATGACGGTGCGTAAACTAGTTTTTCAGCTATGCCCACGTAGGCCTGATTTTCACTTCGCGGAATACTTGCCGTCCAGGATTGTGAAGCCATCCGTAGCCTGAACGGATGGTGCTTGATGACGGTCTCTAAGGGCTACCGCGTCAGCTGGCCTGTGCAACCTGCAAAAGCGCGATGGAAGAGAATATGTCTCAGGGGGCTTGAGAGGTACATCTTGCACTAGATATTTCTCGCTGCATCGTCTTGACCGGCTGGAATCTGTGGTGTCACTGGCCCGCTGCAGCCAAGCTCGCTTAGAACGCATGGCTTCTGTCACTTACATGAAGTAGACTAATGATGAGATGTACGCCTTGGCCATTGGTTCATATTTTTGTGCACACTGGCTGGATTATGAGGCCCTCGGTGATTTGGCTCCCACTGGAGACTGTTAACCACTTGGTCGCCATTGTTTCCTCCCAACAGTCTGCCGTACGTAGCATTGGGTCCATCGGCGAAGAGCCGAGTCAAGGCCGGATGCTACAGTAGTAATGCTTCCCTACCATCGACTTCCTGTGACCATCTTGCAACGAGTATCGGAAGTTTAAGCCGTAGGAATCGTGAATTGCTTTGTCCACATACAAATATAAAAAGCAAAGAAAGCGGAGAGTGTGGACTAGGAGCAGCCATCGCCTGTCCAGCTACTGCGAGGTTGCCCAATTGATGCCCAAAACCTCACCCTGAGCCCAATCCAAAGGGTCCGGAGTGTTCCGCAGATCAAGGATTGGAGCTTGGCGACTTTCAGCCCGATTCGTGGCCCACCTATGGGAAAAGATGCTCCTGATGGCGGATGGGAAGTCGTCAGACACCGCTAGATACACCATGGATGGATGCTGCCTGCGTTGAGTTATGTACGCTAAGCGTATGGGGAAGCCCACGATATGTTTTTCTTGCTTTTGTGGTGTTGTTACACAATCTAACATAGTAGTGAACATGATCCTAGTCCCAAACCATACCTGATGTGCTCATGTTCACATTTTCACGTCAGACAGGAACTACCTCGCTTCCAGGGCATAGCGTAAGGCAGACAACATGATCGTTCGAGTCCTCAGACCCTGCGAGCTCATGAAACAAGGCCTAATCCCCGAGGTTACATTATCCCGTCCCGTGTTGTCTTGTCTTGCTCACCCCGGCTACAATTCCACCTTACAGCCAGGGGATCCCCGAGCAAGACAAAACAACAGAGTCAAAAAATATCCGAGATTCTTCGGGGTCTGTGTCTCCCTGTCATAGATCTGATATTGTAATCTTCCATAGCGCGAGCGAGCAGGGCCTTCATCCTAGGGTTAGGGGAGCCGATTTGCCACACCACATGGCAGGTGGCAATACATCCACACGGCTCGCAGACCGAGCGTTGCCACGCAATTACAAGCATTTATTATTCCCCACTGCTATTACCAGCCTCCAAACACGGAATGAACATCCGCCGGCTGGTGGTCTAGGCCTCCCAAGTGTTGCGTCCTGATGGCATGAATGATGCGTCCATAGCCATCCTTCGTTGGACCTATTGGTCGGAAGCTTTCTTTCTCCTTGACTTGGTTCTGGGCAGCGACATGAAGCAACCTCTCACGGCGTCCCCGAGACTCTTCACTGAATAATAGCGGGCGGGGTATGAGACATTGCATAGTTTTGTTGACTTGCACTTCTGGTCGTGTTGGGGGACCAGCCAGATGTGCTTTTTCCAGACTGTGATTCAGATGCCTGGCTAAGGCTATGAAATATTGAGTTGAACTGCAGGGTTTCCCACGTCAGCGGAGGCACCCTGGGAAAAAGTCTGATGTGCCGACAGATCAGCGTGGATTGTCAATTTGAAGCATCCAGATTATATGGAAAGATCATTCACAGAGGTTGGGAGGTTGTTCAAACTTCGAGTAAGGATACAAACTATTGATGCTAGCTGTTGTACAAGAGAACTGCCGATCATTTACAACCTCTCTTTGGACCACCCCCTTGCAATGTCCCTGCTGAGTGAGTCCGCGATTGCCATCGTAGTCAAGAATGGATTCACTCCACTGGCCGTGGGAAACACGCTCGCATCGATCACGTAGAGCCCCTTCGTTCCCCAGACCTGGCCCTTGGGGTCCACGACGCCCTTCTTTGGCGAGGCAGACATGCGGCAGGTGCCCATTTGATGCGCCGCTACAAACCCAGTCTCGGGCGCAGGGAAACCATGTGACCGAAGTTTCTCAAGCCACTCCTGAAAAGCCAACTCGGTTGTGGCCACATCCTCTCCTTCTCTGCGCACAAAGCTCTCCAGTGTCGGTACAGAGGAGAAGATTTCGCGAGCCCCTGCTTCAAAGTTGATCCGTGCTAGAGCTTCCAAGCCTGCGAGGATGTGGCTCTTGTCCAGCTGAGATGGGCTGTAGTCAACCCGGAATCGACCGTCTTGTGGATCTGGGTACACTCGGCCAGTATGCTTGTCTTTGGAGACGCTGATGAAGCCTGCCGTGTTCTTCATTTTGGCGGCCGCCTCTTTGTACTGGGGGCCATTCTTCCATGGGACCCATACCAGCCATGACCACGGCAGCATGCTCGTTGTCTCCAACTTCACCCCGTGCCCAGCCCCATCGATATTCTCAAACTCGGTGCATACCGCTGAAATGATCGGCCCCTCCCAAGGATCCATCTCCTCATCATACACTGCTCCAAGTAGAGCGACCGGATGAAGATACAAGTTCCGTCCAATCTGTCTGTTCTTCAAACCGGAACGTAGCAAGAGGAGCGGAGATTGAATTGTCCCCCCGGAAACGATGACCTTCTTCGCACGCACAATAACCTTGCGCGGCGACGAGCTTGCGTCGAATCCAACTGCTTCTGATGCCCGTGGCCTCCAGATCCCTTCCACGCCAGTGGCCTTCCGCTCCCCTCGGACGCTGTCATCGAAAGTAACCCTCGTCACATCGAAGCCCTCCATGAATGTTGCTCCCGCAGCCGACGCCTTGGGAAGCCATACCTGCGTAGGGCCCTTCTTCCCGCCAGAGCGGCATCCCATGCCGCACTGGCCGCAGAAGTGATCCTCCCCACCACAGTTCTGCGGCACCTCGGCATGCGACCATCCAACACGCTGGCAACCCTTGATCAGCTTCTGGTTCGGCTTGCTGTGGCGCAGGTTCTCCGTCGAGACCGACATGGCCTCCGAGACCCGTTCAAACGAATCCTGGAATGCCGAAGATGTGAAGTACGGGAGGCCCGTGTTGGCCCATTCGCGGCGCACGTAGCCCGGGAGCTGGAGGGAGGCAGACCAATTGATCGTGCCTCCTCCGCCCCAAGTCTGGCCAGCGATGATGATGACCGACCCGTCATCGGCTGCGTGAGAGCATGTCAGTAGAGTCACTGGGGTCTTTGGAGGCTTGACGGCGACGACATCACTTACTAGTGCCATTCATCAACAGATTGATTGGGCCGGTATCTTGTTCCATGGGGAAATACTCCGGGGACCAGTAATATCCCTTGTCAACGACCAGAACCCTCAGCCCAGCCTCGGCAAGAACACGGGCGGACACCGCGCCCCCGCAGCCACTCCCCACGATCACCACGTCCGTCTCGATCACCTCTGGCTCCTCGCCAGGCGGTATCTGGAGGAAGCCGAAATCGTACCCCTTGGCCACTTTGCAGTTGATTGGCACGCGGGGGATCCCCACGTAGCTGCAGAATGTCGGGCTTGTCCGCGCCCAGCACTGTTTGGTGATGAAAACAAGTTGTCGCTGGAGAAGGCGCAAGGCGGCAAAACGCGACTGGCTCCAGGAGAGGAGGATCTGCTCTCGTACATGCCGAGGCTGGTTGTTGATGGCGCTGGTTCGGCCTGTGAGAACTAGGGATCCCGCAGAGTAGCTGATGGTATCGGTAAGCCGAATGTCAGTCACTTTGCGCTTCTAATTTATACGTAAATGCGCTTAAAAGTATCATCATTCAGTAATAGAATAGCGGGAGCCATACCTAAGTATATCTAGGACGCGCCTAAGCTGGTCGGAATCGCTCTTAGGCAGCCCCTCGAAGAGCATCCGCCGGATGAGCTCTCTGAAGGCCGGGATATCTGAGGGCTGCTCTCCATAGTATTTCTTTTCCAATCCATCACGGGCTGACAATAAGCCACCGGTATCAATCGCCGGGATGACTGTGTCGGCAATGGCTAGAAATACGCTCCATTGCGTGGGAGTAAAATCGTTGGTTGGGGCAAGAGGAGCCAAAGGGGCAGCCAGAGGAACCTCTGCGGCATGTTCAATCAAAGAACCCATCACTACTTGATTATCTCTTGAGCGCAATTGAAGACGACGGCAGATGGAATGAGGCCAGAGGAGCGCCCATTTGCGGAAGCCCACAGTTACATTGGGAGAGAGACATAGGGGGCATCCCAAGACGGCCAGACTATAAGGGCTGCCCACGAATTGGGGGCATTTTCAGCGGCCTCGGCAACTTTATCATGAGAAGAGGAGTAGGTCACTGATTGATTGATCGACATGAACCGAGCTGGCGAGGAGAGCACCCGAGTAGGTTTACTCCGCACAATAGCCACTGATCGGTTTCGGCTCTTCTATCCTAGCGTTACATCTTCCCCGCCTTCTCATGCAATGACTGCCTGGAAGGGACCGGGACAGAGTCAGGTTGGAAGGGAGTGACATCCCTGTGGATATTGGGCAACGCATGCAGGGAGGAACCAACAATTGCTACCCTTCGACGCGACGGTACTCAAAAAAATGAGATCATTTTCATGCAGGTGAGAGAGGGTTACATTCTCTTTATCACCCCATCTTGACGCCGTACCCAGGATGCTGGCTGGTAGCCCTGGCACAGCACTTTTGAACTCGGCACAGGGTAGCGTCTGTGTCCGATCCGCCCGATCCGATGCTTTGGCAATCTCATCGCGAGCCCATCTGGCCACATTTTCTGGTATATGAAGTATGGGGATAGCCTATCGAGCAATAATGAACCACTCCTGCCCATGATGTAATGAGGCTGGCCGTATGTATACATGTAGGGAATCAAAATGTGGAGTTCCGTCAATGATTGATGGTTAGGGGTCAAGATATCCGATTCACAATAATTGTTATTTGGTAGTCCAGTTTTCATTCGATTGTTGAAAAAAGCTTGGCAATATTTCCTAGTTAAGGATCAATTATCTAGCAGCAAGTCCACCAAATAATCTCAACAAGCGAACAGGGTATACACATCTTATTATCGCCGTGGAAGAGCTCGGAAAGTAAGAGAGTAAAAATTACGAGAGAAGCCAAGGGAAACACAGTGAATATTGGGCTTTGAAAGAACCAAGTCCGGATTTTCCCCTTCTGTTGTTGGCATTCTATTTGAGCGCTAGGAACGAAAGTATCCTTGGATAGGTTAATCATTACTTGTTCAGAGGCCGGCTACCACGATTATCAGATGAGTTTAAAAACAGAAAAGTAATACAAAGAGAGTCTAGAAGATTCAACATTATTGGATTTAACTTCATGTATATACCATTCGCTGTTCAACACAAATTTGCGCGATATGCAGAGCTGATATTCTGCTTTAACAAGTGGCTCAACGTACTCGAAACTCGAGAATACGTATTCTTGAGCTCGACATTAGATGGATAAATATAAGAATGAGATTCCTTCAAGAGTGACCATAGACCTTGTCAACTTACTTCATTTCACAGGAAGCTTCATTTTGCATACTCGTTATATTCTTAACTGCCAATAAGAGCTTTTTATAGAATACTTCTTCTCTAAATTAAACTGACTTGAATCAGATCAAAACATCGATCTTCGAGTGATACACGCCCCGACAGGTATGTGTTCGCAATCTGTGTAGCATAGTTTGACCAATATCCACGAGTGCCATAATCACAGAGCAGCCACAAGCCACAATGGATTCGTATAGTCTCTCCATCTTATAGATGAACAGTTTTTTATTCAAATAACTTAGGTATTGTAATAAACGAGCCACTCCATTTAGAAAGGTCAGAGTTATAACACCTTACAAGGGATCCTGCTCATTGAAGATAGCAAAATAGTGGATGACGATCAAAAACTTCACGATGTACTTCACTAGGATCTTAGTCCATAATGAATGAAGGAGCAAATAAGGAAAACAAACATAAGATCACACGCACTAGCACATTCCCCCTTCTCCCTGCTTCTTCCGAATATGAGAATTATAGGGTTCGTTGGGGAGATAGACATTGATCAATAATCAATAATCACAACAGTTGAATGGCACCCGCCGAGAGCTGCAATCTAAACCCAATGAGATTCACACAGTAACTTTGTACTTGGTCTTTACTTCTATTAGTTAGTATCGCCAGTTTAGGAGATAGGATTAAAATCCGGCATATATTTCATTTGGACAAGCATTGTTGGGCTTGCCGGGAGCCCCGGATCATAGGCCTAGTTGCCGCTAGGGTGCTAAAGTCGCTACGCCTCTACATGGATTCGAGTTTCTGGGCTCTAGTCTGCTAACTAAGGGGCGGCGGGAGGTGACAGAGTTTCGTGGCAGAAGTCCATTGATCTCGGCAATAAGCGGGCAATACCAGTGGTATGTCTCTGGTGCATCAGTGCACATTCCCGGGGACTTGGGCGTGTTTTGGCGTACGCCATGTGATAATCGCAAGAAGGCTTCAGTGCTGCTGGTCGACCGTGTCAGTGTCCAATTTATCAACGAACTAGACAAGGATAGGGACAAGGAGGTCGGAGCCATCGCTCTCTCTCAAAGTAGCGGTATGAGGCAGCGGAACTTGCCTGCCTACCTAGGACCCAAGGTGCCATTGTAAAGGATCGCTTCGTCTTGTTTGCTCGCCTCGCCTGAGACGCTCAAAGATGATCATTACTGGCGAAGGGCGCTGCAATACTCACCCAGGGGAAGGGGACCAATCAATATACCCGCCAGCCCGCAAGGCACCTCGGATGGTTCCCGTGCCGCATTGGAGCATGTCGCTAACCCGAATCTCATATCCGCTGCCAGCTTGGCTGGACCTGTTGGTGCTTGGCCAGAAATCGCTATGTCGAATCCTTGCAGAGGGGGACAAGCACGCCAATCAGCGCGCGGACTGGCACACCAACATATAGACCTCGCTACCTATATGAAGTGATGTGTTTGGTCAGCAGCCAACGGCACAGCAAACCATGGGCGTGCGCGGACTTGGCTGGACGTCCAATGGAGGAGGCCGGGGGGGGCAGACCCAGCAGTAACCGGAAGCGGTCACCAAATAACCGATGTGCTGACGCCTTACGAGCATGGGATATGCCAGGAGACAAAGCGGGCGCTCGCTAATTTCATCCTCCTGGCGGCATGGCCATCTAGCTCGAAGGCCGGTGCAGCAGGATGGCGGCCGAAAACAGGGGATATCCAACGTCAAACATTCACATCGGTAACACAAGATGTATCGCGGCGCCAGCGGGCCGGTTCTAATGTAATAGTGCCGCCTAGCTAAGAGGCGTGTGCGTGGAGGCCATCAAGGGCTTGGGGGAGGCCCCCATGCTGCATCGTGCGCTTGCCTGCTTCCCCGTGATGCGTGTGGTCAGAAACAGTGCTTTTTCTGCTCAAGGGGCTAAGGGCTCCCCGTTGGCAAAAAGCAACGACGATGATGAGGAGAAAAAGTTCCGTTAAGGGGGGAGGCAGATGCCCTTCACCACCAAGCAACCTACATGCATGTCGTCTCCCTACTTTCCCCGTCCCAATCAAGTAAAGACCGGCGAGCCCACTCGTTTAACCCAGACACTCAATCTGACGAGTCGACTCTGGCAATCGAGTTCTGGGGGTTAGGAGGCTCGGGCATCAACGCTCGCCGAGAGGCACGGTCGGTGAGCTCCAGACTGGAAGCTCTAGCCAGCTTCACGATGCGACATCACGACCAACCCGACTCATGAGCGACCCAAGAATCAGGCCAAACTGACCCATTGCATGAGGAGCCGTAAACGAGGCGAGCCAAGGCTCAGCTAGCCGCCAGATAGCGTGCCCCCTGGCCTGCTAGCCAAGGGAGAACAACGCGGGACAAGCGGGGAGCAAGAGGGAAAGCTTGAGAGCACAGTCCGGGGCATCGCTCCGTGATGGGAAGCTAGAAGCACCGTCGCATTGGCGGTTGTACGTACTACGCAGATCGCATGGCCCAGTGGTCCACCACCCTCTCAAGCAAGCAAGCTTCGCTAGATTCTTCTAGGGAGTGGTGGCGAGAGGACAAGGCGCCAATTGGATATCACGCCTGCCCATTGGCGTGTCAACTTGGCAGTCTAAGCAGCTCAGAACCTGCAGTCGTAACCAGACCCGGTGATCATGCCCAAGCTAGCTGCTGCTTCAGCTGGTGCATGAGACATGGGTTGCCAGCACCCCTAGCCAAAGATCATGCGTACATGTACATTGAGTACAAGCTGCCCGGTGCCAGGAGCACTAAACCGATCCATTGATTCTTTAACCCAGCCGAAAATCACCGGGCTGGGTCGGTATATGTACGAAGCACATGCATGATACCGTCCTCTGCAGTCTTTCCCTGGGCCTGCAGTTGGGAATTCTCCACGGTGGATGCGCATCCGTCCCAATATTATTAGGCATCTCGACCAACAGAAGGATTTGATTCCTCAGACACAAGAAAAAGAGCGTTGCCTTCACAATCGTCTGGGGGGTGAGAGTAACAGCCAGCCGATTGACCCAGGCTGCTGGAACCCCTACTTTTAGATATCAGCAGGGTCCTCCCCATTCCCATCCTACATACGTCGAACCCCTTCCTCTGCCCTATATATTGTATTGCGTAACCTGTTGCCAGACGATCGATCACAGATCCGCGTCCCCACGAAACGCCCACCTTCCCAACTGCCCGCCTACAAGAGGCATCGATCAAGCAACCACCAGAGCCCCGTCTTCACACATGGATCCAAATAAGCAAAGCATCTACCACTTCGCCTCGTTTTCCCTAACAGCCCTCCTTGCCCTGGCATCCAGGCTCCGCGGGCAGCCTTGCAGTTGTGACAGGACCACCAGACCGTCTTCCGATGACCTCAATTGGTATATCCTTCTCACATTCGCCGATGGGATCGAGTGGGTATTCCGGGTGCCGCATACGGGCCGCTCGCAATTGAAGAGATGGACGGCTTCCCGCCTGATTGTGAGCGAGGTCGCGACCCTCGTATTCGTCAAAGCACATACACGCATTCCCGTCCCCGAAGTATACGCATATGAGTGAGTATGGCGTGACAGCTGCACTGCACTGCCTTCCCTATTCCTTCGAGTCTTGCCTTTCCCTCCCGCCTCTTCATCTTTCATCTCA